GAAGTGTGCAGGTGGCAGCACCTTTGACACTCTCCCCCTAAACGTAGTGCCTCCTTCCCGGTGTGCATGCATGTGCGGAGACATCACTTTGTAGTTCCCACAAAACAGCCACAAAGGGACACGGAAGGAAACTAGTTCTCATGCGTCAGCCGGGAGTCGAACCCGGGTCGCCTGCTTGGAAGGCAGGTATCCTAACCGTTGGACTACTAACGCGACATCGCCATCTGTTCATCTCCGGAGACATACACACACTGTACAACTTCGAGAAAAGTATCTTGTGGTCCTTACTCGTGCCCTCTAAGTAAGAGGCGGACAACACGAAGAAATACTTTTGCATGCCAATTCTTGTACGGGGCATATCTACCTTGAGGAAACTGCGGGAAGGAGGCACTACGTTTAGGGGGAGAGTGTCAAAGGTGCTGCCACCTGCACACTTCAATGCATGCACTACCCCCTTGAAAAGTTAAATACATCCTATTTGGTGTTCAATTTTCAGCCTGCACAAGAGAACAACAACATGCGTAACACACCGCAGATGGCGTTTCGTGCATACGGGTATTTTCAGAAGAGGCCAGGCAAAAGCTGGAGAAAGAAGTGGCTGAATTGCGGGAGCAGTTGGCGGCAAGGGATGAGCTAAAAAAGGCCTATCAGACATTGCAGAAAGAGAACGAGAACTTGCAATCAAAGCTAAACGCAGTGGGAGCCTTAGGGAAACAAGCCGGGCCTTCGTCCGCAGGTGACAGATCTTCAGAGGAACATGAAATGCCTGTGTCAGATTCACATGCTGACTATGCAGCTGTGGCTAAAGAACGAGACAGGCTGGCCGAAAGGGTGAAGGCGCTGGAGCACGAGCTGGCCATCCTTCGGGACTCAAAGAAAGCGGCCCTCGCGAACACGGCACCGCCCGATATGAAGTTGCAGGGCTCTAAGGCAATACCTGTGCGCAAAGAAAGGGGTAGTTCTTCAGCTGGGCCGCTGGGGAAACCACAGGCCCAGTTGGCGAAAGGCCTTGAAGAAGAGGCCTCAGCACATGTTGGCGAAGAAACAACGGCGCAGGAGCGTGCCAAAATTAATGCTCTTGAGCGGGAGGTCGTTACCCTCAGACAACAAGTTGCGGATGGGCAGAAGATCAAAGAGGATTATGCAGCTCTTGTAGAAGAGGTCAAGCAGCTCCAAAGTGAAAATGATGCCTTCAAAATGCAGGCGAAGGGACCTAAAGCTTCGCCAGTAAAGGATGTAGGGGAAAACATCTGTGAAGAGACAGCACTGACTGCTGCAAAGGTGGCGGAATTAGTAAAAGAACGAGATAGTTTGCAGGGCAGAGTACGGGACCTTGAAGAAGAACTTGCAGCTTTTCGCTTCACTCCAGTGAGTCCTGTAAAGGCCACTCTGGCACCCAAGAGCCTTTCATCCTCAACGTCCAGCGCACCCCCATTACAGCCTCTACTAAGCAAGAAGCCGCCAGCGCCGAGTTCGAAGTTAGGAAAATCTGCGGCGGTTTCCTTCACAGCTGTCCACTCAGAGAGTTCTCCTGGAGGTGCGGGAACATGCGAAGCCTCTTCGGGAGCCGCAGAGCCTCCTGTCGTCCAACCAGGACGTAAGCCGTCTGTGTTGAAACCGGGAGAGGTCGCTGCCAAGGCATATTCCCCGGATATCGCATCTGAGCCTAAGGCTGATGCTGCATCGCCAGCGAAGGCCGTGCTTCCACTGAGCCAGAAAGTGCCTGGTTCACTCTTCTCAAAAGCAGTCACAACCCCCGCTGCAGCCACCCCTGCAGAGGGCGCAACAGCAGCAAAGGGAGCTAAAGCTAAACTTACGGTTGCTGCGGCAAAGCCACTAGTTCCCGTTAGTTCACTACCATCCTCATCTTCCTTGCCCCTGTCCCTTCAGCTCGCTTATCAACCATAATAGTCGGAGCATAGATGGGGGAGTAGGTGGGCCCTACCCAACCATTAGTTGTCAGCCTGGATATCTGATGTGACGCGTGTCCATTGCCCTGGCATGCGTCACACTCCGGCTGCATGGGGCGATCGAACGCGTGAACCCAGGCGACACTTTTTCATATCGGAAATCGACAGGCAATTGCCTCCTGGGGATCTTAGATGGCACGTTTATGATTTAAAATCATAAAAGCTAACTTTCAGGTAGCCAAACACCTCGTCATCCAATTAGTTCGCCGTCCGCAGAGGGAACGAACTAGAGCAGTGGATTTTGCGTGTCAAGAGTGTAGAGCCAGGGGCACGCATCACCACAATGCCCCTCACGTCAGGAGTCTACTAGGCGACCAGAGGAGCTGTGCAGGAGTTGCGGGGGCATAGGTCTCTACGCTAGGGTGGACCCCTCACCAGGACTGTTCCAAACGGGGGGAGTGGTCAAGCCAGAATATAGGCCAACTCGCCCCCGCTCAGGAGCGAACGAGCGTTTAAACGGACGGGCCTGGTCATCAAGGGAGACGATCGACTAGGCAGAACCCCGCGTGTATGGGTACATTGTGCGCGGCGGCGACGGAACCCAATACAATTCCAGTCTCCCCGGAGTGGGGGAAGCGAGCTCAGCCAGGAGGCGAAAGACACCAGGATGATCACCTCAATGGGGACCCCCTACGGTGTTTTGCGGACCAGACTGCCCGACATCAGTGCGAAGCGTGGTCCATAATAGGGCTAGCCAGCCGATCAGGCGTTCTAGTAATGGGCTATCTAACTGTTTAAACGACGAGACGCGGAACAAGTTAACACAAGGCTAGTATCTGCAGACGACAGGCCGGCATAGGTAGATATACGTAGGCACCGCGGAAAGCCGCCGTGCGCTACATGGAAGGTAGCTGCCCTAATGTAATCCGACGGAAATTTTGACGACTCCAGGTGATCATCGAATGAAGTCCGCCATGGAATTCTCTTGCCGGAGTTGGACTCCATTGTCCTTCCTACACAGTGTGCTCCCCGTATATCAGTACAATTACAAACTGTCTCCTCTCGCCTTCACCCCTGGCTCTTTAATTGTGCTGCGGCTGATCCCCAGTAAACATTCCACTATAGAATGGCGGGGAGCGTGGAATCAGCGTTTAAAAGTTCACTGGCTTGGAACTTTATAAATAACTGCCCGGAACAGCCCCCAAATGTAGTGCCCAGCCGTCCTAAGCTGTGCCTACTTATCGTCTCATAGCGTCTGCATTCCTAATTACATCCTCTAACTACCCAATTTCCCAGAGGTCAATAATTAAAATTCCAAAACATGTCCTAGTCGGGAAGCCCCCCGAATAATAGAACTGTGTTCAGAACTGACCCCGGTCTTCATTGGGGATCAGTGCCCGACCTATGTGGTCTTCACTGGGGATCAGTGCCCGACCTAGGAGATGGCGGGGTGATATCACACAGCGACGAGACAGTCAGGTGCCTGACCTATAAACTGCTATCCATCTAAATCTCATATTCACAGACATGATAGTTATGTATAATAATAATTCTATTTCTTTTCCATTTAGACCTCTAAAAGTCCTATGTGGTACCCCAGTAGTGACGAAGCATTGCGCCACACCGCCGATATGGGTAATTGGCCGCGTAACCCTACTACTAAACTATGACTCTATCTACGGTACCCAATTCTTACAAGATTTAGCAGTATTAATTCCTTTTCCTAGTTAATAATGGCCTAATCCTAAAATTATTTAATATTTATTTTCTTTACAATCAATAAGCTACTAGAGATCACACCACAGCCACATTCTAGTGCCTGTGCACTACAGGTGGAGCCGGATGCTACCGGGCTTCCCTGCCGCAGCTGCTGTTGTTGCTGCTGGCCCTGTAACCGCTGCGACGATTCTAGCAGTTGCGTTGTTTTTTAACATCATTTGAGGCGATTATTCCCCCGTGAATCTTAAAGAGGTAGGGGGAAAGAGGGTGAATATGGACGGCCAGACTCCTACGGCAGCAATTGCTGCTGCCGCAGCAGCACTGAGCGGCGCGGATCCTGCAACAGCGAGGAAGCAACTGGCTCTTCTTTACCAGAAGTTGCCTGTAGATGACCGCCGTTATGTCTCAGAAGCAGACAGAGATGAAATATTTAGGCGCCTTAGGAAGGACAACCGCATGTAAGCCGCATTCCGACTGACGAATGCAAACAATATTGTAACGTTTGTATACATGCCTCCGCCAGCATCTGGACTTCCATTTCACTATACATATTCTTGTGCTTACGCATATCTGTGGCTATGAAGCCTTCTTCTGTACGGAGGAGCAGCTCAGCTGGAAGGGCCTCTGTGCTTCAGCAGCAGTTGTTTGTGCCCATGACTTTTTATACTTTGTTGCGCCGCTCTACAGTAGGGCTTTCTGGGGACGCCACAGCTCGTTCCTTATCTGTCTATCTGGCTGTTGGGGGAGAGCATTCTTTTGATGATGAAGATGTCCAGGGAAACCGCGTGGTTGTTGGAGGTGTGTCTGTCTCTGTTTGCTTCTGGCATTAGGTGTTTTGACTGCAACGCCAGAAACCCTACATGGATCTCTCTAACGCATGCAGTTTACGTGTGTCTTTCGTGTTCGGGCAAGCACAGACGGCTTGGCACCCATCTCTCCTTTGTACGGTAAGGCATGCTTGTCATTACTGCGGCATATCATGCGAAGTGGTTGCCCTTGAATTGATCGCTGATGGTGCAGTGGGCTCCTGGAGTTTGCACACCGCACATTTGTATAGGGGAGAGCTCTCTGTCGTTGCAAATGAGGGTCGATGTCTTCTGATGCGCCTTGTCGTGGCGTTGCTCTGGTGTGCTGCGTGCAGCTCAACGGAAATGGACAAAATATATCCCGAGCAGCTGTTTCGAATGGAGCTGGGTGAGTGTGCGTAGAGTTTTCACAACTGAAAAGTAGTAGCCGCACATACGTTCGTATGCCGCCCATTAGGTGCCTTCGCGAGGCAAGAAAAGGGCTAGATGAGGCTGTGAGCAACTTAAGAAGCTGCGCTTTTCTATCCCGCCCATGACGGTTGACTGGAATGCCGGATGATATATATATATATGCATGCATGTATGTGTGTGTGTGTATGTAATTATGTGTTGTATTTCAGGGGGGAATCGCCGAGCCCACGAGTTCCTGAGGGAGCATGGGTAAGGAATAGTGGCACAATGACGAAATACATCTGCCCTGGTGCTTGAGAGCATATGATGCCAACTGCAGTTGTGTGGAAGAAAGTGTTTCATGTCCTTCTTTGGGTAGGAGCCGTCGCGCTTCCTGCTTGACTTGCTGAATGCGGGTGCAGCCGGGGAGCAGGGTGCATGGCCGCAGAGCTTATGGGGGAGACGCGATTTAACTGTGTCAGACGTGCAGGAGTGATGGCTGGTGTTGTTGCATTTGAGGGGGCTGTAGTGGCCCTGGTAGTTTCTTTTGGGCGTGCCGTTGTATATTCCCAGTAGGTGCTTCTGCAAGCATTGAGGCGTCAACTTGTGTGTCGATGCCGTTTCAGGGCGGACCTGAACCAACCGTTGGACTATCAGGGCAAGTTGGCAGCAAAACACCGACAGTTGATGGACGTGAGTTCCCTTGTTGCTGTTTTCATCGGCTGTATTACACTTTGGTAGGGGCTCGTGCTGGGCAAACAGTACTGGGACACAGTTTCATTTTCCATTATACAGGAAAACGCACTTGCAGATGCAGGATTGCGCTGTTGCATTCCCGACGCCGCAACGTAGGGATGCATGTTGGGTTTAACTGAATGGTGATGGATGTACATTGCTGCAGCGCCTCGTCAGCAGTGAGATGAAATCAATTGGATGGGTGGTCGGGGCTCAACAGGACATCGCTGGATGCAACAAGACAGCAGCTGCAGCATCACAGCAGCAGCAGCAGCAGCAGGTGAACGATGCGTTGCATGGCTTCAAGCAGTCTGTACAGCAGCCCGCACAGCCTGTCCCATCTGTTGTCCCGGCTGCACCAGTTGCTGCGGTGGCTCCCTCAACGGCTCCTTCGATCTCCATAGGACGCGGAAATGTACTGGAACACTCCCTTGGGGTTGGCATGAAGCCCACAGGGGCTGGCAGGGGCGTTAGGAGCCGTAAGCTGGAGATGGACTTCGATTTCGAGAAGGAAGCGGCTCTTCTGGCGGCAAAACAGAGGGCAGCAGCACAAGGTAGGCGCATGCCACACCCACCTCCGTGTTGTATCCTCCTGCAGGGTTTGGGCGTGGCTGTGCTAGAGTTTCGGTAGCAGTTGGCAGCTGAGCGTTACTAGGGGCTGTCGCTAGCCTCACTAGGATGCAGACTACCTGCAGTTGCCGCCTGTATACACTTCCTGGTTGATTGATTTCAGCAGGTGCAGGTGTGCATGTGCTTCGCTTATGTAGGGTCGCCGCACACTTCTGGATGTTCTTCCCAGCCACCTCCACAACAGCAGACTGAAGGGCGCGGCGGCTTCAGCAGCAGCGGCAGTGAAAGTACCGGTCTTCCTAGGGCAACAACAAATCCCACTTTCGGCAGCAGCGGGTCCGTTGGCACTGGGCAGAGTGGTTTTGTGGGGAGTGGGTACGGGTCCAGCAGCAACCCGAGTAGTGGCGCCTACGGCAGCAACAGCACGCGTTTTTCGGGTGCGAAAAGCATATCCTCTGCCCAGTACTTCAACGAGGAAGAGAGGTATGATATTATGCGAACACCAATGTACAGTGCAGATGCAAGCAATGGAGGTCGAACTCACCCCGGCTCTCGTTAATCCTAGCAGCCTAGTCGAGAGGGTATGCACTCCAGATTCAGTTGTGGAGGGGATTCTCTAGAAGATACCAATGTGCCTGCTGGTGCTCGGACCTGTTATTATGCTTCTGCAGCTCTCCCCCAGTGGCCGCTGTGCCTGTCGACCCCTCTCGGAGGGCAATAGGCTCGGATGAAGTTTTTGGGCGGAGTAGCAGTGGTAGAAGAGTAAGCGATTTCACTGTTAGTATTCCTTAAGTATAGTTGCACGCCTTTTTATTTGTTTATGTGGAACAAAGTCCTATTGAGTGCCGGAGCGTTGATAGGCGCATAGTGGGTGGTTGGTTTGCCAAAGAAACAATCAGCACATGCCACCCGGAGTAGCTGTATTTTATGGTTTGGCGTGCTTACACATGTGTGTGTGAAGTGGGTATATTAATTGTTGCCAGTCGTCGTGGAGACTGTGATTTTGACTGTTGTGGCTTCAGGGATGGGAGGACCAGAGCGCTGCGCGCGTGGAGACCCTGCGCATGCACGCGCAGCAAGGCTGGCAGCAGCTGTCTCAGGCGGGTAGTGAAGCCCTAAGCAAGGCTCGGGAGTGGCTAGCTGGTACATAAGCGCGGCAGCCAGAGCAGTCTGCATAACAGGTTAGGCTTTAATCAAAGCCGCTCCTTGGAGGACAGTTCAAATTTCAAGAGGTCTATATGGACATTTCCTTTATGACTTGCCCATTAAATATGGTTGTATTCTCCGTTCCAGAGGTTTCGAGCGTCTACTGTAAGATGTCAGCTCTGTAGATCATAGCTACTCTGGTTCTAAGTAGCTCTAGTAAACAGGGTTGTGTTCCAGTGCGACAGGAATAGGTGTTGGTTCTGCACTTTATACAGCTTTGTGGAGTATGGATGATGAGTGAAGACGGCTGCAGATTTAAAGCCGCACCCTGTGATCAGGGAGGTCAGTAACTCGATTCAGTACATCAGTGCAAGCAGGAGCAGTCACAGTTGCACAACGACACGTATCAGAACTACAGGCTCGTTTGTCGTCTGTGCACCGTAGAGTGCGCTAAGGACGCATACGCCTAGGTTGCTCGTGAAGTCAGGTTAAATGCTGAACGTCACAATTTTAGTATTTCATTTTTCGTGTATTACTTAACAGCTGCGATGCGCTCACAGAGCCTCGTAGCTGCTGACGAGACGACTGCGCTCACGATAGCTAATTGATGCATGGGATTTTCCATGTTGCCTCGCTGAGAGGCAACCTCGAGAGCCGGTAGAAGTTGGATGGAATGCTTTACTACAAACCCTTCCGTGTAGAAGAAACTACTGGCCCACTTTCTTTAGCTCAGTACCTCGAAATACTACAAAACCTAGAAGTTACCTAGTTTGTTGTTCTGAAGGGAGTATGGGGATTGCCTATCCGGAGCAAATGCTCCATGTCAGGAAGCGTCCAAAGACCTGGTGAACCAACAATCGGCCGCACTAAACAGCAGTCCATCGAGCCAAAATTGTCAAAGGGGCGGAGATAAATGGACAAAGCCACGGCGTCTGCCTACCGTCCCTGCGTACCGATGGGAAGCCACACAATGAAGGGGTGTTGGAGGGATTCATTGGTAGCGTGGGGGTGTACTTTTGTTTTCAAAGTGCGATTGACTGGCTACACTTTCTTTTTTCTCGAACGGGAGCCATGACAATGGCAGCCCTCTCTAGGCAATGGCGCAGCTCTTCCAGAACATTTTCGGTGATTGTTCTGGTATGCACTGATATCTGCATTTACCCCCAGGTTTGCAAAACCAATAAGCTGTAGCAGGTTCAAGAATAGAGGGAAGCCCCAGATAAAGCACACCTCGAAGCGGCTGCCAGTGTTGAGCCCAAGTTGGGCTAAGAGCTTTTGCTCACTAGGCCAAGGAGAGGAAGGTAAAGGGAGAAAGGGTGGAATTTGCCGAAATGATGGAGTACGTAGCCACAACGAATTAAAAAGGGCTTCCTTCACCTTCCCATTTGGGAAGGGAAAACCAGGACTTGAATGTCCTAATGCCTATTGGAGCACGATTTGGTAACCCTCACGAGAAATGTAGACAGCAGAAGTGGATGAGAGCCGGCAAACACTGAGCACGGGAAGTCGTGGCGAAGCCGTTGTAGGGGGCTTATCGAGAGATGCATTTGACCCCTCTGCAACTATAAAGCTCCACACCATCCCGACGAGTCTGGAAAAGCTTAACGTCAAACAACGTCTCCAAAGCAGCAAGCAAGGCAATTGCGGGAACCTCCTAAAACTCACGGAAGCTCTCGAGCAATAGAGAGGCTGAAAGTACACCTGCAGGTTCTCTTCAAGCCTCACTCTGGCGCACTCAATATGATAATGATGATCGGAAGTAGACAGGAATGCTTGACACGGGATGTGGAGTGAATCTGAAGCCTGAAACTAATCCGGAAAAATTGGTACCTACATGTCAGTTCGCTCGACTAGTTTCTATGATTAAGCTTTGCCATTGGCAGACTGGAAACGAGAACCACTAGGGCAATGCGCGTGGCGTCTCTTCTCAGCTTCACAAGGATCAAACTACTAGGGTACCGGGCGTTCATGCAGGGCCACTTCATCATGAAGCATTGAGGGAAAGGCCTTAGGTGCCTAGGTGAGTGAATGGATCTAGCTTGTGGCCTCCAGCCTTCTCTGATGGAGCCCTTATGCCGGAAGGGATGAGCTAGCTCGTCTCTGAGCGGTTTCAGCAATGTGTGCATTCCTTTTGTAAAATGTGCGGCAGTGGGTTAGCAGATCATGTTGTAGTTCATGCAAAACTAGAGCTGGTGGTCAGATCCTATTCATGGCCGAGGCTCCAGCCCTGAGAAAAAAAAATCATTTGCTCTGTTTTCGTGAACAGCAGGAGGAAAAGGTCTCACATACTCTGAAACAGAAGCTACCGGAGAGTTCCCTTATTCTTACGTGGATCAGAAATGCTATCTCAGTAGTGTTCATAATTAGTTTACCGTCAATCAAATGATGTATAATCAACCACGATGTGTTGATAGACGCAGCCGATATACCAACTTCGCGCCGGCTTCGACTTCAGGTGCTTCGGAGGGACTGGCCCAATTATTCACTACTCAACTTCGATAGCTCAACGAATTTCTGATAAGCATCGCTACTCACAGGGACCGGAAGTTCGTTAGAGCCTTCTGAAGCGAACTTTTGATGCACCGTGGCGTTGACCCCAGCATGACCAGCGGAAAACAGCCCGGAGTAGGTGGTCAACTAGGACACAACCTCATGATTCGGCAGCACCTGTGACTCTTTAGCGCGCAAAATGCATATTGGTTCCCTCCTATTCGGAATCCGTTTACAATTGAACATTCGACCTTTCAACCAGCTGGAGTCTGGCATTGCTGGTATTTCTGTTGTCCTTGATAGCATCTAGGACATTAGAAACACCGGTACGCCACGCAATGCGATTGAACTAAAATCGTTTAGCTAAGTGTTCCGTGAAAACCACTCAACACCGTCTCCAGGTTTCCTGCGCACCGCGGTCCAGGTGGCTCAAGCTGTGGGGGAGGAGGCTGCATGGAAAGAGTTGCAGTGTGCCTTCTTCTGATTGAGCATTCAAGGTAGCTACATACGCGGGCCGAACTGCAACTCCTTTGCTTCATGTACTAACTTAGTTTCTTCGCTGCGAATTTTTTTCACGGCATAGGATATCCGTCTCTACCAGTTGCGTCATGGCACTGCTGGCTGTTCGTGGGTAAAGTTCTGGAGTATTTTGATGATTCCCTGAATACTTTTAGGAAGCCTGCATTAGTCTTAACATGACGCACCCAAGCGGAGAGAAAGTTGGCGATGTAGGCGGGCTCACTGACCCGATAACTCTAATAGCAAAGGGTCCCAACCAGCGTCAAGCGAACTTCGTTGGCAACTCGCCGCCTCCGCTCTTCGAAGTGCTTGTGAATCCAACAAAGCCAAGTCGCCTTGTTGAATATAACGGCTGGGCGTTATTTGCCATAATTTCTCCTCTGGCGTTCGTGTGAGCACGGTAATGCACTTGTGCTTCCCCAGCACAGGCGCATTACCGTGCTCCCGCGAGCTGAGTGGTGAACGCTGCGCAGATAAGGGGCTGACTTTCAACAGAAATATCTAAACTTGGGTCAGCCAACGGTGACTCGGTGTAATCCCGGATTGCCGGAAAGGAACGAGTGTCAGGCTGCACTGTTACTTTACCCACAAATTCTGCATCAGGTAGGAAGCCAAGACACATCGAGGAATGTTGCTGGATAAAGGGGCACAAATAGTGAAGCAGAGTGCCCTTGGTGCATCTGGTGTGACTGGAAGATTTCTGTTTGATATGAGCCTTGAACACACTGGCGTGCCGTTTGCCTTTGAGGGACAGGCAAGCGCTCATGTACCCGCTTCACACAGAATTCCGAACAGGTAACATACAATGCTACATGTGCAGACGGCCAAGGACCTGGGGCTGTTGAGGGAAGTAGGTAGCCCTGCATGAGTTGCGTTATTCCTTGGCCCGAAGAATGGTGCAAGGTAACCCCACAAGCAGGCAAACCCAGGCTTCCTCTTGATGCATGCTCTATCGTCGTACACAACAACTATATACTTGTTCAGTCGTCAATGTCCAGTTGGGGCGCAAACAGAAGTACGCATACCAACTTCAAACAGGCATCGCTACTGTTCAATAGCCACATAAGTTTTATGTCTATCTTAGGGGCCGCCACGGTACAGATGCTCTTGGCTTTAGTTAGTCACAGTAGACTCGACGCCGAAAGTAGGATGAGCATCGTTAGGTTGGGGAGGCGCACAGGAGACATCCTTAATTTGCAGGCCTCTGAGCAGCTCAGCGAAACCTAACATTGTCTGTGTATCGGGACGCACGAGACAACGGGGCCCCCGGTGCTTACCCTTGTGCCAATTCTAAACTATATTTTCCCTGTGCATTGACAGAAGGCTGCCAGAAATTCAGCGGGTTGTTCTTGGGGCTGCTTGCACGGCCGACGGCAGCTGCGACAGACGAGCCGCAGTAGCAGACGCAGCAGCCGTTGAGGCGGTAGCCTAATATCCTAGGAGCCCAGCCACGTCTGCCTTTTGCGGCAAAATCAATTTTCCGCCTTATTTCCTTCTGGGATGTAAACGCTTTTCCGTACACGCATACCACAGGGGAGCCCCAACGTTATCCCTTCGGCTTTCGGGGACACCGGCAGAAGGAGGACCCGAGTCCCAAGTTTCCATGCTCTCATCGTGTGTTGGGGGCCCTGTGCTGGCTTCTTATTGCACCAAAGCCCGTTGCTTGTCTCGTATCTACGTGTCTGGGGCTGCGGCGGCTACACTTCCTCACCGCCGCTACCCTCAGTAACCCTGGTGGCGCTGCACCGGACGCACGATATCCCCTATATATCAAGGGCAGCAAAGCATACAGCTGCAAGCCTATCAGCATCAAGAGCGCCATCCCAAGCCCTATCCAAGTCCCAACAGTTCAACAACAGAGAGTAGAGGGAGATTTAGGCAAACACAGGCTACACAGCGGCAAGACAGGCGCCCGAGGACCCCCTGATACTTTTGGGGCCCCCACTCAGATGTGTTCAGCTGGTTGTTCGGCATTGCAGGGCCCCTGGGCAGCCCCAGCAACAGCCGCACGGTACATTGCTGCAGAAGCGAAGGCAGCAACTGGAGCCAGCACAGTAGGAAGATGAACGCGGACGGCTACGAACCGCCTCTGCAGCCTTCATGGCAGCAGAGGCAGCAGTTACTGCAGCAACAGCAGCTGCATCAACGAACAGTACAGCAACAACAGGATTACGGCAAGCCTTCACAGGCCGTTGCCGTGGAAGGGATACAAGGGAACCAACAGCAACCACAGAGGTGGCAGCAGCAGGCGCAGCAACAGCAGTATGTGTCCTACCCCGTTATTAACAACCCAACGCAGCAACATACTCTTCAACGACAACCTGGGATGATGGAGCACTCTCAGCAACAGATGGAGTGGCCGCAGAACGAGTTGCAACAGGTGCAACACGCACGTCCGTGGCAGCAGCAGCATCCACAGATGCATCAGTCGAGCGAACAGCAGCAGGCGCAGCAGCATACACAGCAGTTACAACGTCAGCAGCAGGCAACGGCGCAACAGATGTTCTCCCATCCTCAAGAGACGCAGCAGCTGCAGCTGCAACCCCAACAGCCGCCGCCGCGGCTGCAGCCTTCTCAGCTGCAGCAGAAAGAGCCACGGCCGCAGCTTTCTCAGCAGCAGCAGCAACCACAGCCGCAGCAGCCACAAATGCAGCAACAGGCACAGTTTCAACAGCGGCCACAGCTACAGCAACAGCCCCAGCTGCAGCCGCAACCCACGACGTCGCAGCCACAGCTGCAGGAACAATCACAGCAGCCGCCGCAGCCCAAGCCATTGCAGCCACAGCTGCAGCAGCAGCCACAACTGCAGCAGCTGCCCAAGCCGTTGGAGCCACTGTTACAGCAGCAGCCACAGCTGCAGCAACCACCACAACTGCAACAGCAGCCACAGCCATCGCAGCAGCCACACCCGCACCAGGAACAACTGCAGCAGCTAACATTGCCGAAGCAGCAAAAGCTGCAGCAGCAGCCACATCTGCAGCAGCAACCAGCGGTGCAGCAACCTGGGCTGCAACAACAGCCACAGCTGCAGCCACAGCAGCAGCAACAACAGCCGCAGCTGCCACAACCGCTGCAACAGCAGGCGGCAGCGCCTCAACAACCTCATCAGCTGATGCAGCAGCAGAGTAGCGTCCAATCGCAGTATTTGTCGCATGATCATACCAACGCAACAGCAGAGCCTGAGCCCTCAGTGACCTCTGTCACACCTGCGGGCGGGATCCGTGCGCTAAATGGTTTTTCTGCTGTTTCTTCGTCTGCTGCTCATGGCATTGGCAATAAGGTTGGTGCGTGGGGCGATCCCCGTTCAACTGGGCAGCCGATGAGGTCTAGCCATGCTGCAGGAGATGCATCGGCAAGCGACGTTGCCTTTGCGACGCAGCAACTACCACAACAGCAGCCGCAGCAGCAGAAGGGTCAACGTCAGCAGATGCCGCTGCAACCACAGCAGCAACAACTTTTTTATTCAACCCCGGAGCATCATCCAGCAGCAGTGCAGCAACAGTCAATTCCGCACCTTCCCGCGCAGGATGCACAAGGGCACACACTCTTCCAACCCCATCAGCAGCTTTATCAACCACAACAACAGTTTCCACCACAACAGCCTCCACAGCAGCAACCGTTGCTCCCTCAGCAGCAGACGCAACACCAGCAGGTGCTACAGCAACAACAGCAACAGGCGGCGGAACCAGCCCCATTTCGGCAGGCGCAGCAGATGGGGCAGCCGCCTGTTGACCAGGGTTGTGATCCGGTGCAACAGCAGCAACAGCAGCAGCAGTTGCAACAGCAACAGCAACAGCAACCACAGCTACAACAGCAGCTACAGCAGACACAGCTACAACAGCAGCAGCTGAAACAGCAGCAGTTGCAGCAGCCTCAACTACAACAGTGGCAGCAGCAGCAATACAATGCGCCCCACAAGAACGTCTCCCAACCACTCCAGCAGGAGCGGCGGGCACCTTCTCTTATGGGTGTAGGCACGGGATCGTTTCCTCCTAGCGCAGAGCCTAATGGCGTCAAAAGCTCTTCGGATAGAGGTGAACATGGACAGAAGCGGCAGCAGCAGGAGCAACATGACAGTGTCCCGGAAGACATGCCGCCGCTGCAACCTCTCGCGCGCCCCATCAACAACCGAATCGACCCCGCCCATATTCCTCGCCCTGAGTGGAATGGTACGCTAGACGATGGAGAGAAATGCGTCAGTGCCACTGCTGTTGTTGATTCTTCCAACTTCTGCACTCATTGCTGTAGGATGCATGTCAAGCTTATCTCGCTTGCCTGTCCTTTTGCCGCATATATGTGTCTCCGTTGTCGTTGCCTGGCTCGCATGCCCACATTACTGTAGGAGGCGTGGCGTGCGCATCTCGCTTCTTTCTTTGTGTAGTGCGCAGCACTACACAAAGAAAGAAGCGAGATGCGGATCTGCATCTGCCGTTTCGGCCTCCTGTGCTTGCGTTTTAAAATTTATCGTGCTCCTGCCTAGTTGGTCCAAGTGCCGTATGTCCGCGTTTTGCTTGTTGTGTCGTTACCCTCGTCTTTTCAGAACAAATAACGAATATATACGGAAAGAGGATCGAGACAGACAAGGCAGGGGCTACTCCCCCGTCGCCTGCCGGATTTTACACGGCATTCGACAAGGGCTGCTGCAGCTGCAGGTTCATGCGCTCTACCATTAACCAGGTATGGATCAGGAGGTTGCTACAGCTGCATCTGCTAGTGCTGCTTTTCTTTTGCAGAAATAGGCAAAGTGTTGCCTTTCTGACCCCGGTGGTTCTTGAGCACCTCGCCTTGTCGCTTATGAAGAATAGACAGCAGCAGAAGCAGCACGGTGGTCTTCTGCTGTTTGGAGCGCTTACGTTGTCGCCTGCCGTGCTGCTGTTCTGCAGGTTCCGGCGTTCAGTCACAGTCTTGAACTCTCTCGGCTGCCGTTCGCCATTGTCGTTACCCCCTTTGCTGCACAGCCCCCAACTGAAGAAGCAGTGCCTTTGGTGGACTTGCGGCTCAGCCGGAGACAGGCGGAGCAGCCCTATTCGTATGCCGGCTCAGCGGCAACAGCAACACCTGATCAAGACTCCACTGTGCGAACAGACTTCTATGGGGGTTATTTCGACGTAGAAGAGTCAGATACAGAGGACGAGAGAGATACGGGAACTGGCAGCAGCAGCAGGAATGCCGCTTCTGCCGGTAGCAGCTGGAACAGGGGCAGCTCCAGAGCAGCAGCCAGCGGCGAGGGGATTGTTAGGTGCACCAACTGCATGGCTTATCTAAGTCCATTTATGTCGTGGGCCAGCAATAGCACGCATTGCTTGTGTAACCTCTGTGGCTCCTCATTCGAGCTGCCCCCCTTCTACCTGACGCTGTTAGATCGATACCGCAGCGGCCTGCGCGCCAGCAGCAGCGGTATGGGGGCAGCTTCTTCTGAGGGGGAGAGGTACTTTAGACAGCGTAGACAGGAACTGTGGAAAGGGTCCATCGATTTCGTGGCCCCCAGGGCCTTTGCGGACGCTTCCAAACTAACCCAGCTGCAGCACAAGAGGGAGCGTATGCTCAGGCAACTGCAAGTGCAAAGGGAGGCCACCAAGCAGCATCAGCTTACCCAACAGCAGCTGCATCGAGCAGATCAGCAGGGGCTGCAGCAGGAAATTGACGAAAACTGCGTGAAGCAGCTGCACGCGCAGAAGAGCAAGTGGGGGGGAGCCCAGGCTGGGGTTTCGGCTGGTGTGGACTCTGACAGCCAGTGTGGCGATCCCCTTCCCCGCTTGTGTGGCAATAGCAACGACAGCAGCCTGCGGCCGTGTATCGTCTTTGTAGTTGACGCCACAGCCCCGAGTCTCACGTCGGGTCTATCACATTCTGTTGCTGCGGGGCTGGAACAAGTACTCCGTGAGGTGTACCTCGAGGTGGATATATGCCTAATTCTCGTTTCTGACAGGCTGTATTTCATTCCAAACACCAACAGGACCGGACCACAGCACCTGCAGCAGGGTTTGCAGCTTTTGGTTGTGGACGACGTTTCGGATCCATATTTACCTGCTCCAGTAGAACACTGCTTTTTTCGGCCCCAGGACAGAGACGGAGTACGGGACAGGCACCCTGTAGTTAGCCGCTTGTTAGGTTGAGAGTGGGGAAAATATGGAGCAAGAAATATTGGTTAATGTGCTTCGCCGCTCTGGCACTGCAACTACTAACTGCTGTGTCTGCCCAAACAGGCTGGAAGTTTGGCTATCTGCAAAGCCAGCAGATTGTCCGGATGTATAGACACAGTTGTAAGCAAAATGGTTGAAAGGTACGTGCGTTGTTTCTTTGTCTGCAGTTACTCTGGGCAGTGTCGCTGCTCCCAGCAGCCTTAAACAGCTGCGTCAACATATCGCATACCTCTGCAGCTAATGCTGCTCTAAAGGTGATCTCGCAGACAAGACGCTTCAGCGGCAGCTGTACTTGCTGTGGCTGGTCGCGAGTAGCTACCAAAGACTTTGCATTTTGGCGACGGTAGCGACGGAGACAGCTAGTGCAGTTGATGCCATTTTCATTGCCGCAGCTGCACCGCCAACAACACATACATTACAGCCAGCAGCGTCTTCTAGCCATTCCTTTCTGCGCCAGTTTAATTTGCCGGATCTGGTTGGGAAGCACGACATCTATTGGTTCAGTGTCCTCGTCGGAAGTGTCTTCTCAGCCCCAGTGTAACCACAAGCGTATGCAGCACCTACCTGTGATGGGGCATGCGCAGGTAGCGGTCGATTTAATAGCTGAGAGATCCGCGGGTGGGATGGTGGAGATGTTTTACTGTACCTTGCCAGACGTCGGTGAGGCTTTTATCCCAAGTTCCACGGGTAGTTCCTAAAGGTTAAGGGTTGTGGGTAGGAACTTGACTCTTGTACTTGCCGTACGGCCAGAGTTTTTCCATGAGCGTGTATCCACACTTTTGCAGGTGTAGGGGCGCTCAAGCACTCTGCAAAGGCATCACAAGGGCCAACAAAAGCCACCGAAATCCACCAAGTAGGTCAACACACATGACGTTTCGGGAGGTGATGTAGTTGCCTTGGCGCCAACACGGGACAACAGGGAAGCTGGGAAGCTGCAAAGAAAGGGGGCAGGAGTAGGCGTAAGGCGTACATGCAACAGTTCAGGCAGCAAGCAGATTTGGGGCTGGAAGGGGCACAGTCGGGAACAAAATGCTCTGCCTAGATTTTGTGCCTTTGGGTTTCAGCAAGATTTCTACAACTCCATTATAACACAATGCTTTGCAGCTTGTGTATGCGTGGACGTATACGCGTGTCCTCCGCCCAACTTAATCCTGGAGCTCCAATCCCTAGGTTTTCCCGCACAACAAACAGGAGGAGACATTCGCTTTGTGCCAGAATTCTGTGGCTCAAGGTGAGAGCTGGGAAAAGTATGCGCTGGATGCGGGTTCTGGAGCAGTACTTGGTCTGTTAGATATGGTGCCCGCCGACGCATTCAAAGGGCCACAGCGTATTTGTGCTGTTCTTCATCCTTTCTGCAGAGACAAGGAGTGGGTGGCCGCCGAGATAAGGCGTATCTTCACCTCTTGTTTCTACTTCGATGTCGAATTTAAGCTGCGTCTTTCGAAGGTCCGTTTTGCCTGCCCTGCAGCGGCGTCTGCTAATTTAGCCCCTTCTCTCGGTGTATGAACGCGATATATGTGTTTCATCTCTTGGCGGCCAAACGTTGTCCGGTGGCGTCAGCCGAATTTGCTCTTGCTGCTGAGTTTGCTTGTACATACGTAAATAGTGCATCTATTGGAGCAGTTGCAGTTGCTACTGCTCGCGCCAAAATGGTATGGATAATCACATGGACGTAAAGGTGGTTTTGCGAAAGTAGATGTGCTGTACTTTCCCCAACCCTTGGCAGCTTGGCTGCCGCCAACTCCTGTGAGGTCAGGAGACTTGAGATATGCTTGTTGCCTTTGCTGCTGACTGCAGGGTTTGGCTGTGGACAGAATCTTGGTCTCCTTTTCTGGGGCCAGGTCGTTGGTGGACCAAAGCACTTTCCGGCTTCCTCGCCTCAGCTCACAGTCGACTCTGTTGTTTCAGTTGAAGCACACGGAACAGTCCGTTGATACCCTAGAAAAAATATGCTTCCGAATTGTTAGACACTGCGGGATTTTATTGGGGGAAATGAAAATTTGGAACTAGGTTTTCCGGATGGCAATTGCGCCATACGTCTCCAGGCATGGTTCATGTGCTTGCGGGCGAACAGGTTGGAGACGCAGAAGAACGTTTATGCTCAAAGTGTATGTGCCTACATCCCGATGCATCCTTCTAAGAAAGTACCGAACCGGCGTCTTCTGAGGGTGCATTCTTTGTCATTGCCCATAACATTTTCTCTCGCTTCTCTGTTCCGCTATGCAGAGGTGAGTGCCCCTGAGTCAAGATATGAGATCATTGCGAAAGCAGTGCACGTAGATCATGGTAGCCCATGGTATCTGCCGCATGACATTCCGCTTTGGAACGCTCTACGGGCTTCTTTGTGTTGCGCCACCCCATTTGATTCGCATGGTAGGTGGACGCTACGACTTTCCTAATGGCCAGGACCTCAGCCATTATGGAGCTTCATCAAGAACCCCAGTGGCGGGAAAAAGCCATCAAGAACCTCGTCGAGATTCTTAGCGCATATCGTATAAATGTACATGCCCACTAACCACAGGATGACAGGTTATCATTATTCGATTAACCGCCTGAATGCCCGTATACTTGATCGCTTTCTACCTTCATTTTGCTTTAAGCTTCTCAGGATGTTGGTGGCTCAATGGTAGTGAGCACTGCGCGCAAAGGTAATTTGCTCCGTGGTTGTTTTGACATATTCTTTTTTTCTTCCGTGTCAGCCTTTCTGTTGTTGCAACGCAGTGTGCAAGCGCATCATCCGAGGGCCAGCTTATCCTTCCAGACTCTCTGAAGCTCCTTCCAGTATACTTGCAGGCGCTATTTAAGCATGCTGTAAGGCTTCTCATCGCTAATCAACGTTGGAATGCTGTACTTTGTGCCCTCCTAGGGCCCACACAGCCGGCAAAACTGCGACACTTGCCAGCCGGGACTGTTGTGTGCCAGTCTACAAGCGCAGTTTCTACATGTTTCCGATGCATATAAAGCTATAGGCAATATTGATACTGGCGTAAGAGTACACATATTCGTGGACTTTTGCTTGAGATCACGTACGTTCATATCATAGCTGCGGTTTTCTGTGCGGTCAGGCTTTCCGCCAGTCGACAGTGGACCCCCAGGTCCGGTTGTTTCAGTTGTTGCAGTTCCTGCGGATGTCAATTACGGAGTTTTCAACTCATCTCTATCCCCGTCTCTGCCTCTTGCACAAGTCCTACCTGCAGCCGCCGGGAGGCAAAGAACGCAAGGCACTTGATCGGGTAATTACAAGGTAGTTAGGCCGTCGGGCCTTCATAGCGGGAAAGCTCGAGCCTTGGCCAAACACTGAGCTGAGAGCATTACGTGCAAGGAGTTTACAGGGTTCCGGATGCTTTTTGGGAAGGGATGTACACTTTTAAGTTGGCGGTCGGGTGTCGTCTGCAATTTACTGTGGCTCTGTTGCGCAGGTAGGGGAGTACAGTGGTGTCGAAAATTTCGTATGGATGCCGCAGTCGCTTCCGGCCAGTGGCACAAACATCCTAAGTGACGGAGTTTATCTGTGCGAAGCTGGATCGTACATGTTGTTGTACATAGGCCAGCACGTCCGGAGAGAGTATATAATAGACGTAGGCCTACACTTTGCCGTATGCTAAGAGGACAATAATGGCTTAAGAAGACACACAGACACAAGACACACAGTGAACATAGAGGCCGACAATTGATCAGTTATTGATGCGTAGAGTTTTTCTTACTGTAGTGTCGGCGACGCTCCCTGCCGCGTCCACATTTAGGTCTCATCTGTTGTCTTATTTTTCGATTTGTCGGTTGGGGTCCTGCAGCTTTTTGGATTTGATGCGCAACTTGACGAGCGGTCAACGACGGAACTACGACTTCAGAATACTGAAGGAACCGCGGGAGGTCTGGCGATTCAATGCTTACATCATGTTGCTCATCGTAGCGTAGTGAATTTGTGGGAAAGATTATTTCAGATGTTCACGCTTATAAGTACAAACTCGTGCCCAGGCCAAAGGTGTACCTCGTACCTCTTGTATTTAGGAGGCGCAGTACCGTCGATAGAAAACTCAGAGCAAGACCAGTTGGACGAGAGAACGTGGCGGAAGCAATGAGCTTTCTGTTGTTCCAAATGATTTTGTGATCTTTCTCAGAGAGAATCCTTCGCGTCGTAGAGCAAGTTCGTTTCGAAAAGTTTGACACGCCTTACATCCCCTTGCGGATTGTCGCACCAAAGTGAGATTAACCCATGACCTATGAGAACCTTAAGACTGAATGATATCAGTCTTCAGTCGGGCTTGCCTCGTTAATTCTTGAGGCCGCAAGGCATCGTACACATCCAACATTGTAACGGGGGGCTACACACTTTGGACCAGGACCACACACTTTGTAAACATGCAATTCCCCGATTTCAAGTTCTTATTTGGGTTTGTGGTTAAGTGTCGGGCAGCATTGCGGCACGTGGAAGTAAACAGTAAGACTGCAGTCCAGTGAAAGTTTTGTGTCGTGATGCAGGTCTTATGACGAAACTCGCCTGTTGACGCACCTCATCGAAGATCCACTGAGCGGAGATGGGAGCTACGTGGATTTTCTGTGCGACCTCCACAAACGAGTTCACGCCAGGATGGAAGACAATTGACATAATCAGGGGCGCAGTGACGGAAGCGGGCGAAGATGTGCATGTGTAGACATGCGATGCTGTACAGAAGCTGCGCCCGCATAATTTTAGGCGTGTGTATATTTGAGAAGAGAAACATTCTAAACACAAGGCGGAACGTGCCCCTTCCGGGTTGCCGACAGCTGCGCAGAGGCGTAGGGAAGGCCTTGTACGCTTATCAACTCCTTTTGGGTTACGACTACTTTCGCGAAGAGCCGGTGACCCTCGCAGCAGTCAGCAATTGACATGATGAGGTTGAAGTGATGAGAAGGCAGAGGGCAAAAACGCTTCCGTTGCCCATGTTATTCTAGCCCAGTAGGCCCCGTAGGTTTGGTGGTCTTTTGCTTACATGGGGATCCGCTCTTCTCCCCAAATTATGTTCTTGGCTACTGATTCACGTCTCAAGGCTGCTCCGGGGATACAACGTAGCATTCATTAACCCTTGCGAATCAGCATATTGTTCCCGCCTCCTGAGTACGCCCTTACAGCCCCCGCGCTTGTCCTCCAAAGAGCAAACGAGAGCACAGCAGCTTGCTTAGGAAGCTTGCTAGAAACCGCTCAGCCATTTTGGTTTTTTTGGGAAAGAATGACTATGTGCAACACAGTTGCACGCGTATAGCTTATCATCCTGCCTCCTTCGCGTTGTTAAAGCTTAGCGGCGCAGGCACTTGTAGATCCAAACGCCGGCTGATATTGTGTGTCGTAGTGCCGCTGTCACTGGGCGCGCATCTCCCCACTAGTTATCGTCCCAGCGACGGAAGTTACAGTATATAGCCTAAACAAGCAAAAGCAGGAGGCAGTCTGCATAAGTAGCTGGGCGTTGGGAGTTTCGCAAACGATGGTGGGTCATTTCTTGTCTACAAACCGGAGCCTACATGAAAAAGTTCGATGAATACTTTCCAGGCTATTCTGCAAAGATGCACTGTCGGTGCGCGTGTATCTACACAACTTTGCCAATCGCAACCTAAGACTTGCAGCAAACTGACGACCGCCTTCCAGTTATGGGTTGCTAAGAAGAGCTGTCGAGGTGATGATGCCTCCCTATGTCACAAGTGGTCTACTGACCTCGATAAGTTTTTGCAAGTGCATCAAATCTGTCACACCGCATATTTCCCTGCATGAATGCATCGCCCACTGGGGTATCCCGATGTCTACTGTGCGCACCCCTGCGGACCACCAAAAGCACACAGGAAACCCCCTTCCCCTGTTACTCGGTCTGCAACTTAAGAATCATTGCCAAAATCATGAGGCACGTCGATTGCATCATTATTTACTGGGAGATCATCCACAACAGGGTAGTGCTGGAAAGCGGCATCTAAACGAAAAGTAAGAAACGGCTCGCCAGCCTCCACCTCCGTGGACAATGGATATTCAAATTCCACCAGTGAAAGCGACAGTAAAGCGCCAAGCAAACCTCACCTAAGCGAGCACTCAGCATGGCCCCGACGGTACCGCCGCATCTGCTGTCATTACGCACAACGAAGTCTTGCAGGGGAATTCCTGCGTCTTCTGCAATGACGCGGACGAAAGACATCGAGCAAGCATTGGAAGCGTAGCTCTGGTTGGCGTTTTCCTTTATGACGACACCCTGCAGTAGCCAACAGATAAGCCATGCGGCAGCATGAAGATAAATGAGCCTAGGAGAGGTAGCATACAGCAACAAATGCAAAGTGCCTGAGCTGCTGCACATCCAATGAACGCGAGCCGGCACGAACGTAAAGGCCTCAGTGCCTTTTCGTTCGATCTGGCAAAGAAGCGGAATAAGCGCGCAGAGTGGCAAACCAACAGGTTCGAGAAGGACATACACAAGCCTGATCGATACACTAACAAGTAACTTGCCTTGTGCATTGATGGTTTGTGTTGAGACTGATGCTTATCGCTGTAGTTCGGATGCACTGCATGGGCCATGTCTGAGCTGACGATGAAAGACTTAGCGAGAATTTCATAGAAAGAGCGCTCGTGTTTAAGGGCATCAAGACACCTCCGCATCCACGCCTAAGCATAACCAACTCAAGCTGTGTTCGAAAGGTCTCATGTTCGTTGTCCGCCGGTACTTGACTTTCCACAGTGTTCAAAATAAACGGTCTGCTTTCAGGGCAGCAACCTGCACAGCAGCTGCTGCTGAGTAAGAGAGGCAGCCACTTCCTCCAAGAGCGCGCAGAGGGGATTCGCCGGTTTTCACACACAGCTTGCGAAACCAACCAGTTGTAGAAAGCTCAACGATAGAGCTAGCAAACTCAGGAATCACTGGAGCTTTTCTCCGCACTTCAACACGCAACCATACAGTTACATCAAGACAAACAGCGCAAACGCCTGCTACGCAGAGTTCCTGTTTGCAGATCTCACTAGCGCAAAAACGAGATGAAGAAGGGATGGAGAAAAGACTAAGGTGGTCAGAAGAAACTTCAGTGTGCTACCTCGAGAATGTTGGAGTTGGCGCCTGCCAGCGATTCCGACCCGACTTCTTCGTGATCAAACGCTACAGCCATTATAATGTCGTCCTTTATACTTTCACAATGGCGTCTGCTAGTCTCTATTAGCGCTTCAAACGCGGCAAAGGTCGAGGCCAGGTTGTCTAGTCGCGGGCTCTCGATGAATTCCGAGTGAATACCTGACAGGCGGCTGGGCGTGGAGTCCATTAGACAAAAATCCCAATCTAGAAGCTTTGCTTTGGGTACTCCAATCGCTCTACGAGACAGAACACAGGGGTGAAGAGCAAATACGCAGTTCTATTCCAAACAAACAGGGTCTTACCAAGGGCTACCTGGCTCTACGGATTGAAGCACGACCGTCCGTGAAAGGCCACGTGACGAGATTAAAGTTGAAAAGGAAATGATCAGGACACAACAGCACGCGCATGCTCTGATGCCGTCTACAGCTTCAGAGGCTGAAGACTCCCAATAAGCTCCCGGGGAAGCTCAAGTATCCAGATACACACTGCTCGTTCAATTGTATCAGAAAGACTAAACGTTACCCCTCACTCCGTGACTAGACGCTCTAGAGCAGGCGGCAGGCGCTGGGCCTCATCTTTATTGTCCTGTTCTTTGCCCTCGTTGCCCTGGCTTAGTTGCTCGGCTATGGCCGAACACAAGACCGGCTGCAGGTGCTGCTCCTGCGGAAGCGAACGAGCCGTCGATATATGGTAAACATTATTGTATCAAGTGCACTGTGCAGTCATTAAACGCAGCAGAACGTGTTATCAATCGCATGACAAGGGATGCGTGCCGACAACAAAAACTTGACCTATGCCTGAGGCATAAGCTCAGATCACACGTCTAAAACCTGCATAGGCCTCTACCGTAAGAGCTGAAAGCAATGGTCTACCCCCCACGATTGAGAGCTCATCAATTCTACCCAGAAGGCACATAATTGCCTTCCACGTACAGGGGAATAATTGCTGATGAAACGACTCTGGAACCAAGCCGAGACGAGAACACAGATAACAGGGACCCCATGTGCTTACCTTGTTGATTGTGAATGCCCCAATTTCCTCGGCTGTTTTTAAGTGTATCGCGAGATTCGGCAGGTAAAACAAAGGCTTTGATATATGAAGCAGTCTCTCTTCCACCTTGTTCCCTGCAACGTCGCCGAAGCCAAAACCGCAATACAGGTGTTGTAGCGCACTCAGATAGTGCTGCCGTTTTCCTTTCAGTGTATTACTATGTGTACACACCGTCACCAAGACAGCAGGGTAGCCCTTACCAACGCGAAGGGCAACCTTTCCAGCCATGCCAAGTCCCCTATCAAACCACGTGTGCCAAAGGCCCCCGCCGTAACATTCTACGCCGCCCTGCGTTTCGTTTCACAAACGCAGCTTGTCTCCGCCTCTCAGGTTGAAAACGGTTGAGCTAGTTCTGTAAGCTGAAGGGGGCACTGAAACAGGACGCCCAACCTGAATTACACTACTCACCATGTGATACCCTTCTTTCTCCGCAAAGGCGCGCGGCCTCAGACGCAAACAGGGAGAGTCGGTGTGCGTTGCTGTTATGCAAAAGCCACCAGTGCCGGAATATCCAAAAGCTGCCCCTGAAACGATGCATGACATTTTTCACAAGTTTCCAACCCCGAAGCCTTCAGTAAGCACCAGCTTCTAGAATGAAGTCAGGGTGTCCCTCGCTGTAGCCACGCCAGCTTGTGCACCGCTATGAAGAATCCAGAAGCTACAGAATGAAAAGACCCACCAACGACAAACGCAGCTATGCATGAATCATTCCTTGTAACAAAGTATTTGCCTCCTTGCGTCACTTTCCAGCTTCCCCTGAGAAAATACGAGGACATCAGGTTATTCCATGCCCCTGAGCACTGCTTAGCAGGAAGCGCCCTTCTGTACCAGCGGTAACTGGCACAGCTTGCTCAGATCTTCTTCCTGCCCACTGCAACAATCTAGCATCAGCCTTCCACCCCAATTTACTACAGTGAGCAGCTAGGAGCATGCCAGTCTCACCTCTCGTCAAGCTCCGAGAAGCCTGCAGTGATAAGGATATCTTTCACAGCCTTGACTGAGTGGTAGGGTGAGCCTGTTTTGTTAACAAAATGGATGAACCTCTCGGCCACCGGCCTCGCCAGCTCCAGAGCCATCCTACGCAGAAAGACATAGCAAATGGCGCAGAAGCCAAGAACCGCAGCGCGCCGCAGGCAAATATTCTCCCCGAAAATGCTACTGCAGATAAGTATCAGATACCCAGACAACGTCAATAAACATGAGAGCTTTTATTTTCTCCTTTAGGAGGCTTCAAAGGTTCACACACACATGGAATGCCTAAACAGCCAAGTTGGATTTCCTGGTCAGTTTGGCGTACTTGTCACTTTGAATGGTAGATGACGTTGGCATCAGCAGCCGCTACAACGAAAAGTATTGGCTTTCTATCGAATAAAGCAGACGTATGAACTAGCCCTTTCCTCCGTTGCCGCTTATCTGCGGCAGGGGCCTGTGGTCGCGTGGCTGGAGGTGTTGTAGTGAACAGCTCTCCCGCCACTGCTGTTACTACGTGTTACTCTATACACACCTACTTAGGTGCACACACAGTATCTATCGCCGGACTCAGTGAATTCTCTGTAAAGCATTCTACATTACCAAATAACAGACTTTACGCCAGGAATCCACTTATCCAATATGTATTAAGGAGAGAAGGAACTGCCCGTTGCTTAACCCCCCAAGGGTCAGTGCCTCAGCGGCACAGTCAGCCCCAAATTCTAAGGGTTGTGGGCTCTCGTAACCCAGTTAGCCACAACTATGCTCTATGTGATCTTCCTTAAATAATAATATTTAGCATATTGTGTTTTCCCCAGAGATAGGCCACTAGAGGCCCGGCGCGGAGCCTATTTTACAGCCTGTGCACTACAGAAGGGGCTCGGGCGCGGTCGCTCAAAATGTTGATCAGCTCTAGACGGATGGGCCAAATTAGTAAAACTAGTGCAAAATAGCAGCATAAATAGCTTATTTACAGGTACTAAGAACACCTCACCTCGTGGCAAGCTACATAAGAGGATGACCCGACCACCGGCTGCGGGTGCTGCAATGCAGACGGTTCCGTTAGCAACATATGTTCATGGCTCCAACCAAATACATGTTCACTAATTTGAAATAGAGCAAGACCGGACCAAGAAGGTACGATGGGAGACCCAGCGAATCCATGAGGGCTGGTGGTGTAGGGGTATCACGTTCGCTTCGCATGCGAAAGGTCTCGGGTTCAATTCCCGACCAGTCCAGTGTATTGGAGTTTTTTGCAAACCTGTGCCGCATGGATGCCTACGCGATGCTTTATCTGTGTAGTTGCACTAGACCAAATTACGTCGGGTAGCCACGATAATTACAACATATTCGGCGCAGAATTAGCTGGTAGTAATGGAAGCCTCGAACGCACTAGGAAGCGAGCGTATCTTTGACAATCGCGTCTGAGATTTGAAGATCAATACATAGCAAAGTAGCATTTGCTTTCCTGAAGTGGAAGAGGTATGGCCACACATACCACGGGCTACATATGAAGGAAAAAGACTCGCCTGCAAGTTATAGTAGGCAGGGTGAACCCTTGATGCGCTTTTGGCCACCCCATCATCTGCTTAGAGGCATAAGACGAGACGAAGCACTTCCTATAGATAAACCCAAAGCTTCCGGAGCACTTCCCGTAGTAGAGAATTTAAATTTTGTGCGGTTTGAGTATCAATCGAGAGTCGTTAGGTAAAGAATCCAAACTGCTTTTAACGTACAGGGCATTTGTACAAAGGCAGCCTAGCACAGCTTGGCTGTCTGTTCTATCTAGAAACGTCACCTTCGCTCACCCATACATTGACGGAGGAAAGCCATTCAAACATTTCTTGTGAGACAGGCACATCCAAAACAAAGAAAAATATCCCCAAAGAAGTGAAAGAGTAAAGAATGAAGGGAAAATTAACGGGGAGGAAAATTAAAGAGACCGAAAACTCGGCCACCACAAAAAGGTTGGCATCAGTAGCTGGAGCATCGCATTTTTGCCTGGAGAAACTGTAGAGCAGATAGCTTATCTTCAGTCCCCACGGGTTGCTTGTTGTGACGGAGGGCCTCGGCCAACAGGTAACCATAGTTTCCAAGGTATTGTATAAAAGCATCTTACACCCTACAGAGAGAAGCTACGGTGCTCCACATCTCCTGAACGCTACCGCGCTTTCATACCGAGGAGCGGTGGCTGATTTCCCTAGATTGACTCCCTGTCTCCTGTAACGCTGCGCAAAGTGGAGCATGAGGTGTTTTTAAACCGCGTCAATTCCACTCCATGGTGCAGGGCTCAGTGTGCACCTAAGCTGCCATCGCAGTGGGGTAATCAGGTGAGGAACTCCAGATTGCAAGCGCAGCGTCCTGCAGCTGCCTATATCCATTAGGGGCACCTGAAGCTATCCCTCTCCAATGAAACAGCGAATAAATGACAGGAAAGCAGTTGCCTACAGTCGGATGGAAAATGGAAGTGACAATATGGATGCTCCCGAGGAAACACAACAGCCACAATAGCCATTTGCACCCTCCACTGTTCACTCTCAGTCAAAAAGCATTCAGAGCCCGCGCGTGAAACCGTACTCGCAATATAATTAACAGTACTGTTTCACGGGTTGGAGTAGGTACAATGCACGATCAACAAGGGGTCATCTAGTCCATCGTCCCCTGTGTCGAGCCCTCTGTATTAATAAAACGACTTTTACTGAGGTAATCCAGGCCTCAACCCCGGACGCATTTCACGTGGTCCTGTTATTCTGTTGTATCGTCCCTACCCGCCAAGGTTGTAGCGCTGGCTGTGCCTGCACAGTTGCTACATGGAGCTGATCCAGAAGCCTTTGCTCCATCGTTTTATTTGAAGAACAAGTAACAGATTATTAAGACAAAAGCCCATTTCACCAGAGGACCTGAAGCTCTCGTTTCGGGAGCAATCTTCACTCTAGAGGCGAGCGGCCGATCGCAGCCCACGTCAGCAGGTGACACCGTGAAACTATTCGCTGACGGCTAATCCGTTATCACGGATTTCCTGACGTGCTTATCTCCGATCGGGATCCTCGTTTCCAGTCAGAAGTGTGGGCGCAACTGTGCTCCCGATTCAATATCATAAGGACGACTTCTTCGCCCTGCCACCAGCAGACTGATGCGCAAACTGAAAGGGTCAATCGCACTCTTGAGCAAATGCTGCGGATGTACATACAAGCGGATGAACGGGAGTGGGAAGGCTTAGTGCGGGCCGTGGACCTGGCCCGTAATACTATCCCCACTCCTCCACCGAGCTTTCCCCATGATCGGCCATAGCCCTGTAAGCGCAGCCGACATGGATATCGCTGGTGCCTTGGCCCCTACCACCACCCCGCCGATGACCAAATTCTTTCGTCAGCTCTGCGATCGGGCGCGGACCCACATCCTGCGGGAGAAGTGGAAACTGAAATACTATGCTGGCTCTAAGCGCCGAGCTGCGGAGTACAACATCGGCGACAAAGTCTGGCTCAGCAGTAAACATTTGCCGGCCCTTAATCACTGTTCTAGGTTCGAACCTCGGTACCGAGGCCCCTTTATGGTGACCTAACGCATCGGTGCGGTGGAGAACCGTCTTGCCCTGCCTCCCACCTATGAGGGCCACAACGTGTTCCAAGTGCCCCAACTGGTCCCACATCAGCCCCGCGCACAGGCTCTCGTTCCGCCAGAAGTTCCTGTGGGCTGGCCTCCCACACGTGATGAGGCAGGCAATCCTACGGTCGTATAGGCCAGCATGCTGGGCCAGTAATAATGCTTGCTAAGGGCAAGATTAATCTTCCTTTGTCCCCGGTGTCCTGCTGTCACGTGATCGTGATGGAAGTACAGGACATGGGTATGGAATTCCGGAAACTGGGGAACGCATATTAAGCAGATTTCGTTGAAACAAATGCGCAAGTAGGGCGCTACATTGCGGAAACCGTGACGGCGATGCTGGAACTCCAATTTGACTATTTCCCCTGGCCTGGTTATTGCTGTCTGATAGGGGTCGCGGAAGATCGGACTCTTGGAATATGCTGCCGGCCAATCAAGAGAAGGTGTAGGGGAAGTAGAGGTCTGCTGCGGGTTCCTCGACGGTGAACTAACGGGAAGGGGGCTCGTCTTAGGGGACGGAGGAGTCGAGTGCGGGTTAGAAGGCGGCGTAGCGGGCCTTTTCCGGGAGGTTCGAGAGCGGATGCTAGCGAGTTCTCGGTGGTCTGTCTGTCGTCGCCTGGTTTTAAAGATAGAACAGATGGATCGGCATCAGGCATTAGGGACGTTCATGACCCAAAGAGTGGCCTGGTGTGTTCGGTGGTCTTGGTGAGCGCGCTGGGCACGGGGTGACAAGGGAGACGAGGCAGGGTGTCAGCCACTTGGTTACATTAGTTGCTCACCGTTGGCCACTGTAAAACTGCACTCCTCTCCCAGCCGTCGTACTCTTAGCTGTAGGCGTTCACAGTCCTAGGGTTGATAAAACTCCTTGATGCCCCTGAATCTAATAGCTGCGTCTCATGCATTTCCTGCCACATTGACCCCCAAAGTGGCAATAGTTCCTGTATTGCACAATCTTCCTCTAACACTCAAGTCAGTTACAGTGGTGGAGAGGCAACGGGCCCGTTGCTTGTCCACCACTGTAACTCTATGTTGCACATCCTGTGCATCCTTCTCGTCTGCTATTGCTCGTGACTCTCCACTGAGCCTATGTTCTTTCTCTGGTGGCGGTACAGTCCCTGAATTACGCCGCTCTTCTAATCTCTGCTGGGGTCTCTCTACTATCTGCCTCATCGTCCCGGTTTGCTTATCCTTGAGAAGCAACTTTTTCTCCCAATCTGGGGAGACTACTGTGGTATTAGGCCCCGTCGCCACTGCACACAAAGCCCCCTCACCATTAGAATATCGCTTAGTACGTTAGTCTCCCAGGACGACTAGGCTCGACCGTTTAAACGCCCCTCGCCCTTGATACTAAAACGTGCTTGCCTCTGTTCGGGCCTCTCTACAGTCCCCGCCCTCATAGTCCCCGGAGAAGGGCAGCCCCCGGCATAATGCCCCACACCCCCACATTTCCGAAACATCCCCCTTGTACGACGTGAAGCCTCCTGGCGGGATGGGCATTACGAGGCAACGTGCCCCTTGCCCCTGCACTCCAAAGCAGCATATTCCCTTGATACTCGCCTGTCCAGTAGATTTCCTCTCTCACTATTTCGTGGCTCCCTATGGGACCCACCTCGAACGGTCCGATGGGTGTCCTCCAAATACTGCCTTGTTTGCCTTTAACGTGCCAATGTCTCCTCTGTCGACCCCACAATCTTCTCTAACTCCACAGCCAAGCCTTCCCAAGTTACGAATTTGAGATGGCCATCATATGTCACCTTCAGGACGATGTCGTCAGGCAGGTTCGGTATCCACTTGCTGCTCCCGTGGCAATGGCTCTCCCTTACACAGTACCGCTGATAAGTCGAAGGCAAACTTTCCTGCACTTCCTTGCCATCTGACTTCATATAAACGTGAAACTATTTCTTCTCGTGGGACCCCGCAGAATCTGATTAGCATACGTTTGAAAGCTTCCCAATTCCTAATAATTTCCCGTATATCCCTTAGGTAGAACCAGTATCTTAATGCCTCCCTGGTCAAATTCTCGCGGAGTTCTTGTCCCCAGTTTTCCGGAGGTAATTCGGACATCCCCATATGACAAAGGACGCACATCCATTAGGGCAGCTACCTTCCATGTTCATTTTGAACATGGAAGGTAGCTGCCCTAATGTAATCCGACGGAAAGTTTGACGACTCCAGGTGATCATCTAATGAAGTCCGCCACGGAATTCTCTTGCCGGAGTTGGACTCCATTGTCCTTCCTACACAGTGTGCTCCCCGTTTATCAGTACAATTACAAACTGTCTCCTTTCGCCTTCACCCCTGGCTCTTTAACTTTGCTGCGGCTGATCCCCATAAAAACATCCCACTATAGAATGGCGGGGAGCGTGAAATCAACGTTTAAAAGTTCACTGGGTTGGAACTTTATAAATAACTGCCCGGAACAGCCCCCAAATGTAGTGCCCAGCCGTCCTAAGCTGTGCCTACTTATCGTCTCATAGCGTCTGCATTCCTAATTACATCCTCTAACTACCCAATTTCCCAGAGGTCAATAATTAAAATTCCAAAACATGTCCTAGTCGGGAAGCCCCCCGAATAATAGAACTGTGTTCAGAACTGACCCCGGTCTTCATTGGGGATCAGTGCCCGACCTATGTGGTCTTCACTGGGGATCAGTGCCCGACCTATGAGATGGCGGGGAGATAACACACAGCGACGAGATAGTCAGGTGCCTGACCTATAAACTGATATCCATCTAAATCTCATATTCACAGACATAATAGTTCTCTGTAATAATAATTCTATTTCTTTTCCATTTAGATCTCTAATAGTCCTATGTGGTACCCAAGTAGGGACGACGCATTGCGCCACACCGCCGATATGGGTAACTGGCCGCCCCTATTAAACTATGACTCCATCTACGGTACCCAATTCTTTCAAGATTCAGCAGTATTAATTCCTTTTCCTAGTTAATAATGGCCTAATCCTAAAATTATTTAATATTTATTCTCTTTACAATCAATAAGCTACTAGAGATCACACCACAGCCACATTCTAGTGCCTGGGCACTACACCACGTGTGCATCCAGCCCCAAACACTGCTACAATGCCTTAATAGTATCAGGTACATAATGTTTCGCTGTAAAAGGTCGTAAAGCTAGGTATTGCCTCGGCTGTTCTTAATACGGTAGAGTCTGTGTGTTTCCGTGACTCCCAGACCAGTGTGGTGCCCGGCACGACAGGGGCCCTCAGCTGGGGCCCCTTTAGCTATCTTTACATATCGAACTGTACTACGCAAGTTGTCAAAGCCAACTTTCCCAATTTACTTGGGTTGTTGGGACGCTACATTAATCTGGGCAAATATAGGTGCCCGTGTCTGGCGGCTCTCCAATCGATTTGCTTCCGTTGCCGGTCGGTAAGCAATGGAAAATGCAGAACGGCAAGAGGGCAGTGCTGGACCTCGGCACAGGCTCCGTCAAGGCTGGATGGGCAGGGGAGTGTAAGGCCCGTTATGTGCTCCCCACATGCTGCGGGGCTGTATGCCGCCGCCCACAGCTGTATTTGAGTGAGGAGTGTTACAGCCTACAGGAATACATCTGCTCCAGGCCGAGCCAAGGGGGTCTTTGGTCTAACTTGGAGATGCTTCGCGACATAATAGACCTGACATTCAGTAAAAAGTACCTAGGAACTGACCCCAAGGAACTCAGCGGCGTCGCGCTTACAGAGCCCCTACTGACTCCAGCCCCCTTGCGGCACCATGTCAGCGAAATACTCTTTGAAGACTTGGGGGTTGAGCGTATGGCGATTGTGGCAGCACAGGCCGTAGTGCCTTACGCGTTCTGGGGCATGGGCTGGGGAGCGCACGACATCTGCACCCCTCCCAAAGCTAAACGAATGGGGGTCACTTGCTACAGCGGGACCGATGGTGTCCCCCAAGGAACTGTCGAGGCCCCAGGAAGTGGTGGTGGTTCCGGATGCTCTTACAAGGGCAAGGGCGGGACCTCAGCTGCATGGGTATCTTCAACAGACCCGTGCTTCTCTCCACAGCTAGCAGCCACATCACCAACAGCAGATCTCAGTTTAGTGGGGCAGGTGAGCGCTGGAAGGAACCCTTTTGGCTTGACTGTGGATGTGGGTTTTAGCGCATCCCATGCAGTTCCTTTTGTGAACTACTCGGCTCTAGAGGCATCAGCTCTGCGGTCTGATATCGGGGGGGCCCACGCCAACGCGTACCTCAAGAACCTGCTGCTCGCGCGTGGCATGGCTATTGACAAAAACGAGTTATTCGTCCAAAAGGTATTCAAAAGGATGATGAAGCCAGTTTTCTGGGCTGTTCTTCTCTGCGTCACTGATTAAAGAACATGGCAGATCTCGGTGTGCGACTTCCTGTGCTGCGGTATGTGTACAGCTGAAGGAAGAGACCTGCTTCGTCACTGGGGATCTCATGCGAGTGTTTCGTCTCCTCCGTAATTTGCCAGGGGGCAGGCGAGCGGCTTACCTTGGGGGGCCCCTCTTTCTGGAAAGAGAAACCCCGGATTATTCCCTCACGGTAAGCAGGAATACCAGGGGAATAATGGCCGCGCAGCGCTTGCGGAAGCAGTGGGCTTTTGTGAAAGGCGTAGACAGCGGGGCGCGGAGCACAACAGGTAGGCCTACATTTTCCCTTGGGGGCCCTCTGGGGTCCCTGTTTGATTTGAGTGTGCTGTGCTGTAGAAGTCGCAGCTCGTTTCCTACTTCCACACCCACTCTCCTGCCCCCATCCCAGACCTTTCTTCCTTGGAAAAGCCTAGCAATGCAAAAGTCAACAGTAGTTGCAGCAACCCCTCCGGAAGGGAGACACACGTTGAGTCGCCCACTGCGTTGGATAGCAATAAAGAACCCCAGGGGACCCAAGCGGATGCTTGTTGGGTTCCGCCTAGGAGTCCTTCAAGGCCCAAAGTAAAGCTGTCGACTGAAAGACTGGTAGTGCCAGAAATCTTGTTTAGACCTCAAGGCAAGCAGACCTTCCTTTGCATCATCATTGTCTTGTTCCTGTTCACCTTTGGGGGGAAAGCATTTGCCGGTTTTGCCTCTGCTGAGCCCTGTTGCTTTTCTTACCTTATCCATGCCTTGGGGAGTGAATTCCTTTTCGCACAGTTGATCCACTCACGCACAGCAGCAGAAAAGGCACCATCCGTGTATCGGCGAGTTACTTTACACGGAAATTTGCGTAGATCACATATCCAAGGGCAGTTATAGATACAAAGGAAGAAGTAGCTTCTAAATGTGCGAGCATTACCACCAGATCTGTGTCCACGTTCTCTCGTCGGGGCCATGTTCGATACTTGTTTGGTGGAGCATTGGGCGTCCGCGCACTGCAGCGGTTCCCTTCACGGCACGCAACAGGCTTGGTGTTTTCTAGCTGCCGGTAAGGGAAATGAAGGGCACCAAGTCTTGAAACGTTGGCAATGACCTGTTGCGCCTGTACCTGCTCTGCTGCAGATGGGGGCAGCAAAGAATGCGGAGTTGGGGAGTTGGTCTACCGGGCAATCTGCAAGGCGCCAATTGAGGCCCAGCCTTTCCTCTCTTCCCAGATATTTCTCGTCGGCGGCAGCACCAAATTTAGAGGGTTTAAACAGAGGCTGTGGCAAGAACTCCGCGCGGCATTGCCAGAGGTATTCATTTTTAACACCGTTACTGCTCCGTAGTAGTGCTTTCTCTTCCCACTGCCTTTTTCTGGTTGTGATTATTTGATCATATGTCACGTCTATCTACTCAGCCCATCTCCGTAGAGGCATGTCTCGCTCTTCTGCTGTCTCTCCTGTCTCTCTACACCGTTAGCTGCTGGGCATGTTGAACTTGGCAGTTGCAGTGGGCAGACGTATTTGTACTACATATTTCCGTGTTGGGCTATATAGTGATTGTCCTACCTTCACAGTTAAGCGTTTGCACGAGGTGTAGCATTCTGCCTTGCGTCTGCAGCATTGGCCAATAAACATCTACCAGCACGAAGACCCGCAGCACAGTGCCTGGCTAGGAGCCAGCAACTGGGCCCATGACGATGGCGTGTACATGCGGTTCTCAGTATCTAGACAACAGTTCCTTGAAAATGGGTTTATCTAGTTGCTACTCCCCGTCTGTTTCCGACCTGGCTTCACCTGTATCTTCTGCACCCGTCTGCCATTGCAGCTGTGTCCCGTTGCTTTCAGCGGCAGGGATGCTGCCTAGCCGCAAATCCGCAAATCTGTTAAGCTATATAAATTCTGGAAACAAACAAACCCAACTAGGTTCTGTTTTTTTCGATTTGTTTGGTTGCACGTATGTCCTCAACGCACTATAGTACTTGAGAGCCGAGGCTGCGCAGTGAAGCCGGCTCCTTGCCTACTATTCATTGCAGTACATCGCATACGCATGCATTTGTATGTAGGAATATATACTTGTATACATATACATGCATATACGCGATCGCTTGGAAACGACATCCCCTGCGAAGTCCCGAAACCGGAAAGAAGCGAATGCCCTCGGTTTCGCACTATATACCGCCAGAGCTATGCTACGAGCGTTGCCGACCTCTGCTGCTTAAAGGCTGTTGAGCCCTCCGCCCACACGGCATTCGTGACTGCTGCACTGGTAACCACACGTCACTCGTCTTCCGCTGGCCTCCATATCTTGTCGGTCTGCTGAAACCCAATAGATGTGTGTCCTGCAGGCTTAGGGGCTGTAATAAGTGTAAATTGGGTACTCTTCCTCTGCTTGCTGGAGCCTCTCTTCGACTATCTGCTTCAGCTCGTCCTCGTACAGTTGGCCGAGCCGCCGAAGCCACGCCGCAAGGAGGCCCGCCTCTGGGGGGCCACCAGGAGGTCCCTGATGCCCCCAGGCGCCAAGTAGGGCGCCTTCATCTTCACCTAACTGCTTGAGGGTTCGGGGCCCCACAGATCGGATCTCCAGAAGCTGCTGCATCGAAGGTGTACATGCAACATTGCCTCGCTGCAGCTTGGGGTCTTCGTGTTGCTGTTGGGCGTACAGCTGAAATGCTGGCAGGCCTCGTAGCTGGAGAGGTGGCTGCTGTTGCAGCATGAACCTTAGAGCTCGCTCATTGTGGCGGAGCTGTTTCATATTGCAAGCCATTCTCCGCTGCTTCAGAAGGGCCCTTCTGCCTCTAGCTACAACGAGGCTATTAGTGATCCTGACCCCAAGAATTGGGTACAGCGGGAGCTTAGGCGGTCCATCTTCGCATATATGGTGGCCCTCAATGGCGCGTACAGCGTCCTTCTGCAGCAGCCTGATAGCCGATACGAGCGCCTTAGATCGGGGGTCCCATGATGTGCAGTATAATAGACCATACACCTGGCTATGGTTTCCTGCCTGTCCCTGTAGCTGCTGCTGGTGCAGTAGTTCTTCGGAGCTCCCGGGAGCCGTTAGGCCCCTCCCCCAGTCCAAGAAGGTCAGTAGTGGAGACTCGCGAGAGCCCCGCTGTGGTGCTCCAGTACCTTTGGCAGCTGCTCCCAAGGTCAGGGAGACGGGGTCTTTGAAGAAAACAGGGTCAGAGGGAGTCAGAGAGGCAAACCAGCCATGTGGAGGCACAGTTTTGAAGGTACCGAGAAACCCGGCACTGAGCCTTCGTGGGCATCTGCCCCTAGAAAAACCCCTCCCAGTCGCACCAACGTAAGTACCTGCACACAAAATGAGCAGTAGGCGCTGCAAAAATAGGGAGGGAGCCATAGCTTAGTGTCGGCCGTGGGGGGCCCCTCGGGGCCCTGGGCCTGGACCGGACCCTGCAATTCCCTCTACAGTAAGAGGAACAGTCAAATAATACCAAGAAGACGCGTTTGAGCAGCGACAATACTGATTACATGACTAAACCACAAATTTCGTTCCCGTTACTCGCAACAAGCAGGGAAACCCTTGGGGCTGGGTGTGCCGCGTGCAGAGCCAGCTAACGCGCAAAAACAGAACTGCCGTTTCCCACATCAAGGTCTCTTGAAAAAATGTTATTACCAATTTACTTGCAATTTAAGTCAGTTTAGCTTTGTATGCGATGTCTCAACCTTACCAACATATGCCCGTGGCTTAGTTGTTTGTGATTGCCCCGGGGATGAAACTACAGTGTCTCAGGTGTGACCTCTAGAGGCTTTAGGTAAGGAAAGGTAATACATACTATTAAATATTTTAGGGGTTAGGCAATTATTAATTAGGAAAAGGAGTTAATACTAATAAGTGTTCCAGGGATTGGGGTACCGTTAGATAGAGTTGTAGCTTTGTAGGGTCAGTGTCTTAGCTATCAGCGCCTGGCGTGTAATGCAGTCCTTAGGCACTACCCTGGACCACAGACATGGCTTCTAGAGATCTGATAAATAGTAGAGGTAAATACAATTTATTATATCTGTTATTATGGCGTTTGTATGGAGAGCAGCTTTATAGGTCACGCACGTGACTGTGTTTACCATTTCCCCGCTATTTTATAGGTCAGACACTAATCCCCAGTGAAGGCGGGGGCTCTGTTCTGATTATTCAAGTCAGCCAGTTCTATTATTCTGGGAACTTACCTTGTTTATAAAAGAGGCTCGAATGTTTTGGAAATTTAGTTTTTGACTTATGGGTACGTGAGTAGAGAGCGAATGCAGTTTGGAAGCCCGATGCTACGAGGTGACATAAATAGGCACAGATTAGGACTGCAGTGCGCTACATTTGGGGGTTATTCCGGGAAATATATATGTATATCCCATATACATGGTACATATGATATTAATGCGTGACGGCGTCCACCCCTAAAAGATCATCTGTCCGATCATGTGGAAGAGTTTTCTCTTTCACGGGCTAGTTCATATGGAGGTTCTCTTGTGTGTGTTGTTTCATCTTAGCGTCTTTTCTGGTGGTCTTCCTGTAGAGCGGTTCTTCGGGCTTGTGCAACGACAGTTGATAGCTGCAATGGCGCAAAATACTGATGACGAGAGTTCCTTAAAAACAGCCAACCCCCTTTCTCCGAAAATCACAGCCAACGCCATTTGCTAGAAGTCCTGAGCTCAGCGTCTCCAGCTCTTGGAACTACTGGGGAGGAGGCAGCCTACCATGTCATGAGTTGCACCTTTGTGCAACTCAAGACAAAGGTGCATGGCAACCCAATATACAAGCGAGAAAAGGGCTTCTTCGCTGTATGCAAGGACACTGCAATTTTTTTTTTTTGGAGACTGTGCTTGCGTATCACTTGCCTATTAGCATCAGCCAACTTAAGACACACTTTCGAGCATCGAGCAGACTGTGCTACACAGCGGCCCAAGAACACTGAGCTCCAAGAAATTATGTATTCTGCCATGAGGTGGAGCGCACAACGCGAAGCCCTAAGACAACTCGAAGGCATCTCCACAGGGAAGCACGGCACTGCCCTGGGGCACTTCTGGGGCGGCCCGATATAGAAAAGCACTGAGGGAGCGTCAAGAATACGAAGGAATATTTTCTTAGGGTAACCGCAAAGTCCTTGTCGAGCGTAAGCCTTCTAGCCTTTTACCCTTTTTGAACAATAGAGGGTGATAAAGATAATCCCTCTGGTGGGTTGGTTGCCGACAGTTGGAAGCCACATTCAATGAAAGCCCCGTTGACCTTCGGCCCCCCACCAAGCGAAAAATATTTAGCAAAACAAGACTAACCGAGAGTGTCTCTACAGTTGTCAATCATCTAGATACGAGGATCATATTGTTGTGGAGACAAGGAGGAGTTTGTTGCCACTCTGTAAGGGGCTGGACAGCTTAGAATGAACTAGGGTGTGAACCTCGTCACCAAAAAGTACTTACGCATAGAGGTTCCAGCGATGTGCCGACGCACTGGAACTTAGCACCATTACACCTGAAGACCCAGGCTCGTGCAGATCCATGCGATCCCTTAACGGATATGAAGAGATGTATTAATGGAATCAATGAGCGCACCACCAGTGGAAGTGGAATATAGCGTGTACGTGGTAGCTGATAGGGTCAGCATGTGCACCTACTTCTTCCCCTGTGCTAGATCGGTTACAACAGAGAGAGCAGACTAACTATTCATTCCGTAACTCCAGAAGATTCATAGCGTTCCGGAGATTATCACTATAGACAGATATCAGAATTTTGTTGATGAATTCTGACGCGATATAATGAAACAACACAACGAAGAACACAACATGATCAACGTGAGCTATCCGATGGCAAACGCCAAACGTGAAAGCACCACCCGTATAGTGGTCCACTATTCGCGACTCTGTATTCAGAAAAAAAATCGCCAAACTGGCAACATCTCCACACTTGTGTGGGGCAGACTTGTTGAGCAACGGTGCATTTACCCGCCCATCGTACTCGTGCAAACCTGATATACACCGATACGCTGTTGGCCGGTCCGACTTTAAATCTGGCTGTAGGAAGTCATCACTGTGCGAAGCCAGACTCAGAACACTCAAAGCATTCCACAAGAGCAAGGGAAAATATGTGGAAGGCACAGGAACATGGCGGAAACTGCGAAGGAGGTTGTTCAGCACATACTTTCAACACCAGCACCTTGGCTGTGGAGAACGCGCGGTCCGCCAGACGCGCAAGGGCGAAGCTGTCGATGTGGTTCGCTGAACGCTGGATAGGAGCTATCTCCTGTTTATTCTTCGATCAATGCATTGGGCTACATGATTCCCTACCTCTTACCTTGAATGTGCCGTCATGAGATTGATATCGGCGTTCTACAACGCTCCAGTGAAACAATGAACAATCCCCGACTTTGTACCCTCACGGAGTCAGTGGCGTCCTCGTGGTAAAATTTAAGGGCACGAATTGTTTCACAAATTGTGATATTCTCCACTGGTGGAACAATCCGTAGCATACTGTTGGGGAACAAGTTTTCCGACACTCATTCTGGCTGCCATTCTCCTTGCCCTTTAGCGAATGGGACGAACGCGAGACCAAAGGCAACGAGGATATTTGGTCGAACGTACAGGAGGAGCGTAGTGGGAAGGAGTGCCTGTGCGCTGACCCATTCCAAGCACATTCCTCGTCAACTTCTGCCGAAAGGCTTGTCCTTGATTGTAACTACTGCAAGCAAGCGCCTCAACAGTGGAGTTTAAGGTTGGGCCCCGTTTAGCTTTCTGATAATCGTGCCCGATAAAGAGCCCATGATGCCAGAAAATTTCGCTTTCTACCTCTCCTGATATGACGAGTATTCCTTCTGGTACGATATAGTCTCGCTACATTGCTTACAGAACGCCCCTTTCAACCCTTTGGACAGCCTGGGATGTCTACTGTTGCTAGGGGGCCTCACTCTGCTCTGAAAGGGGGCGACATTTTCTTTTCCGTTGAGTGTTGAACCAAAGCACGGCGGGTTCCACGCTAGTTTGCATATCCGGAAGCATTCTTGTGCTTAGCTGCGCCAGTGACACGTCTTCAGCTAGGTGGTTGTCTAATTGGGGGAAGGGGTGCTGCGCGGACACAAAGTGAGGCGAGCAGCAAAAGTATGCGGAGGTCGACTACGCTGTGTAGCCATAGGAGGAACTCCAGTACCAAAAAGGCGCACGATGGTGCGTGATGCTTGAACAATGGGCCGGGAAGATGTAGCATAGTCTGTGCAGTGTTGGCAGGTCTGCAGGTCTGGTTGATTGACGATGGCACAGGAGACCCCCCCGGCCCTAATAGACAAACAGCAAGCAGGGACAATAACTCAGTAGCAGTTCAAACTATTAATTAATACAGCTAATGAGGATCATTTGCGTTTGTATTTGTATTGCGCCGTGAAGTGTGGCAAAATGGGCTGCAACATAAGGCAGGGTGCCTCCTCTCCCACAGCTTCAATCACTTGAATCGCAGCGCTTAGGGCACCTAAAGCCGGCAGTTGGAGGTTAGCTTCTTTTGAGCAGCTCTAATCTTATGTATCTGGTCACAGTACAGCTCACAATAGCCCTTGGGTACGATGGAGGTTCCCCATTACAGTGGTATGTACAGCAACTGCTGCAGAGAGTCAAGCCCACATAGATGCATACCCAAGCCCATTTTCCATCCATCAACTAGCTCTGCAGCCAGTTGTTAAACGCTTACTCGGCTTCGAGTTGCCAGCATAAACAGAAAAATCGATACGTCTACCAGCCCTGGTAGGACCGGGTGAGTGCTTGTTGCCGAAAGAGAGGATAGCCCGCACTTTCGACACGGCGGGACTTCTTACTTCATGCAAAAGTACAGTTTCAAAAGAGTGTTTACGTCTGATGACTCTGCCGCATGGCGGCCAAAAACCTGTCCCAGCATGTCACCTCCAGTCTCGGGGCGGAGCCGACGCCTGTCTGAATGTGGGGAGCTCAGCAAAAGTCACAAAGGAGGAATATAGGCTGAATTAAGGACTCTAAATATTTCTTTAAGGAATTACACTAAGAGGTAACTGTCTGCAGAGGCTATATCTACTCGGTGGAGAGACGGAAGCGGCGGCAGGGCCTTGAGTCCCGCGCGCCCCCCACTGCAAGACCCCCAAGAGTAAAAGGGCTGCTTCCTACAAGGGACCCTCCACAGCGGCTCCGTCTCGAGTTTTAAAAGGTTTATCTTGTTATCCCCTCTCCTTCCATGTGTTCACTGGAGGTCTCGCAAAAACCGCTGGAGACCTGGGGGAAGCAACGACAGGCTACCGAGTGTGGTTCTGCTTAGAGAGCGTGTGCCTGTCCCACAGAAGCAGGCGCAATCGGGGAGCCACTGACCGGCATTATTTCTAAATTCCCCTGACGCACGTATAATATCTTTTACGGGTCGAAAAGGGCCCCTTCTGCTGGGCACCCTTCCCCGCGCACCCCCCCAGTCCTGGGGTATGCGTATATGTCCTTGTATACAAGAAAGACACCCCCCAGCCTCCTTGGCCTGCTTTTCCGTTTCTGGTGATGTCGGTAGCTGCCCGTTTCCCCAACGGAGAATGCGGTTTAGGTGAGGAAGCGTTTCGGGGCGCGGGGGGGTCCCCGGTTGCTGGCGCAGCGACGGGTGCACTGCCCCCGGGTATAGGGCCCAGCTCTCTTCCTTCAACGACAGATATCGAAGCGGGATCCTACGCAGTGAGCTGCCTGCCTCTATTAAGTAGGCCTGAAGAGCCTGCAGTGGGGCAGACAGCGGGTGAGAAGGCTGCCAGTGACCGCAGCTGCTCCACTACAACAGGAGCAGATGGGCCTCTTTCTGCTGACGCTTGCAACTCTGTTTCTTCTGAATCTGCCTTCCTACCCCCAGGTCAAGAGTGTGACTTGCCTCGTATGTCGCTAGCCTTCACCACACCAACAGGGGGCAGCTTGCCCCCCACAGAGCCGGGAGATATTGAGGGGACCCTGTCTCCAGTCCCTTACCAGGCTAGGGAGGTGCTCGAAGTGGCAGGCCTCACAGCCCAGTTAAAGCGTCTTGATATGCAAAGTGGTTGTGATCCTACCACGGGCGAGGGAAAGCCGCTTGGGGCCGAGGGGCTGCCTCTCCAACTCTCTTCCGCGCTTCCCGCCCCAGATTTACAAAGCCAAGCGGTGTCGGAAGGGGGGCCTGTAGAGGCAAAGTCCTGGGTCCCAACCCAGGTTCAAGAAGGAGCGGGCGTGGAAGCTTCTCAGGTCCCTGGGGGCCCCCACATACAGCAGGAGGGGCACCGAACAAGGCAAAAATCGAACGCCTTCACGCCAAGCTGCGGAGGTGGGAAGGTTCGTGCGGGAGACACAGAAGACCAGGTCTACCGACTGGGCTTGCTGCTGCGCCAGCTGGGGAGGCTTGGGAGGGTACGGTCATGCTGGGAGATTTGGCAGGAGATGATGAACACTGAAGGCAAGCGAATGAGGACCTCCCCGTTCCATGGTTTCTCTTACCTCTAACGCCGCGGTTTTTACTGTATTCCCGTATTTGTTACCATCCGCTTTCTCTAGCGTTGGCTGCATAGGTGGAGAGCCATCGTGTGTTCTGGGCTGGGCCCCAGGTAATGTGCGATGCGGAGCTGCGTGGTGCTTCAGGCCTGAAACCCAACGCCGTCTCCTACGGTTGCATCTTCGATGCCCTCGTTAGCAACGGCGCCATGGACTTGGCTTTGAAGCTCTTGGCCGACATGAAGGCTTCTAACCAGCCTGTCCGGCCTAACACCGTCATGTACTCTACCCTTATCAAGGGGTGTGCGCAAACCAAGCAGGCGAGTACACCAGCCCATAAGTCCGTGGGGGGATAGGGTAATGGCAGAGGGAGTTGGGATTTGGCTTCTTATGTACCACCATTGTGTCTTGTGCGTATTTCACGATCGCTTCCATGGTCCGTATGGAGCTAGTCACGCTCCATTGACTAGGCGATGGCCTAGAGGTGACGCGAGCGGTATGGGGAAGTGACATCTGGTGAATGCTAAAATATGTCGTGCCTACCATTGTCTCTTCAGCTAGATCAAGCTCTGAGCCTATTTGAGGAGATGGCTGCACAAGGGGTGGAAATTAACACGGTCACCTACAACTCCCTCTTAGACGTGTGTGCCCGAGTGGGGGCGATGGACCGTGCGGCTTCTCTGTTAGATGACATGCTTCAGAAAGGTGAGCTCGAGCCTCGATTTGCCAGTTTGCATTTGAATTGCATGTGTGCCTGAACAAGCCCGTTTACCGGGAGACCCAGTAAAAGTTGTAGCCGTTGTAGGGCAGTGGTAGGTGTAGCGAACGACGTAAGTGTTGGAACCCTTCTCGGCAAGTTTACCCTTGGTTGCAGGGCATCATGTCATAATATGTGACAATCGTTTCCGCCCATAGTATTTGCGTACATGCATGCCTCTGTCGGTGTATTTGGACTAGCGAAGCTGCACTTAAAGAGCGATACCTGCAGGCAGATCCATCGTTTTGCTGTTTTGGGTCGATGCAGGCGTGCAGCCTGATCTCATAACATTCAGTACCATCATAAAGGGCTACTGCGCCCACGGGCAGATGGACAAAGGCCTCCTCTTGCTCAAGGCAATGAAGCAGAAGAACATAAACCCTGATGGAGTTCTGTATAACTCTCTTCTAGATGGATGCGTGCGCTCTGGTGTACGTCGCAGCTCGTCTGTTTACCCTCCTCATAGCGGACTGTTTTCTTGGCTTGCACTTAACACCTTGTGTTTGCTGTTCCCACCTTTAGGCGGCATGTTCTGGGTTCGAGGGATTGGGTTGGTTCTCTACTTAGAATGCTGCTTTCTTGTAACAGAATGACTAGGAAGCCTCCGCTTCTTCTCCTTTCCTTGTTTGGCTGCAGCGGTCTTCTCTTTGTTTAGAGCTTTGGCAAGAGATGCAGGCCCAGCGTATCAAACCGTCTAACTTCACTCTTAGCATTCTAATTAAATTGCACGGACGCATGCGGCAGCTGCCTGTTGCATTCGAACTGGTCAAGCAACTCCCCAAGATGTACGACTTCAGGATCAATGCCCACGTGTACACTTGCTTAATGGCTGCATGCATAGAAAACAGACAGGTTCGTCTCTTAGCACTCATTCTGCCTAACATTATTCCTTGAAGACTAAACGTCAGAACAACGTTGCCCACATCACTCTTGAATACGCTTGAATGAGTCTAAGCATCATTACTTCACAGTCCATATATAATGGACTGTGCCACGCCGGCATAAAAGAGCGTCTATACAGTATGTTCCGGCTGAAAGTACGCGGTTTTGTCGCCGTTGGCTGTGTATGTTCAGTACAGGGCTGCGTACAACGTCTTGCAAATCATGCGCCGAGAAGGAGTGGCGGCTGATAGTAAGACTGTGAGCACCATTGTTTTTGGCTGTTTAAAGGGGCGAATGCACGCGCAGGCTGTGGAGGTCGTTTTGAATGTAAGTTCTGGCTCTTCCGAGATGCATTGACCACCAGTTTTCTGTTGATTGGCAGACCCACATAGGCGTCTTGGATGCAGCACAGTTGTGTGCAAGCAAATCTATCCTATTTCAGAATAGACAATAGAGCTTCCTGGCTCAGTCTTCGCCTGCAGGCTTGTCTTTTTCCAGATTACACAACGGAGGTTGCTGGAACTTTAACTGTATGGGGGCTCGGACATTAAACCACTATTGTACATGATGCGAGCTGCCGATTCCCGATTTCACAGGCTTTGGAGAGTGTGCGCGAGTCAAACTCGCGGGGTCAGGGCCGACATCTTTCTCGGGGCCGCCCTTTGGGTGTCGGGACGAATCGGAAGCAGGACTTGCCGGCTATAGACGAGAAGACTGTGCGCTTGCTAGTGTATCACCTGCGGGAGCAGCACATGCATCGTGTAAGGCATTAGGGGGCCAGACTGACTCTTTGGGGGGTGCTTTGTCAGTTTTGTTTACGTTGCATGACGGCTATCAAACATCATGTGGCGTTGCACGCGTCTTGAAACACTTGCGGGTGTCTTTGCAGGAATGTACATTGGTGCTGGAGGCAGCAGTGAGTGTGGGCCTCATGAGTCGTGCCACAGCACAATCTCTGCTCACAGGTGAAGGGAACTCCGGGCGGAGGCTTCCCTTTGCTGCCTCCACCGTCCCAACAGGGGCCTTCGCACCGCCCCAACCCCTCAGCCGCCACCCACATCTCCTAGCCAGCGCGCCGCCAGTCGGCGCGCGGCTCATGGGGATTCGTGGAGCCTCCCAGCAAGGCAGCATGCGCTGGCATGAGCCTAGAGGGGCCCATCGCCACCCGACAGCTGGACTTCATGGGGGGACCCCCCACCGCAGTGTCAATAGCGGGGCAAAGGAAGGATACTCACTCCCCGCCGAGGGCCATCTGAACTTAAGCACAGTTCAGGAGAATCCCATGGTCTCCGCCGGCCACCCTTGGTCTGTAGAGCGGTCGCCTCCCCAGCCGCCTCCCACGGCTTCCGTAAGGAGGTCACAGGCTATCAATTCGCTGCAGCCCGGAGTTGAAGCGAAACAACAGCTTCTCTCGCTGCATCCGCAAGACCCTCTCCCTCTCCGCACCGCTGGACTGCTGGGGGATCTGCCGACGCAGCATCTGCTGCAGCTTCCGATCAACGGAGGCATCATGACAGGAGGGAATACAGTGGATTTGGCCCCTCCGAGTGGCCGGTCGTTAAATATGGGGACTCCCCCCTACATCGCTGACGAGAGCGTCTCACCGCAAGGAGCAACGCTACACAGTAAGGGCCGTTAATCCCGACAAACAGCTCATTTACGTACAGGCGGCACCAGTAATAGCGCTTGGAGCTGAACGTCCCCTAACGATTATTGTTGGTGCTGCAGCTTCCGTCTCCGTGGATTTGTATGGACCTGGGATGGTCAGCGAGTCTAGCTGTATCTGGGGCGCTCCGCCACCCGGGACAACACAATCTGCAACGGGCTGCGGTCTCTTTGCAATGCCATCGGCCGTAGCCCATCCTCCACCGCGTACTGTGGAGCTGCCCATTGATAGCAACGTCCTCCAAGGGGTAGGTTGTCCGTCAGTGCAGTGGTCGCCTGCATCTGCAGGTGTTCATTCGATGAGAATGGGAGCCACGGAGCCACGTGGAGGGTGCCCACAGGCCACTATGAGTGCAATGAAGCTACCGTTGGGCAGTGTTGGTGAAATATAGACACGTGCGACCAACGAATGGTCACGTTAGAAGATTGTGCATTTCCCATGTTGCTGCGCAGGCGGGAGGCTCATATTTCAATGAAGAGAGTTGCCAGCTCACGGGGCTGCCTCTCTCTTCGCCTGCATACGCTTGTGAGGGCTCTTTACAGCCCTCGTGCACAACGGCTCCTTTGTTTCAGTAGGCCTGACGTGCGAGTGTTGTAATATTATCAATTGATCGTTTCTAGGAAGCTGCAGTTGCGGCCTACATTGATAAAATCCCTCAGGCGTGTCTGGCGGGTGCGTGCTGGACTTGTTGTCCAGCTGGTCTAGGCAGCAAGGAGGAAGTACCAAGGGGGAGGGGGGGGGGAGATGGGGGAGGGGATCAACCAACCTTTGTACGACAAATGGTTCTTTTTCGCCGTGTCCCCCGAACATACCATTGGGTTAAGTGAAGGGGCAGAGGGAAGCTTTTTGGTTAATGTTCCCCTGGCTGTTTGTCGCGCCGGCAGAAGAACCTCGGCAAGGCATACTGACCGCAACGTGTCCGGTCCAGCATACCTACGTACCCCCCTGAAAGAGTATCTATCCCACAAGTCCCTTCCGCGTGTTAGCTGCACCGTCCCCTCGTCTTCGTCGCTTCGGCAAAAGACGGCAGGCGGAGGTGTTTTTTGGTGCGCTTAGGATTTCGTTAGTTCAGGCCTCTCGGCCAGGTCACCATCAAAGGGATGGCGCCGGCCAGCAAAGACAAGCAAGAGGTGCCCCACCCCAGTAGGCCCATCTGCAGTGTGAAGTTCATGCTGGGCGAAACCAGAAGGCCTGCCATTCCCCAATAGCGAAAGACCTCGCATGCGATCGTATCGTTCCAACGCCTCGTATCTTGGCTGGTGCCCTGAGTGCGTGAGTTGAAGGCACGTGAGACTCAGGGGGCCTGCTGCAGCCGCTGCCAACGCAGTCATTCCACAGAAGAGCGAGCGTTCCACGGCAGTAGTGTCCTTGTCCGTCGGAAGGCGCTTGCAGCATCCACAGACAGACAATGAGCTGGTTTGACGTTTCGTGATTCCTACGCGGAGACAAACCGCTGCGCTACCTATTTGGTAGCGATTGGCAGCGGAAGCTTGTGGTACTTGTGTGCCATGACTAACATATTTGACAACAGTCCCCCTAATAAACAGACAATGTTTGACTTTCAGCAAAAGCTTCAGGAGTCAAGTAGCTGACCAACCTAGATCAGTGGGAGACTCCTTTCGGGAGCCTCTCAACACCCACACTTCAACCAAGGGTGCTGCATGCATCCATAGAGTTTGCAGATATAAGGAAGAAATAATACCAAAAAATACAGTGCTGGAGAGCTACAGCAAGACGGGAATATTGTGCCCACTGTAGTGAGCCACTGCTAGTTCCACTTGTCCATCGGTCAGGTGTGCGGTGTATGATACGCATCATTTTAGCTAACACAGTTTTCTTGTGTAGACGAGGGTCCACTGCCTCCTCGTACACCATTTGCCTACGTAACACGCAGCGCGCTGCAAGTGCCGGAAGCGCGTAAGCATTCACTGACACAGTTTCCAACTCGAGTTCGTCGGGCAACCCCAACAGTCTCGTGATCAGACACCCCAAAAGAAACCAGCAATTGTGCTGGCGATGCCTCCGTCTGTCTCGCCATCGTCACTTGAGGAGCCGTCACTCTGGTCATCCGTACCATCCACGGTGGACAGTTTCAACGGAGGGACTTCATCTTCCTTCGGGGTCTCCTCAGCAGGGTTCGTTCCAACAATTAGCCCGAGAATAGACGGGCGAGGAGCAGAAGATGCAGCTTCCTTTGCGGTAGCATCCTTTTTCGAAGCATCAGGAGTTCCTTCACCAGTTCCAAACAACCCGAATCCCCATGCAGGGGTTGAACTGGTCGCTGCAGCAGCCCCAGCAACATCTTCATGATCAGCAATACTTTCTGCCCCGGAGTGTTGGGCGGAAGTCTCGCCCGATACCTCTACTTTCTTCTTCTTTTTCTTCTTCTTTTTTATACCCTCATTATCCTCCTTTTGCGCCTTCCTTGAATTGGGCTCGCCTTCAGCCTCCCCAGAGGCCTTTTTCGGTTTTCGCTTTGAAACAGTTTCAGCTCCCGAGCCCTCATTATTGGAGGACTCTTCTTTTCCATCTTGCACTTCTGAACGTTCCTCCTGTCTTCCTAGCTGGTCCCCAGTGGGGTTTGTGACAACTTTCTGAATTGGCTTCGAACTGACAGACTGGGCTTCCTCTTCCCTGGCCTCGTTGGCACCCATTGCTGCCGCATTCAAGTTATCACCCCTTGAAGCGGGTGCAGGGGGTGGGAGCCCTGGGGTCCGTTTTGCTAAACTGGAGGACCTCTTGAAAGTTTTCGTGGGTGCAGAGGTCGGGTCTGCTGAAGGCCGTGACTTGGGCTTGTCTTTAGCTGGGGCTGGAGCCGACCGTTCGGCCTTTAGAGCGTCCAGCTCCTGCTGTACTGTCTCGAGCTCTTTCTTCAAGGCGCTGTTGTCGCTGAGTGCTTGCAGTTTTTCCCTCTCTAGGATTTCCAACTTGGCCTGTAGAGTCTTCACCTCCTCAGTCTTTTCCTTTATGAGGGTTTCCATCTTTAGTGCCTCGTTCCTAAACTTTTCTAATTCTGCAGCTTTGACCTGAAGCTCTTGTTCCTTCTTTGCCAGCTCTGAGGTTACAGATATTGTGCCGGATGCTGGAACAGCACTCGCCTTCAGCTTTAGAATCTCGGCCTTGTATTCGTCTATTTGGGAATCCTTCTGTTTGATTTGCATCTTCAGCTCCTCAAGAGACTTTCGCTCTCCCTCTGAGTCTTCTCCACCGATGGGACCAGGCGGCTGACTAGAGGGAGTCTTCGCACTCGGCATAGCACTTCCCGTTTCCTTCGCAGTCGCTTCAGGCGACAAATGCTTTGAACCTCTTTTCTGAGATTCGTCAGTCGCGGCCTCGCCCCCAGATGCCTTGTCCCCACGTGGAGACCCTGTGGGTGTTGTGCGCATCTGAGCCAGTTTGTTGCTGAGAGCTTCGTTCTCTGCTTGAGCCTTCTGCAGCCTCTGCTGCAACAGTTCCAGTCTCGCCCGCAGCTTCTGTTCCTCTGGATTCTTCTCATCATGTGTGCCCCCACCTAACCAGGACAATAAACCTGTGGGCTCGGTTCCTTCACGCTGCTTTGGGGGGTTTGTCGCGATTTCGAGTTCCTCCTGTGTTTCCCGATAGAGGCGTTCAACCCTCTCTAGTTTCTCCTTGGTAGCTGCTTCTTCCTCCTCTAGGCTGTTAATGCGCTCCTTCTGGGCCTTGTACGCTTGGTATACTTTGTCCCTCTGTGCCTTGAGTTTTTCATACTTCGCAGCCCAGTCAGCAGGAGGCCGGACGTCTAGAAGTGCTGAAGAGCTCTGTGTTGCAAGACCAGATTCCATAGTGGAAAGGCCCTCCACATCATCAGCTACTGTTGACGCAAATGTAGAAGCGGGGAGGGCTGAAGCAGAAGCCGCCTTGGGCAAGGTGTTCACACCTTCTAACTTTTTCGCCTGAAGTTCTGCTGACTTATATCCAGCTTCTTTGCCATGTAATTTGCTGATTGCCTCGTGTTTTGCCTGTAGGGACTCAAGCCGGCTGCGGAGAGCGTCACGTTCCTTTTCCATTTCCACAAGGGCGTTGCACTTTATTACCAGGTTCCGCACTCGGCGTTTGGCCCGGTGTAATCGCTCTGTCAGCTCGGCAATGCGTTCTTCTGCCGGAGAAGTCTCCGTCCCGCTGTCCCCTTCTTCTGTTTCTGCGTCGGACTTGGACAATACCTCCTCAGTCAGAAGGCTTGCCTTGTCCTGGTGGCCCTCCCCAGCTGTTCCCGTCATCGGAGGCGATCTGGGCCTTGCCTCACCACCAATATCTTCGTGCGCCGGCTTCGCACCTGCTAAGTTTTGGTGGCTTTCATTGCTTCTGTGTCCAGTTGCGTCTGCTGTCTGCACCTCCATAGCTTTTGCGTTGGCCTGTTTAGCCGTTTTAGCAGGCAATGGAGGCATTCCGGGCTTTACTTTCGGGGGCAGTTTTCCTTTTGTTTTGGGAATTGCGACCTTACGTGTGGGGATGGCAACTCCCTGAAGTTCTGCTGCCCGAAAGGCTGACAAGTCGGACTCCAGCACAGCTACTCGTTCCCTTAGAGAATTTCTTTCTTCGAGCAGCAGGTGTATCTTGTGTGACTCCGAATTTGCGACTTCAGCAGTCTTGGCATTTCCTTCAACCATGCCCGCGGCCGCTTGCGCTTTTAAGGCCTTGAACTCCCCTTGAAGCGCTTCGAATTCTTTCTGAAGAGCCTCGTGAGTTTTTTTTAACTCCTCTGAAGCTGTTAGCTGCTCCCGCAAGCGTGCAATTTCCTTTTCAAGGTTGCCCTTCGCCTCCACTGTGAATTCACTTCCATCGATGGGAGTAGCACCCACGGGCGGAGCCTTTTTCGGAGGCGGAGGAACTTTGGTGGCTTTTTCCGCAGGCTTTGGAGTTGGCGTAGGCACCTTCTTGGCACTCTTCGGTAATCCCTCGGCAGGCCCCCCTGCTACCTCAGCCTTCTCGCCAGTGGAGGGCTCCTTGCCTGCAGTGAGATCCATCAATGCCTTTCCTACGGAGGGCTTCCCATTTGTTTGCTGCTGGCATTTGCCCCGAACAGTGGCTTCTGTTGCTCCCGTTTCTCGACCACCTGCTGCCTCTTCAGCAACCGCAGTTTTGCTGATAACCTCCTTACCGACATCGTCTGTTGATGCCTGCCCTACATTATCGCCAGCCTGCAATGCCTCAACAGCAGGCTTCGCTGAAACAACCTGCCCTCTCTTCAACGGCGGCGGCGGCGGCGGCTTCTTAGTTGATCGTGGTCCCCGTGGACCAATGGAGGCCACCGCCTCTTTTGCTGTCGAAGGCACAGTAGCGTTCTCCGTTGATGATCCGGAAACGGCAGACGCCTCCTCATCATGGCCGCGGACCCTCTCTCGTAGTTCACTGCCCTTCCGTAGAGCATCCTCTAGCTCGCCAACACCCAGTGATCGCCCCTTACCAGGTGCTGTGGGCTTTACAGGCTCTGCTGGTAGACGTGCTTTACTTTGCAGCTCGCTAAGTTGCTCCTTCAGCGTTTCCGCCTCCTTTTTCAAAGCTTCGTGAGCCTTTCGCAGATCCTCTTTAGCACTAAGCTGCCCCTGCAACCGTTTTATGTCCTTCTCGAGTTCTTCAGCCGCTGCGGCTTTGGGCCTCAAGACACTCAGCTGGGCCTCTAGCGCTGCAATTACGTCCGCCTGTTGCCCATCTGAGACAGCCTTTTCAACCTTCTCTGAAGATTTATCACCTGCGGACGAAGGCCCGGCTTGTTTCCCTAAGGCTCCCACTGCGTTTAGCTTTGATTGCAAGTTCTCGTTCTCTTTCTGCAATGTCTGATAGGCCTTTTTTAGCTCATCCCTTGCCGCCAACTGCTCCCGCAATTCAGCCACTTCTTTCTCCAGCTTTTGCCTGGCCTCTTCTGAAAATACCTCCTCTATTACTGTTGGGGACTCCACAGGCGGCGCCTTCTTCGGCGGCGCCGGGACCTTCGTCGCCTTCGCCAACGTCTTGGGCAATGCTGCCCCTGCATTCTTTGCACCATCTGCAGAGGCAGCAGAGAATTTAACTGCGGCGGTATCTTGGGGAAGAGCAGTAGCTGAAGGGGAAGGCGACGCTTCGTCTCCACCTGAAATAGCGGACTCCGTAGGGGGCGTTTTGGGGTCGTGGACCGGCACCGCACCATGTGACGTTTTGCTCGCAGGAGGTTCTGACGTCTTCGAAGATGCAGGATTGCTGTCTAAAGGTGTACCAGCAGCGTTCAAGCCTTGGACCGGATACGAGCCTTTCGCTGATTTCGACAGCAGTGGAGAAGCTACTTTCTTCCCCAGATAGGGCCCCTGGGTCTTCGATAAGGTAACTGCAGCAGCATCCTTAGCCTTAGCTGCAGCCTGACGTTCCTTAAGAGATGCTTCACCAGGGGTGTCCGGGGAGGTGGCAGCATGCGGCACTGTTCCTGCCTCCTGCACAGGTGAGGTTGGCAACGGTTTGCTTACTGCGGGAGAAGCATTCTTCAGGCGTGCAGCCTCAGCATCCCACTTAGGCCGCTGGGGATGCTGCTGAGACGAAGGGACCGCAGTTGGGGTCATGGCCACTATCTTCGGAGTAGCAGCAGGTAACACCTTGACACCTTCTGGAGGCCCGGCTTTCTTCGGCAACGGAGCCTTAGTCCCAGACTTAGCCTCGGATAAAGCGGCTGGAGACCCCTCAGGAGAGGGCACCGCCGTCAGAAGCCCCTTGGGGACCTTCGGTAGCGCCAGCCCTTCGGGCACTTTACCAACACAGGAGCCTGTGGCTCTGGATGGTTGAACAACAGTATCTCCTTCCCTTGTAACTGCAGGAAATGCAGTTTGTGTCTTTTCCACGGGGACCGATATGCCTTGACCCTTTGGACTTGCCGCTGGCGGTGTTTTGCTTGGTGAAGGTTGTGAAGTCGGTGAGCTAGACGTAGGGGATGGAACACTCTTGGTTACCGGTAGGACCTTTTCTGGGTTTCTTGCAGCACCGCGAAGAGCTGCGACTTCTGCTTCCAGGGCCCGCACTCTTTCCTGCAAGCTACTCCGTTCTTTCATCAATTCCTCCACTTCTGCAGCAGTCCGTTTTGTCTCTGTGTTGCTGCTGTCATCGCGACCCGTTGCCGATGGCATCTGTGGGGCCGTTTCTAGCGTTTTGACGGACTTGGCCTCTTCCCGCAGCTTCGACAGCTGTTCCTGTAGAGCTTCAACTTCTCTCCTAAGAGTGTCCCGTTCCATCATGGTGCTGTCAGTCTGCTTGTTGCAAGCTGCTGGGTCCTTCAATGCGGGGGGTGAACTCAGTCGCTCACTCAGTTGAGACCTGAGCGTTTGTGTTTCCTTCTTCAGGGCCTCGTAAGCCCTCTTGATCTCCTCCCCCGCTTTGAGTTTCTCTTCAAGGGCAGCGACGGCTTCCGCCAGTTGTGCCGCTTCCGCTGCTCTCGCACTGAGGCGCTTGATCTCCATTTCCAGTCGCAAGGCCGTGGCCTTGTAGCTGTCGCGTTCCGAGGTGAGAGTCGATATGTCAGAAGTAGAAGGAGAGGCTAGGCCCCCAGGAAAAGCAGCTTTAGTTTGACCCTCCCCTATTCCTTTCTGTTTTGCTGCCGCCAGCTGAGCACTTAGGTCGGCACACCGCTTGCGTGTCTCCTCGAGCTCTCGCCGGAGTGTCGCCCCCTCATGAACGGATGCTTTCACCTTTTCTACCTCCTGAGAGTACTGCGCTTGCAGTTGTGCCCGTTCCGCTGCGTGTTGTTCTATCTGTGCAGCCAGTTTTGCCTCTGCACCTCCCACCGCAACTGCTAGTTCGTGCTGAAGGCGGTGTTGCTCTGAGACTGAGAGGTCAAGGGAAGCTTGGAGGGTCTCCACAGTCTTCTTCAACTGAGCGCATTCGTTTTCAGCTGCCGCTGCTCTCTCTTCACTATCTCTTAAAGCCGCTTGCAGCTGCTCGTGTCTCCCCCCTCCAGGAGATGTGGGAGGAGATGGGATGGCGGCGGCCGCAGCGGCCGCAGCGGCAGAACTGGCAGCAGCGCTGGTAAGTCTCGCCAGCTGGCTCCTTGCAACGGAAAGCTCCTGTTCTGCTGCAGCTGCCCTCGCCTCCGCCAGGGCTGCACGGGCCTGGGCCTGTCGCGCCTCACTCACAGCCTCTGCCTCCCGCAGCTCTGCGGCAATTAAGCGGTCTTCCCTCTTCTTCTTTTCACTTCCGTCTTCGGACGACGGTTCAGTGTCTTCTTCAGAGTCGGCGGCGACGTAGGCCTCAGCCAAATTCTTACTGAAGTCGGACACCACTGGACCGTTGCCCGCTACAGCTGCTCCTGCGACTCTCTTGCGCCATAAGGCCACCAGTGCAGGGGCGTCTTTGGCGTGAATCATTCTGCTGTGACTGGTGAGCCACGCGTACGCGTCGGCGAATGCGCGGCTCCTCATCTCCAGCTCTACGATAACCTGCCGATCCCTTTCCGCCTGCTGCAGCAGCCGCCTGTTGCTCTCTAGGGCCTCAGCGCGCTCTCTTTGTGCCTTCACCAGCGCTGCACTCTGCAGTACCCGGGCGTCAGTGGAAACGAAAGTCTCCAAATACGAGTTTTCTTGGGCCAAACGACACGCAAGCCGAATTGCCTCCTCTGCACTCAGCGATTGCATTAGCTGAGGCACCCCCATCTTCGCTTGTTGTAAGCTGATCTTGGCGGTGAGCGAAGCTTGCGTTTTGAACAGTCTGTCTTCGCTAAAAACCCGGGACGTCAACGCCCGCAAGTGGTTTAACAGGGGCAAGGTGTCCGAGGACTTGAGAGCCGACTGAAGAGTAGTCCTTAACCATTCGGCATGCTTTAAGGTTCCTCTACTATCCCCGCTAGCTGCTCCGCCGTTGCCCAAAGAATGCGCGGCGGAGGTAATCCGCCTCCTCTGCACAGCAGCTGCCAGCGGCCGCTCCTGGGGCCTACATATGCCTCCAACAAAACTATTGCACGTTGACGGCCGCAAAGTTCGTCGCTCTCGATTGTATGTACTCCTGAGGGGGCTTGGGGAGTGCAGATCCTGCCTCTGTACCTCGTCGAGGAAGTACGGCAAAATGAAGGTGTCGTCCACTGCCCTAACCGCCTCTCCAGGGGCCCCTCCTTCCCCTGGAACCTCCATTGTAACAACTCATGCAACCTTGTGTGCTCTGGTAGACTTGAGAACGCTCATACAAAATGCTCTGGCCCGGAGTTCAGGGCGACCTGTGGTTGTTCTCGGCAAATCATTATTTCATGGGCCTCGGCTTAGTATGTAGCCGCACAGAAAAGCCACCGTAGCCGTCGTCACATCAAATAAGCATTAATTTAATGAACGCTATGGAGAGCACGCAAGCATGCCCGAGGAAAGGCGGGCACAGCCTGTGGACCAGCAGGCTATGTCGAGGAACGACCGGGGCCACTTGAGGAAAATGAGGGGGGCCTAACACGTTATAAATACTGAAGTGTTTGGTTATATCTGTTATTTCTAGCCAAAGCAGAAGAGTACGTAGTTCCAAGAGGCGGACTCAAGAACGCCGCTATCCTCCCAAGCATCGATGCTCTGGTTCAGCTGGGCTACATACTATAGCTGCGGAGCTCCTCTCTGGGCTGCGTCTTTAGATCGGCTACTATGAGAACTTGTGCACTCAAAAAATAAAAAAAAATCCTTTCGAGAATAGTGCATTATAGATTTACAGCCCAGTTACTCTGCGAAACAGCTGTGTTCAGTAGTGCTGCATCAGGGCCCCCTTAAGCCCTGCGATTCACGACCCGTGCACAGCGTGCGCTGCTAGGATGCTTCTGCAGTAATACAAACAACCCCCTCTTTCAGCTTTCATCTGCGGATTAGTAACAGTAGACCTCTCAGGTGTTTTAGTATATAGTTGCCCTTCCTTGGGCCTACCCCTTTGGGCGGTGGAGTCTTGACAGGGGCTTTGTTACTATACGGAAACTAGCGGGTATAATTGAACACTTGTGGACAAACAAGGAATAAAGGAACCATTAAGAGGATTGGACCACAGCTGCATAGTCTTCGCCTTGGGCTGTACACTGTGAGTATCCAAGACGCAGACGCACGCAGGTAGGGCGCTTACAGAAGGCACACTGCATATTTGCTGTTAGGTTCACACACAATGATTCAGGTAGCACTTCACTACTTTTGTCGCAGGAGGCACTCCTTGCTGTTTTCCGATATTGTACTGTCCTTCCCACGACAGCAATGGAAGTTCACGGCCAAAGCTTTAGCCAGGAGTTTCATGATGCGCTGCGAAGAGCGCTTTCAGAATGTATCAAGAAGCGGCCAGCTGACCCGTTCAAATTCATAGCAGGTAGGACTGGGACAGTACAAAGTAGCATATTTTGTGAGGCTGCAGTGAAAGTAGGGATGATACATCACAGGGAGCGATGCCAGCCTGTGGGAAAGTGCTTAAACAGCTAATTCACTTATGGAAAACTTATCGAAAACTGAAGAGTCAGTGCATGTCAGTAGGTGTATTGATGGGGAAGCGTTAGTTCAGCCACTCCGTAGAGGGCGCTCTAATTTTGAGTCATTTATCAGTAGCGAACGCCGCATTTGGCACTAGGCAAATCAAATTACGGAGGACACTTTAAACGAAATGTGAAAGCACTAGAAAGGTGGAAGCTTTGCATTCCTGGGGATGTTTGTCTACCTGCCTGTCAGATTCCCTCCAAAATGCTAGCCACTATTCGAGACCGTGAGGCGCTTGAGATGATACCCCTTTATATAGGGTTGCAACGTGTTGCGATAGACCATGTGACAAAGCTACCAGGATGACCTAACCGCACAAGGCAGCAGGTTGCAGCAGTCCCAAACGAACGGCTACTTGCCATGTGCAGTGCGTGTGTGTTTTGTTTCGTAAGGGAGTACCGCGAGATCCTGGATGCCGTTAAAGGACGACCTGCGACGGACGCATCCACTTGATTAACAGTGCAGGCCATGCCATGATCTAATGTTCACACATTTTTGTGGCTGAGGTGGCCTGCAAGGCCTAAAGAAACACTTTGGCTCTGCCGGTTGCAATATTGCAACCCAACTTACTTCCCCCTTGAAACGGGTTTAGAGCCTGGCAACCCAGTGGAAACAAGAAGGCCTCATCGTTTTTAAGCTGACCCCGAGATTTGTGGAACTGGCCACTCAGAAGAGGCTGTTGTTAACGGCAGGGCAGCTAAGGGTATGCTGAGTTTGAAGTGAGTAACATACTGACTGTCGCTCAAACTTCTCTCCCTCAAGAAGAGTCTCGCTGTAAACACAGATAAAACAGAGCGCTGTGAACATTTTTAGCTACTACAAGCGGCTTGGTCCTCAACTGTCTTCGAAATTCGTTCTGAACTGGCGGAGAATTTCATTTCGGCATGAGGCACAAGTCATATGGTTTTACCCTAGGCCCATTATTTTACGGGGTTGAATGACGTACTGTTAGAGGAGCCATTGCGAAGGAGAATAGGATGCTTCAAAAGAGAGAGATGAGGAACAATTGCTATCCAGGGACACTATAGCGTTGAACAGTATGGATGCATACGGTCGGCGTGGAGGCCACCCACACTTTGATAAGTTCACAACAGACAAACGGGAGTAGCGTTCCGGCGAGGGGCGATGTCACAACTAATTTCTGTGGACGTGCAAGTTGCTTGTATCATATAGCACGATATTCCATAAATTTGGCTTGACACTTAAGGGCACCTTGCCTTGCGGAAGCAGTCCCCTCCGCATGCGCGTATAATCTAGTCACAGTACAGTTTGACACCCAACATTAGGCCCGTAGGAAAAGATCGCCAGACAGCATTAGTTCAAGACAACATCTCAACTATTAAGAGAGGCTTCCCGCCGAGGGAACGTTCGGATGATGTTGCTCCTTCCAAGGGAACCACAGATCCCTTCTTCCGTAGGAAGAAGGATCTGAGCAACGTCTTTTGCTACGTCGTAAGCAGTCTTACACATGGTGTGAGCTATGTAGCCCATCCACTTCTTATGTTACGCTTATGTTGCATACCCGGGTTTTTCAAAGTAGGGAGGTTGCAAAGGTTTTGTTTCCCCGTCATTCATTGAAGACCAAGAGAGAGTCGCTATACCTCTTCGTACGCCTGCAAGCACGACTGCGTACAGTACTAATGGTTCAAGGCCCCCCAGCAGAAATTAAAATTGCACTTGTGGCCAAAGGGTCAAGGTATGTGTGACAACTACCGCTAGGTAGCGACTGAATGATTATACGAAAGTCCACGTCCCAGCTGGAAGTGTCTTTTCGGGGGCTCTTTACCAACTAGCACTGGTACACTGGTATTCTTCTACAACGCGCGCCCACGTCCCAGCTGGAAGTGTCTTTTCGGGGGCTCTTTACCAGTTAGCACTGGTACACTGGTATTCTTCTACAACGCGCGTTACGCTGTTTTCGATTCTGCTCGCTGGATTTACGTTTGTGTAGAACGGTTTGGCCCCTGCCCCATCCTGTTTGCCTTGTCTCGGTGTACCGTGTACTGTACCCACGAAGCTTTGGGGGGAAGTGTTTGGGGCTAAACGGGGCATATTTATCCTGATGTATCCGAAGCAGATGCACTTACTTCGACTGAAGTCCATATTGGTTACTAAGAATCAAGCCAGTGCTAAACATTTGTCTTTGGTTATGGTGCAAGCACCAAAGGGATCACTGGCATGTTTCCTTTTGGGGTTGCGTCGTAGCAAGAGTTGCAGAAAGACGTGCCTCAACGCATGACATATCCATATATACTTACACTGCCACCGGTCTTTTTTGTACCACAGTGCGCCACAGTGCGCCTTCCTTGGAATTTTTCCATCTAGTGGGTTTTGAGTCCAAAGGTGGTCTCCGTCTAGGTTCAAGGACTCCCTAAGCCCTTATAAACTTCTGCATTCTCTAACTGCTCTTGAAAAAGAAGTTACATCGCAGAGGAGCTTGATTTTCAAAGCACTCAGATAGGCTGCACATTTTGAGGAAATACAAGCAGCTGGAGAATAGCCAACTTTCCTGCAGCCTCTACACAGCGTTAGTCCCAAATGAAAGCCAAGAAAACCCGGACGAGTGATCGAAAGCACCCTCCATCTTAGAAAGTGCTAGAGCTGAGACGCCAAGGTCCGGTGGTGACCAGCCTTCAGCTTGTCGGCAGACATTACACCCCGTGAGTAAAAACTGGGGTGGATTCCCACCCGACACAGAGCCAATTAATTTAGTTGGTAGAGTATAGCGAGATTACTTTTTGATGCAAACACTTCAGGCCTCGTGAAACTCACAACTACGTGTGTAAACGGTTCAAGCCACCGGCTATGTCCTGTACACTGCTTCGGCGAGGCAACTAGCGAGATACTTTTGCTGGCAGTTACTCTCCCAATGTCTCTCCTGTCAAGGTTTTAATAATCGTGCAAAAATTTGCATACGCTAGTGCCGAGTCACTTTGACCGGTGTTCCACTAGACCGGAACGATCTAGCGGTGCTGCCAAATTGCAAAGTAAGCTCAACAATAAATCTGTGCGACGACATGTAAGGCAAAGTAAGTCCGTTGAAAGACTACACGTATTCTTTTTGTCGAAGAGTAGTATTTGTGGGAAGGGTAAATTCTGGATGTTAGCCCGCTGTGACCGATGGCTGCCGACCAATGGGGGCCGCCGCTAGAGGAACCGCTGCCTGCTGCACAGAACGTCGTCGTGGCTCGCAGAAAACAAAGTCACGTACCTCTTCATCAGACGCTTCCGCAGAAAACACCAAAAACTTGAACAATATAGAGCTGTTGGTTTGATGCTCAAAGCTCCCCTGCAAGCACCCTCCGCAGTTAGCCTTCGGCGGCCTGGTTGCGCTGTCGGCTGCAAGACTGCTGCGAAGCGACGGCTGTCGATGCGATCATTTCGTTGCATGAACAGTGCAACAACTCATAACTTTCAGGGAGTCAATACCTCCCATTGTTCTTAAACTGTTTGGGCCATTGTTCTTGTTCTTTGTGAGCTGACGACGGAGGCTGACACAATGGCCTCTCTCCGCGATCTGCGAATGCCGGCTTGGCACGAACTCCAACGTTATCTTACAGATCCTGAGATTCTGACGTCGGAAATCTTGTTCTTGATTTTGACTTTGTCGAACATTTTTGTGGTGTATCGTCTCTTCCTCGATGTGGTCCCCTTCCCGGTTTTCGTTACCTGGTGGCAGCTGGCCCAGGGCCTGTTGATGGCTTGGTGCCTTGGCGAGGTTGGCAAGGAATACCCCAAGCTGGCATACTTCCCAAGAGTTGAAATAGACAGGAGACTCCTCAGAAGGTTGTTTGTGCCTACAATTGTCAACGCTCTTATGTTGGTTCTAGCAAACGTCCTTCTCTATCGCGTGCAATGCGTTGCAACACTTCCGGTCGTCGTTGCCTTTGCGGTCGTTCTTCATCACGTCACCCGATTCGTGGGTTGTGGAGAGGAATACATGCCAATGCGTTGGCAAGCAGTTGGCCTGTTGTTCACAGCCTTCCTCTTGGGCATCACCGATTCAAAAACCGTCGGCTCTGACGTGCTGCCATGGGCTATACTGTACGCGATCTTCTCCGCTGCTTTCCGCGCTGCTTTCCTGCAGAAGGTGATGCACGAAGTAGAAGGCAAAGGAAACCTCCTGCACAACCACCAGCATTTTATCTCTGTTATCATTCTCCCGGTGTTGATGCTCATCTGCGGCGAGGGTTCTGTGCTTAGTGCCATGCCAATGAATTTCGAGTCACTCTACACCTGGCAGACTTGGGGATGCCTGTTTACTGTCGGAGCCCTTCCGTTCCTGAAGAATATCGTCTCCAACCGCCTTATCCGCAGAACAGGTCAAGGCCCATGGCGGTTCCTTGAGGTCTTGTCAATTTTCTTCGTTTTCATTATCGGCGTCACGTTCGGAACCCCTGGGTGGCAAGGGTACATTGCAATCATGCTGGTTATTGCAGGGCGTGCTCTGGGAGCGTGTGACGTCCTTCTTAATGCAGCAGAAGCTGAACAAAACGAAATGAGCAGCGGCAATCCAGCCCGGCCAGCAGACGCCGAGAGAGGAGAGCTGGAGCGCGGGTCAGGTTCCAAGCAGTATCTGCAATCCATCGAAGAGGACAGCGGCGAAGTGAGTCCTTATGAGCACTTGAGTTAGTAATAGGCCAGTTTTTCATCTATCCACGCTACCTCCGCTGGGCAAGTTGCATAGAAACGTTTGAGACTGCATGCTCCGCATTTTTATTTTCAGGCCTATGGAGAACTTGCTGAAGGCGAAGAGCATGAAATGTAACACCGCCGCTTCAAGGACCCCAAATGCTTTAGTTATGTTTAGTCTAATATAGCTGCGGCGCTTGCTGGTTCAGGTGCTTCCGAGATTTAGATGTGTGGTGTGGGTCGCTATGCCGGAGGCTCCATCCATCTGCCCATCAGCGCGGGGCCTGCATTTTTGCGGCCTCTTGAGACTGCGTTCATGCTTTAAATTCGCAAATGCAAATGGTACCATATGAACTCTGCCCAGAACTACGCGCTCGCAGGTCAACCATTTATTTTGGCATATGAAGCCCCTTTGGCGAGCCTGGGCGGCCTCTTCGTCACGACTGCCACCAGCAACTTCGACGTAGATATCTTGAAAACCGCTGCAGCTGCAAAGTTGTTTGAAAGAGTACGAGATAGCTAGTCGTAAAGTTTGTTGCACCCAAAATCAGTGAATGCAATCAAACAGGCAATAGCTCTTTTCAAGCCGCAGCACTAAAAGAAAGGAAGTTGAGAAGGAGCAGCTTGTGTAAAAGTCACAGGAAGAATGCTATCACGACAGCACTGCTCTGTGAAATGACATGGAGTTTAGTTCCCAGGGTAAAGTTCTTCAATAGAATGATAAAAATTCAACAATGTAGTGATACTAGTCAAAATAAGATCATTTGAATCTGTAAAATAATTTGCAGGAAAATTTTAATTGTAACGTTGCATCACGACAGAGGGAATCGCCATATACGCCCATATTAAAATAAACAATTATGCGCGTGAACAGGTGTCTCATCAATATAAGCCAATGGATATTCATGTAATTAAATATTTACATAAATAAAAATAGTGCTTACTGGGGTGCATATCTAAACAAGAGTCATTTCTGGCTAATTTTAACATCAAAGGTAAACAACATTCTTGAACATGCATAAATATAGTTACATACGTACCATTTAAATATTGCATTCCACAAACACTGGGTAGGGGCAGATACAGCTGTACTAGTAACCAGTACTGATCAGCCAGCATCTCGAACTGTTTCTACACATGCGTATGTGTACTCCACAATGTGCGAACACTCAAGGTCTGAGGTTGAGAAAATAGTTATCTGGTGCTAAAAATGTACATGCTTTTGGAAATTCCTTCTCAAGTGTCTACACTAAACCAAGCCGAGCTTTTACACGATATACGGTAACATGATAGGTGTATTAACTTTAATTGAGAATGCTGACTGCTTCCTACACACGCAGCAACCACTATACGCCTAGCTCAAACCAGTGAGTTCGCCAGGGGGAAACACTGTGCACCTTCCCCCTTACAATCTGTATTATTTCTAGGTGCAAGCATTGGTTTCATTTGAAGTTCTTTTTATCATTAAGATTCATTGTTTGCCAATCCAGCCAAGTCCTAGTCTCTACATAGTTTAGGCTCGCCCTCTACGGCACTATTTTCATGCTTACGTTGTATCCTACTAATATTCTTACCAATGCACTCTCTTTACTTTTTATTACTAGCCCACGTAGAATTCCTGCACTTAATGCAATGCCACATAGCATTCCTTCACAGACAGCAGCACCTTGTTTTGGCGTCGCGTCTGCTGACGGATCACTTGCGAGCAACAACAACGCCACCGCACAGTGCGGCTGTTGATGGTTAATTTGCATTCAGCTGCAACCCCCCAAGGGGAGCAGCGAGCCATTCGATAATATGACAAACAGCGCAGCAGCTGCTGCACCTGCGGCAGTGCTTGTTGTTCTTGCTGCACCTGCCAGCAGAGATTTATCAGGAAATGAGGGACTGCATAGCGGGCTGCTCGATTGGTAGACATCAGAGCGCCGGCGCCCCAAACACAAGTCAGTCACGCCTGCCGGGCCAATCTTGGCAGGCATTACTGAAGCCTGCCAGGATTGGCCCGGCAAGCTTAACTCCCTCATCTGCAGAGGGGGAGGGAATGAAAACACATTTGTACAAGTCCGCAAGGCTCGGCAAATGACACAGGTGGCCCAAGTGTTCCGCTAAAAGTGGGAGGTAGTGTAGCATATCATGCCGAACATGAGAACAACCCAGTCAAGCATAGATCCAAGATAGTGGAAATAACACTTTCGGGGAGACGGCAATGAAACGATAGCAACTTGGCATCATGTCACTAAAAGAACGTCTAGGTACTGTCAAGGAAATCTCGATGATCCGCCGCTCACGGGGACTTATGCCAAAGGGAGGAATCGAGCAGTCGGGAAAATGTGGTTGAGTGAAGGCCAAGCGGCCAAGCAGCATTCAGTCCGAAGCACCCAACGGAAATTGTTGACTCGGAGAGTCTAAAGGCCATCGCTGAAAACGAGTTTAGGCCTTAGCCTAGCAGGAAACCATTTTTGCTCAGACGGGCGCCCAAGAGAGTGCTGGACGTAACGGACTCCCTGAGCAACGAGCACTCACACGAGCACTGCACGTGTTGCATGGCAGGCTGCAATTAGAGCGGCGTATGGCTGAAGAGTTAAAATCAGCAGAAACTAACAGCATAGTTGCCCTCAGGGAAATACTGGCTAGACTAAGGGCTATGGATTGCGGGAATTTCAATGAAAAAACTTGTCGACCATACCTCGATATTGTGATCGATGTTGACGTGGGAATGCCCAAAAATATGCAGTGAGCCTTCGGCCTGCCTGAGCTGCTCGTCGATGCGTGTGGATCCCATAACATACGCCAGCGCTCCAGGGTTGAGTGGATAAAGCTTAGCCAGTTCCGCGCGAGGCAAAAAGTGAGAAAAAGTAATGACTACCGTGGGGTTCTCGAAGCAGGTAGTCTCCTCTCCACAAGTACCCTCTGGAGATGGGCAACCCACATCCATCTCAGAATCGGTGGCTTGCGAGCTAATACCACTTTCTGAGGATCCGGTGTGGCCAACTTTCAATCGTGGTAGACCATCACAACATGCACAGTCAGGCACATCTGAGACGGCGGGTTCAGTTTTATTGTTCTGTATATTCTTATCAAGCCGCAGATTTCCTCTGCACGGGCTTTGGCGGTTGCGCAAGAAACAGCCTCTGCGTTCATTTTCAACTGCAAAGAACTCCGAAAGACTCAAAGGCATTCCCAAGGCATCTGTAAACCGCCGGGGGGTGCTTTTGGGCAACACCAAGTTCGGCATATTCTGTGCCTCCTCGACAGACCATCTGCGATGAAAAGGCTTGCAAGAGGCGTTAGCTCCCCACGCCAACCCACCAGGAAGTCCAGAGGTCTCCCTCCCTCCAACAGCAACAGCTGCAGCAGCTCCAACACCGGCAGCAGTAGACGCACCGGACCCATTGGTGGAGCGGCACGTGCATCGCCTACTCTTGCCAAGACTCATCCCACTAAACCGCCTAAACAGAGTTGCCTCTGGATCAGCTCTTCCAAGGCTGCTGTACTCTCTCCTTAGCCTGCCGCTCGACTTGGGATCATTGTTGCTGAGCGGCAGTGGCCACTGGCAGGCAGTGTAGTCCATCCAGTTTTCAGCCAGAGATAGCAGGAGCTTAGAACCAATAACTCGGCTGTTGTCTGGGGAAATACCTTGAGTTGTCTTCCCAGGGTGAGACTGGCTTGCACGTGGAAGCGCCGTCTGGGGTTGATGTGCGTACAAGGCTACGCGACGAAAGTGGGGGTCAAATTCGTCGTACCATGAGAAAAGGGGGACTAGACGAACTTTCCTGGACGGGAAAAACGGGCTGGTGTGGATTCCCAGAGATTCGCACAGCCGCAGGATACTGTCGAACTTCTTCAGGCTGTCAGTTATACCTGCACAAGAGAAACTGCAAAGTGAAAGCTCCTCAATAGAGATGGCCTAGACACACGTAAGCGGTTCCACTTCACCCGCTTGCCAGTCATGCGGGAATACTACGGAGGAAAAGGGGATGGTGAGGAACTTTGCCCGCCTTTAGGCCAGTCATGAGTAGCAAGCAACTACTGTTCTCTTTCTCAACACAATTCTGTCACTTGTTCTAACATTAACTCCCACTTACCCAAATCTCTATCCTTGCGCGTCACCCAGAGCTCGTGGTTTCCCGGTACGAAGGCCACATGGCCGAAAACTGAGCAAAAAAGGTTAAGGGAGTCTTTCAAACCCTCTAACTCATGGTGCACATCTCCAGCGAGGATCAGTACATCATTGGCAAAGTCCTCGTTGACTGGTGAAGATGTTTTCGTCACCACTCCCCCCAGCTGTCCTATGTTGCTCGACAGGGCACCAGCGAGTGGTGGCCACACAGGTGCCTCTCCTCCAGCACTGGCATCTGTAGAGATTCCTGATTCGACAATGTCCCATTCATTTCCGTTAGAGCTGCCTTGACCGCTGATGATCCGATTTTCCGTAGATGCAGGGCGTTTCTTGTTCAAATAGCAAAACTGCTTGACAAGTTCAAAGTTTACTTTGCTTTCGAGATGGAGATCAGACCAAGCAAAAATGCGCATTTTCGTCAGATGACAAGGAGTGAAGGGGACCTTTTAAAGACAAGGTCGTCACAATTTTTCAAGCCAGGCACCGTTTGGATCGACACACATTGACGCCGTCAGTTGCCTGTAAATTTCAAGGGGCTAGACCTTCTCGAAAACATCCAGCAACAAGCTGGATTGTCTCACTGATATCCAAACAAAAAGCTTTTAAGCCTATATCCGTCTGCAGCATGCTGTTTGGGCAAACTGTCTTTTGCATATAGCAACGCCGACGCGCCGAAATGCGCATGGGGTTGTTCAGAGAGTTTCTCAATCACAGCACATAAAATAGCGTTAAATCCCTTGTTGCTTAACTCATATTGACGCTTCGGATGTGAAATTCTTGTCCCTGGAGCACGTGCAACTGCTTGGCCAGCCAGGGCAGCTGCGTCAGGTAGGAATTGCAGGCAAGGTTATTCAAAGTCCGGTGGGCACTGGGTCGCTGTGGGAACTCTTTGCCGATGGCCTTTGGATGCTCTACTAAAAGCAACAGCTCAAGGCTAACGTTTTTGTAAACATGTGCTTATCAGTATGGTATTTCTGGATGTTTGTGGGCTGCGTGTGGGGTGACACCGCAGACTGGTCACCACGCCGACTCCCGCCGACCGCTACCTAGTGACCACCCCCCCCCCTATTGGTCCTCCAAAACACCTTTGCCATTTTTTTCAGCAGAAAGCCTACCTTATGTTGAAAATATTGCTTACTCAGTATCCTGCCCTTAGAAATAACTCAGCAACAGCCACCTGAGTCAACATTAGTGCAAATTGTGGCGCTCCACGGGATGTCACCAGCACATGGCGGGTCTTTGTGCAGTTTCTTTCGGAACTGCACAAATGCTTAATCAGCTGAAGTCAATGATATTCCTATAAGCACTTGAAAAACTGTCTCTGGAAACAACTAGGCTCAGTGCTGGTGCCACGCTTTCAAGCACAACGCCCGCCGTTAGGCGGTGCATCATGCGGGTGAATCCGCATGTTCCTGGGCATGGCAGAGGTCTGTGTATGTGCTTATATATGAGTACATATTAACTACTCATGTCCATGTAGGCATTTGACGCCTGCCTGGAGCTAGCTGGAGCATTGGAAGTCAGCTTGCGCGTGCTTTCGTGTGGTTTCGCAGTAGAAGGTATTCTTGTTGAGGGGACGCCAAGCGCAGGTCCTTATATGCGTCCCCTTCCACTTTCCATCAATCATGTGAGACTAGATCACTGTGACTAGGACAATCATTTGGCTAGCTCGGCACAGCGAAGGACAATACAGTTACTGCCTTCCCGTTTTGTGGCAGGCCTTTATCATGCGGGTGGTCTGACCCCTGTCTCACGCGTCCATTGATAGTGGGCACCGGGACACCCGGAAAAAGCTAGTTCTCATTTTCGGACGTCAGTATGCCATCGTGTACCAACCGAAGAGACACACAATGGGAACCGTGCCCGTGGCAGTCCCGGGGAGCCGCCCCAATCTGCGGCCGACAACAGCAGCAGCTAACAGCTAATTGGAGAGGCCACGGCAGCTGACATAATCTTTTTGCATCTACTGCGTTGATGCCTCTAGCTTACCACACGTTTTCCTTCTCCTTGGTAGTCCTTCCTTCCATGGTTAGCCGACTAACCACAGGAGATGCTTAACGATTCACATTCGTCATTTCGAAAGTGATGAGCCACTCATCACTTTCAGTGTTTTCCTGCTCCGCAGTTTGCAGCATCTGCAAACTGCGGAGCAGGAAAACACTGCGTCAGCCGGGAGTCGAACCCGGGTCGCCTGCTTGGAAGGCAGGTATCCTAACCGTTGGACTACTAACGCTGCACGGCCTGTTCATGCAACCTCATATTCATTTTGAAGCAACACCTAAGGCCAGCAGCGTATTTGCAGAATGAGTGTCGCCGTAGTTTGTTGAATCTCTTGTGTGACGCGCTTGCAGTTGTATTGAACCTGCATGATGATGAACTCTGTAGACAGCTGTTGAGAAGTGGTGCGTGTGTGCCTACTGCCTGCTTGTGTCGGATAGGGATTCATATGCCATCTTGAGAGACATTTGCGCACATACATTGCACAGCATGTTACATCCGCCCCCGTTTTCATGCACGCAACACACGCCTTCATGTGCCCTGAAGGTGGTTGTTGTGAGTTGTAATTCCCACCTACTGCTGCGACGCCAAGGCAACATCCGGCTGTTTCTGCTGCTCCGCTCACTTCGCGCCCGTGTAGTATTATAGCAGTGAAATCCACTAAAGTAAAGTCGCCTGGGTTAGACGTAACTGCTGGGTGGAGTTCTTCGTACTTGCTAGGATAGCGTTCCTGTGTCCTCACGCATACCGGTGCTTCTGCGAACTGCGTTGGGAAGTGTTAGGCTTTGCTGGTGTGGGGCTGACTTCGGACGGCAAGATCTAACTTTGAGTCAGCCAACGGCCTCTCGGTGTATATCACGGATGCCGGAGAGTAACGCGTGGAAGGGTTAAGTACTCTGTTGTATCATAACAACCCTTTCGCCATCGTAGTCATGAAGCGTCTTCATCAGATGTGTCAGAGATCGGCTTGAACCATGCATTCCACACCCTATAAGTAGTACCGATACTGTGTTACGCCACATAAAGCTCCCTAGGGCTCTTTCTCATCTATTGGGTGCTTCTGCTCTCTTGTTGTTTCTCCATAAAACTATGAGTATCAGGAGATGAAGTTTCGAATCGTTTGCTCGCAGAGAGGGCAGCGGCCCAACTCCTATGTCACTGGTATCGGATTTTAAGCGGATGCTGGAGACGTCACGTGGCAGAAGGCGCCTCTGGCGGCTGCAGCCCCTCTCTAGGGCCAAGCAGGTTGATTCGCCTTCTGAAGTTTGTCCTTTAGAAGGGAGGCAATTCAATCGACTTCAGGAATAACGTTGCGGCCGGACGATTCGTGGCCGAGGGGTTTCTGAACCTTCACGAAAGTGTAGGACAGCGGCCACTTCCGAATGGGCTCTCCATAAAGCCACATATAATTTCATCCGTGAGGCCGAAACTCACAACCGTAAGAAATGAATTGTTCGCATAAGCTGTTGTGCATTCGAGAAATGTTACTTCTTGCGTAGCAGTTGCTGCACACAGCCTAGGTGCTGAAGGTGCTCATGCCCCGCTGAACAACAACACGCCATCTGTGTATATAAAAATTCATCTCTCATTGTTTGGGAACGACAAATTGTGAATGCCATGCCTCTCAAGTTTAGCAGATGCATTCACTTGACCAAATGTTCTAAACATGAAAGCCTGAACTTGGCGGCGATTGTAGGAAATGCAGTCTTCGTCCCTTCCATCGGGATGGAGCGGGGCGTGTAAGAACGTTGCAACGAAGTCTAATGATCTATGCGCTGCTGAATCCTGGAAGACAGCCAGGAAGCTCGTCAACCCGATGCAATGGAAACTTCTGTTTCACTGTGTTCTTGTCCAAGGGCTTGAAGTGGATTCAACTGCACCAGCTACCGTCATTTTCGATTGCCAACACCTGGTGGTTTCCGAAGGCACTAGGTGACGCTTGGAGTTTGCAGGGCGAGCCCTGGATCTTATCTTAGAGCTACTGTGACCTGCAGTGAAGCCAAAATAATAGTTCCTTAGAGCATCTGACACACTTTTCCAGTATCCAGCTGCCGTGAGTTCAGCCGACCAAGATCCTGGAGCAACTAGAGTGGATACAGCCATACAGTAGTGGCAACCCACCTCGCTGACGCTCAAGGTGAACAACAGCCCGGTATGGAAACACAAGCAGGCCCTTTTTGCTGTATGAATAGATAGCCAATTCTTGAAAACTTCCACTTGCTTACCACTTACCTGCTAGGGGCGGGTAAGAGCTCATGTGCCCACTTCAGACAATATTGTCAACATCGCACAGAGTTTGGTAAATTAGGGACGCATCCGGCTGCGCTTTCTTTTAAATAGGGCCACCACGTTAGATGCGAGGGTGTCGTAGGATAACTCACACACGTTAACCACACAGAGAACTGCAAACTCGATCTAAAGGCTGCAAATGTACCACAGTGTGTATCTGTAACATTATCCCCCCGCTGTAGTGGTGCTTACTGGTGACAGAAGATAGTTGCAGTGGCAGCTGCCACGAAACAGTGTGTACGAACTGCCCAGAAAGCTTACGAGCCAATTCTAAATTTACATATGCTGTTTTGCCAGGTAAAGTACTAACCTTTGAACATCGTACATTGCCCCTTCGTCCACACCTGGGTATTCAGTAAGCCTGAGGCCACGTAAGTCCAAGAGCAGTTCGAATCACAGGCTGGCATTGGGAGGAAAATTCTAGCATATGATGGAGTAAATGAATATCAGGGGACTCCGGGCTCGTGAACAATCCGTGTCATATGTGCATACCGCCCTTTTGTTCCATTGTGATGGAATTGGTCGCGGCAGGCGCTACCGCATGCACGTTCGCTGACGACCATGGAAAATGGGACGTAGGTCTGTTTCTTCAAACTTTTGCTGATGAAGTGTGTTAATCCGTTCACATTTTGTTGGAATTAGCAGGGATTCTGCCGTCTGTGTAGAGCAGTGCTGGTGAGAAGGCGTTTGGTCCAGAGGCTGCCTGCGGACATCTCGACTAAAATACCGTCGTTTTCTGCCTATAAGGCTAATCTTTCCATTTTTTACGGAGGAACCTACCTTTGTTAACCCTTAAAGTATTCATAGGCCTCATAGGGGCTAGAGTTCAGCGCGACATTGGAAGGGTCATCGGCAGAATATTCCTCTGTTTGTGGCGTTTTCTCTGCTCTTTCAGCATTGAACGCCTTGAGGGGTGTGGCCTCTGTCTATGTGACTTGTGTTTGAGGGCTACACACGAGAGTCTCTCAAGGAAATATCTACCCTGGGGCATCTGCGAACAGCTGGTAGCTGCTCTTCCGCTGTATCGCCACATTTTTGGTTTACCGGGAAGGCAGAAAGTCACCGTGTCGTACAAATAAGTTGTATAGGCGTGCTCAACTTCTTAACATTGCAGGAGTCAAGGTTCTGCCTGAGCTGTGAGTGGCAGCGGAGGATGAATTACTCCGGAGAGACGCAGCACGGGAACGACACAAGGCCCAATGATGGGGAGGACGAAGGGGCATGTGGACAGCCAACCGATGCTTCACTGGCACCACAAAATGATTCTGCTGAGCCCACAAAAGAAGTCGTGGATGTTGCCCAGGGTAATTGAGTTTTACAGCACTTCCGCGTCTGGTTTACTGCTGAGCGCTGGTGCTCTGCATTCTTTTACCTTTTTACTTACAGTCTGCCTTTACTTCTTCTTAACGGTGCTGACTTTGTCTGTGCAGATGCGACTTCTCCAGCCCTCGCAGACCTCGTGGATGTTAACGTAAGAACGCGCAGCACCTTCAGCCGCCGCAGCAGCAGCGGCGGATGCAGCGACACTAGCGGGAGTTGCAGAACGAGAATCTTTAGTGGTCTCTGTACCAGCGTCGTGGCAGTGTCGATTTTTGAAAGCATCTGCCAACGGGGGTCTTATGGACAGCGCGTGCATTGGTGGCTTTAGAGCATACTCTATATGGCTTGTGTGTACGATCGCCTACCTTTCCGTGCATCTCGTTGCCTGCCTCGGTGTGTCTCTGTGTGTTTTTGTCAACTCATTAATTCTTGAGTGTCTACGTGCTTTTGTGTGTTGAATGGTTTTCAGCTATTGGGGCAACTGCAAGAGATGGGTTTCAGCGAGGCGCGGGCTGGGCGGGCGCTTCTGGCGCTTCGCGGGGGTCCTTCCACGGTGGAGGCGGCATTAGCGTGGATAGAAGAGCACGAAGACGATTCAGATGTTGACAATCCATTGACTGCTGAGGAGCTTGCCGCCTACAAGCCCGCTAAGAAGACCCCTCTAACAGAGGAGGAGGCCCAGCGCCTCGCCTACGAACTCCAGAAAAGGTTGAGGGAGGTCAGGCTTTGTTTGCTTTTTGGGATCTGCAGTAGAAAATTTCGAACTTGCGACTCATCTTTAAAGGTTTAGGCTCCTCCGTCTACAGACACACAAGCAGCTAACCACGAGCTTTAGAGCTACCCTTCTTCGCTGCAAGATTCCAGATGTGCATGCATTCGCGTCGGCCACGCAGGGTGGAAAGCAGTAGTATCGGGCATGCTTTGTGTTGGTATGGTTTTCAGGAGCGGCTAAAGAGAGAAAAGCAAGAGGCTATTGAGAAAGAACGGCTCCGTCTGCAGCAGTCCAAGGCCATGCTGGAGCAGCAGGCCAAGCTAGAGGAAGAGACGCGGAAGCGGGCACTAGAACAACTACAGAGAGAGAAGGAGGTGCAAATATACCTACATTTATGCATTATGTACAAATATGTGGACCAACGCACACCTCAAACTTATCTCGGATGTGTTTGCATAGCTACGGTTCACCTCCAAAAAATTGAGACAGAGTTAACCACCTCCCCATGCACTTCAGCTCTTTGCACGGTTGAGATTACTTTTACCGTTTCAGGAAACCTCGGCGTTAGATTGTGCTAATGTGAATGTAGCGGGTGTTTGGCCGTGTGGGGGCTGCTGTGCAGACAAACACACAGTCGGAAGCCGAACACGAATAGGGGCTTGGTGTTTGGTATTTTTGCTTAGAGATGAGGGTTTGTGGCGGGGCTTGTTTCTGTCACTGTATAGGAGGCTAAGAAAGAAAGGGAACGCCAGAGGGAGCTGCTGCGCCAAGATTATAGGGACAGATTCGGCTGTGAGGTTAGCAGCGGGCAGCTATTGCTTGGGGGTTGCGTATGAACTGCTTGGTGGTTGAGCAGTTGCTGTGAAGCGGCAGCTGGTGCTAGGGAAGCAAATAGTGAGGGAGACATCGGGATGCAAGAGGTGAGTATAGAGGGGAGGTACAGGGGTTTTCGCGTTTATCGAGATGTGGACTGTGCTGCGCATAGATGCCTGAGGACCCGTCACATGCGGCCCCTGAGGAGCGTCTGGCGAAGATGAGCGGCAAAGAAAAAGTAGCGTACTACAGCAATGCGCTTTTCAAACGCTACAAGAAGGAAGATCCCCAGAAGCTCCTTGTGTGCCTTAACACCCTCCGCCTCTACGTGAACAACGCCAAAGAACATCCGACGGACCCCAAGTACCACCGCATCAGGCAAGCGCTGCCACATTAGCGGCGGAATGTGCCACAACATAGGGTTCAGTCGGTATCGCTGCTAAAGTCGTCTTACGGCGCGCCGATGTTCCGGCCGTGCACTGAGGTAGTTCCAGCTTGAAAAACTAAGTGGGCCGGGGTGTAAGTGACGCCGTGAGGGCCACGGTCACGGCACCCCCAGCCATTAGCACTGCTAATTCGGTCATCCAGCTTTCAAAGTTTAAAGGGGGCTAGCTGCACTGCCAGTCTCCTGAACAAGTGAGGGGGGGGGTGTAGGGCCTCTTCCGGCTGTGTGGAATTCTGCTGATGGCAGCAACCAAGTCGTGCTTTGTGGATCTGCTGGTTTCGCTGCACAGGAAGGAGAACGCGGCCTTCAAGGCCCGCGTGCTGGTCTGCGATGGGTCCGTTGAGCTCCTCGACGCGTGTGGCTTCAAAGACCAGGGTGAGCAGTGGGTTGTTTGTGTTATATGGGGGAATGGGGCTGGCCTGCTCAGAGAGTCAGGATAACCAATTTCCAGAATGAAGCGCACGCTTCAGAGTGCTAATACTGCTGCTTGGCCCCTGTGCGGGGCGCCCGTGGTTTTTACTTACCAGGGGAAATAAGAGGGGCCTCCGGTTTGGGTCTGCAGGCGACACCTTGGCCATCCAGGGGCAGCCGGACGGCTTCGTACTCGCCCAGGCAATGAAATTCCTCGACCTGCTCATTGGACAGCTGAGAGGATGAATGGTCCACAGCCAGTAACGGCCGGCTGCCTCTAGCCCCGTTAAGCTACGGCTAGCTCGACACGGCTGCAGCAGCAGCCGTGCCATAGCCAGCCACAGCTATTGGCAGCTAGCTAGCTACAACCGAGGATGGGAAGACCCCCGCAGGAGTATGCAGACAACAGGCAAACCGACGGAAATTCCTTCTCCCTAGGCCGGGCCTTCCCATCAATGGGGGCAAGCCATCGGCAAGGAGTTCGAGATGCGGTTGGTGCTACCTGATCCTTTGACCATCAGCTTGTGGTTTGGGATTAAGGGTTAGGCCCATCTATCTTTCTACGGCCCACTGATTCGGGCTACACTGTACCATATATCCCCAGAGTGCTGCTCCGGGTGCCCAATGAACATAGCCCAAGGCAAAATGAGAGGGCCTGCCAGGCTGTGCGCTGTCTGCTACCCCCATGTGCATGCGCGCTGCTGGAGTCTGGGACCCGGAAGTGCTGGTCCTCAGACTGGCACTGAGTGACGACGGATACTCCTTCCCCGGTTGTCTGCCCACCTGCTGAAACTTTTGGATACTAGGCTTACCTGTACCTGCAGTACAATAGGTTCATTATTCACCTCAACGCATGGGCACACCGTACGTGTGGACCCCACACCGCAGCCACAACTGTGACCATTAATCAGAACTGATCATGCGCATATAACAGATGCACCTGGGCACCGCTGCGATGGCGCTACGTGCTTGTCAGCGAAGCTGCTGTCGCAGCAGGTCAGGGGTCTTTTGAAAGCAGTTTAGGTGGCGCATCAGCGATGGGGATGGTCCGTATGTCGTGAATAGGTCCTCCAATTCAATTACAACGCGGTCGATATCAGGTGCATCCTCAGTGGGTGTGGGGGCAACCCCAGCCTGTGCGGCTTCCGAAGAGTCTTCCCTACTTGAGCCCCTCACAGCCGCAGAGGTACTGGGCGAAGTGGGGGACCCAGAGGCCCCAGGGGCTGCAGCGCTACCCGCACTGCGGGGCTTGCGAGCCGGGCTGCTGCTGCGCCGCACCTGCAAGGGAGAAGAAGAACGAGAGCCCCCTTTAACTGCTGTTACACTGGGTCGACGCCGCTTCGGGCCGGCGAGCCTGCCCGCTGATGGCGCAGTAGATGGACCACCACCTGGTCCTTGAGGCTCCTGTTCAGCCGGTGGTTCCACTGGGGTGACTGGGGACGGTGTTAAGGGCCTAGCGGGTTCGCTGTTTAAGCCCCTCCCTGGCGGTCCCGGCTGCAGGTGCACTGCTGAGGCCTTGCTGCGGACCGCTGAAGCTAGGACCATGCAGCTGAGTGCGTGGGCGAGCTTGGCCTCAATATGGGCGGCGACCTCTCTCAATGCCTCTTCTTCAAATGTAAGCAGCTCCTCGGGTGGCACGCATTCCGCCGTTCCCCCCGAGTCCTCGAACAAAATGGGCAAAAACTGCTCCCCAGAGCTCCCCAAACAATACTCCTGAACCTCCCCTGTTTCTTGGGGCTGTGACCACCCCGGTTCCCCCCCAGAATGCTCACCCGTCTGAGGCGTCTTTGGCGACACTGCGGCCATCGGTGCATGGGCTGCATACAGCGGAGGTGAAAGCGTCAGGAAACGCAACCTGAAGGAACAGGCATCACCGCATGACAAGATGTCGTAGTTCGCCCCCAGAAGCATGAAAGCACTCTCAAGCTGCCTATAGTAGGTACGAGGGGTCGTCGTCGCAAAACCAAGCACTGACCACAAATTGACAGGGTTTACGATGCAGTTTGCGTGGCGGGGAGGTGGGCGCGTCTGTACTTCTCCCGTCCGATTTCTCTGCAGTGGGCACACAGCAAAATTAGACGTCGGGTGGAAATAGAAAGGAAACAAACAACTGTAAAGATGGGCAAATGACAGCAGCATGTATACAAAGTGGGGACCATATCTCTTTCAAGTGGGCAGGCGGAACGTCTCCAGGAGAAACAAGCGCCTGCAAGTGAATTTAAAGCCAGAAAAGGGGCGTCTAGCAAACGAACAACAAGTGGAAGAGAAGTACCAAATCGATTATCCGCGGAAAGCGAGGCTGCCACAGATACGCCTGCATCTCCTGTTCGTCCAGAGCCAGAAGATGCAAGATATTCCGCCTATCGGCCTGTAGCCTAAGTGCCCCCAAATAGTCCTAAGGAGACAGAAGACAGCAAAACAGGCCTACATCTCAACGGCATGGGTGAGCATATGCATAATATGGCTCAACCTAAAGTAAAAGCACTATTCCCAACACTTCCGTCTGTCAGCCCTGTTCATCAGAGCCCTGCATTCCAGGGTAATCGGCTACAAGGCGACAGCCAGAGCCAGTGAGCAGACTCGAGTGCGAACACCGAAAACCCCGAATGGTATAGAGAGTGTGTCTTAAGGATGGTAGGTAAACGCACGGCTCTGTCGATAAGGCCTTCAACAGTCTTGAACTGTTCAGTTAGTTTCTTTTTTTCGACCAGCTCCATGACTTCCGGAGGGGGCGAAAGCTGCAGCCAAGAAGAGCTGCAGGCAGCAGCCCCCAGCCACCAGGAAGGGCTCATTTGCTCGCGGTACTCTGTATGAAATGAGTTGCTGCCTAGAAGTCCCCCTAGGCTCAAGAGAGGACGAGATACCGGGGTACTGACACGGCGGATCACAGTCGAACGCGCGGACGGAGTCCCCGAACTGCTGCGCGCCGTCGTACCGCCACGGCCCCCAGGGCCACTCGTGCTACTGCTTACTGTGCTGCTGTTTGCGCTGCCGCCGCTTCGCCTCAGCCCCACACCTGCAGAGGAACACAGTAGTTCTCAGCAGATGAAGTAGTTAGCCTGACCCGAGAATTCTCGAAGGGCTAACGTCAAACACAAACCACCTGTGACCAGAGGGTGTGGAGGGGTGTGAGAAGATCCCCTTGTCCACACAAGCTGCTCATGTTATAAAGAATGGATCGGGCAAGTCTCCGTCAATGTAAGCTAGACAGGAGCAGCCGCATCTATTCCTCCAACTGAATGTTACTGTGCACACCGGCTCGGCTATCGGGCGAGAGTCCGCATTCCGGCACAAGGCGGGATTGAAGAGGCTTTGGGGGGGTCTTGGCCACTGGAGAAAAGTTCATCATGCCGACTTGGGCAGAAGGCGTTCCGTCTGGGAGCTTCATTCTTGATGGGATGCGAGCCCACGAAGCTTAAACGCGCTGCTGTGCTCCCCTGGAATCCCTGATGCCCAATCCAAAGGGAGTAAACCTCAAGCCCTCAAGAAAAATTGGCGTGCTGGTACATAAACCGCTGTACTCCAGAAGGTACTGGCACTGCGCTTCTCTGTCCGCCAAAAGGCGGCTGGAAAGAAAGGGTGACGACCACCACGCGCGCTTGTCTGGAGCTACACAGCGGCAACATGCACTGTAAAAAAAGAAAGCGAAGGGGAAATTGCTGTTCAAACAAAGGAAGTCGAACCTTAAGTAGGGAGAGAAACATAAACCAAGGCCCCAGAATACTCGGGCCCTCAGTCAAGCGTAAGGCAGAGCCGCCGGCAGCCCCAGCAACGGTTGTGGTACTTCTTTGTGCACCGTTTGAATTATATAACCCATATATTCACCAATTGCTGGGAAAACCCTCCGAAAACGCGTCATGCCTCTATTTATCCGTCTTATTCCAAGCATTCTTAGCGCGCTAAGCCATGCACGGGTGCCCGTGGAATCTCTGTCTATTAATGGTTGCGATCTTAGCTACTTGTGCAATGACTGTTTTCCGGATGCATTTTAATAAGGAATTAACGCTGCAGGGCATTTCAATCGGCTGTCTGCTTGCAGCAGGATACACCGCTGGCCGTTGTGCCCTCGCGAGCTGCGCAAGCGAGATGACCTTACACCTGAATCTTGACCTCTAGGAAGCAAGATATGGAGTCGCCGAATAGTCCGCTGCAGCCGCTCCCAAGAGCCTCTTTTGTATGCGAGAACTGCTCCCGCCACGTAGTTGTCGTGCTGGATAGCAGTTTCCATTCGTCCAACACAACATTACAAACAAGCAAGCAGTCAAAGACGGAAGTTTCACTGGCTGCAAATGCAGAAGATCCTCTGCCGCTGCAGTTTCACTGTGTAGATGAAGGGCAATTCCATCGAAGTGGAGCCACTACAACGCCTCTTGACGATGGGGCTGCCACATGTGCTCCCTTGCAGCGACCGTTGCAGCATCAACTGCAGCACCAGCTGCAGCCTCCAGTGCCTTCAGCCAACGAAAGCTGTAGATCCCCATTGTCTTCTTGTGTTCCATCTCTCTATGCCGATCCAGCGGACACAAGCGGTGCCAGCGTTTCAGTGGACGAGGGTGTAGGAGCGGATTCAGGGATGATGTATCCTCTCTGTGCTGCGTGTTTAGATGCGGATATAGCTGAAGTTGAGCCATCAACTGCTCACGAGAAGAGGCTTATCCGAAAATATGAAAGGGCGTTGAGGAGGCTGCAGCGGCTATCCACTGCGAGAGCCCAAGAGGAAGTTGCAACGGATGCTGCAACCTCTACGCTGGCACAGTTGCGGCAGCTGGAAGAAGAGGAAAGAAAATTAGAAGCGGAAATATCCGTAATTGAGGCTTCGACTGCCCAAAAAGAAGCACAAAAGCGCGCAGTCGTCGCCGAGCTCGCGGAGCTGCACATGTGGCATGCTGAATTTTGGCTGCTGTACACAAACCATTGGCTCCGCATGATGCGTCATGGAGAGGTGAACTGCGAAACCTGCTTTCATGTTCGTTTTGCTGTGGCCGAGTCTAATGCCTTCTACGCGATTTTCAGAGCATGAATAATCAAGTGTTGCCTTCTGTAGAGCCTGCTTCATATCTGCACAAACAAGCATTTACGGGAGTTTTATTTAATATTATGCCTGAGTATTAGAAGAAAACGACTTCCGTGTTCTATAGGCGGTTTAATATGCTTCCAGGCGGCTTGTTGTGATATGTCCCTAGCTCATGTATTGCCCGTGACGGCAAACGACAAACTGCTCTTCTACTGCAAAACGATTGTGTTTTTCTGCGGTGTACTACATGTGGATTTGACCAGCGAAGGCGGGCCATGGAACGCTTATTCGTGTACATCGGGACGGAGTTGCGGCGTTTGAAGAGATTGAATGTAGTCACTGACGCCTTCCATATTTGGACGTACAAGTTTCTTCCATCTATTAACAAATGCAGAATTGGTGAGACAAAGCCACGGATGGATGCGACAAGTGCAAATAAGCGTAGGCAATAGTTGCTGGTGCCAGGCGACAAGGGCCGGAGTTGCTGCTGCTGGGCCCTATCGTGGCAATCGACGCGTAACAGAGGGTCTAGAGGGTCTTTCGCGAACAGAAGGGGGATGTGGGTGTATGCATTTGAAGTGAAAGTGGGAGTGAAAAGAAGAGCGCACAGAAAAGCTGATGGCACAAGGATAAGTAGACAAGGAGAACGTGGGCTGAAGCCATGGGGAACAAGTGAAACAGAAACGGAAGGCGACAGCAAGCCAAATGGAGAACCAGCCCACTCTGGAAGCGCAGGAGATGGACCCAAACTCAATGGAAGAAGTGCTGCTCTGGTGCGTTTTGTAGGCCGGATTTCCTCGCCTTCGTGCCCATCTTGGGCGGAAGTGAATACTGGCTGGGGATATTTGTGCATGCTGCTCGACGTCTTCTACCGGAAGTGTCAGGCACACCCCTCCAACTATAGACTTGTGCCCAGAGGACAGTTCTCCTTTCTCATAAGGCAAGAACCTTCCCAGCTCACGTTTCGGTGTTCCAGTTTAGGGTTTAGGTTTCGGGGCATATGTTGAGGGTTTCGTGTCAAGGGTTGGGATCTAGGATGCTGGTGAGGTCCGGGCCCATACACCTGTCGCAGGGGTTGAGGTAGTCAAACTGTGGTTTCATTCGGTGATTCGTGCACCCCATCATTAACGTTAAAGTGAGCGTGCTTATTGTTTATGTCGAGCAGAAAGAAAGACGGCGCTGTGCTTCCGCTCCACGGCGGCGGGGGGGAAGTCGGGCTGAGCCGCTTTTTTTACAGCAACAAGCGGTTTGACTCTGCAATGATGGCATTCTTGGAATGCGTTAAAGAGGTAACTTGGAGAAGCTGCTACTAGAATGGCGGCGGCAGTTGCTCGTCGTTGTTCTGCAGCTGCTGACACCACTGTCGCTGCTGTTGCGACTATGGCTGCTCGGTTTGCGGTAAGTGTGAATGTGGGGCTCATTGGGATGTTTGTGTGTGTACAATGCGCGGTGCAGCTGGCTGACTTGCTTGCCGCGGCTGCGGAGGACCGGAGCAAAGATAGAGCCATCTGCCGCTTGTTTCCTTTCCCCGAACTTCCTTATGAAATCGAGGGTCAGCTGTACCCACGTCGTGAACCCTAAGCTCTGAAACCATCAGTGGTAGACTGTAGTGGTAGGCTGTAGAGAAGCAAAAAGGCGGCATTTTGTTTCTAGCAACGGGGGGTGCGCTTGTGTGCGTGTTGGTCGTTGCGATCAGGCGACCGAGTGGGGGGATTCAGCATACGTTTACAGCTAAATCAGGACGAAAGGTGGACAAAAGCCCTGAAGCTGCTCCTCATTGACATGAAATGGCTTCTAGAATACATCGAGCGTGAGCTGGCACAAACCCTTAAGCGAAGACGCCTGCGTAGGCACACAGAAACGCTGGCAGGAATGCTGGACGACAAATATTGTGCCTCAGCAGGTCGATGCACTACTTCTCCTCTGTTCTCTTGCCTTCAGGCATTTGCTTGGTGACCGGCGCGGCACCATAAAGTGCTTAATGAGACGTTTGCTTGCAGCACAGTTAATTCCACCTGCGGGTTCTCTAGCGAAAAGCACAGGCTCTCCAAATGTTGCTGCGAGTTCTTGCTGGGAAAGATGAAGCCATGACTGGCGATCTGCGCATACATGCTTGGGTGCATGTGTGCATGTGTCCGTGCACAGTATTCATTTGCAGTTGGTTTGTGAGAGCCGGCACACACTAGCCGGCGTATACAAAATGATGGACGTGACCACGCGCCTCTATGCACCTCCCCAGAACAGCTGCAGGCACACACGCGGTGGTGTGTGCCGGTGCGCTGTGCAGTGGTACGTCCTTCATCTTATCATTGGCTCACAGCAGCCGCCTACAACTGTACACATCGTAAGGGGTACGTCTAAAGCTTTCACCAGCACTGGTGGAAGAGGGCGGGCTGCTGGGAAGCTAGCTGTAAGCAACAGCGGCCGGCGTCGTTCTCAGTATCTCCCCGACGCCCGTACGAGAAATGCAAACTTGCGAAATACTTTATTTTCTTACCAGGGCAGTCGTATGCACTACCTTTTAAGTCGTTTAGACGACCGGGATGTCATCTGTGTTGTTGAGCATATGCTCCTTCGCCGTGCCACTAGAATAGAACAGCAAAGAAATAGAACAGCAGAGGGGTAGGACGTTTCCCCCGCATCTCCTTTTCATACAAATTACTTCCCTTGCCCAACACCCAGAAGCTTCACGTCAACATAAACAGCTGGGGTAGCTTCAGATGCAAAACGTGGTATTTGTGTGTTCATGATCATGAAAGCAAGCCCTCAGCGAGCTGCACATCCCTTGAACTGGGAACAGGGGACTTCGTCTGTGCCCATCGCTACCCTTGGGTACAAAGTAGTGCGGGGTGCTGAAGGCGCCTAGTTTAGATGCTTTTCACCCCACCTATCTGCAACGGGAAAGTGCAGGAAATGATGTCAGCCCTGTGACCATGGCTGTTCCACTCCGATATATTGTTTAGCTGCTCTTCCTTCTCTATGGTTCTGCCGCTTTTTACAATACATCAATCATGTTGAATCGTTGGATCGTTGTTTCGTGTGGAAACTAGTCTCCGCCACCGCTTATTCAGCGTTATGATTTGTACGTACTTAAGGCTAACTGTTGCGGGTGGTATAAAGATACCGCAAAAGCAAAAACGTCCGGAATTCACACCCCTTTTTCTCAGCTGTGAACAGTGCCAGAACAACAATCTGCCCCACGCGTTGCCCTGCGTTCAGTTAACAACTGGCCTGTCGCGACGCCGACAACAACTGCACAGAAAAGGCCCGCGTTGAAGGTCATGCAAACCAGCATCATACCCCAATCGATCGCCACGGCTATGCATAAGAGAGCCCTGCAATGCAAAGAGAACGCACAACAAATTGCAATGTGCGTACGAATAAACCAAGACAACGAAGCCCCACCGACGGCCTGCAACTAACAACCGAAAACTTGGGCAGCACCCAAATATTACAATGATGAAACTCACAAGCTACATGTTTTGCTGGGGATGCCTCGAATAACGTGCAGCTCGCCATTAGTTGCACGTTATTCGAAAACGCAAACGATCGGCAACAGCACAATACAAATACATGCTGAGTAGCATCCATGCACGACTGCTTCCTTGCTACCTCGATCCCATATCCACAACTTCATGCAAACAGTAATGTCTCGTCCTTTATTCAATGGAGCTCTAAAGGGTGTAACTCGTAAATTACCAAACTGCCAAAGGTTTAGCCCTCAAACAGCGCCAGCTCTCCCCTTCTGACCCTACAGGACAAACACAAAACCCGCAACTCCTGGCATTTACTATTGTGGTACAATATTTGTAGTGAAGAGAGGCAAAGGGTAAGGGGGGATTGTACGCACGGCTGGCAGGAACCCGGGTCCAGGCCCCGGGCTGCAAGTTGGGAAGAGACTGTAAGCCCCCCGGTTGCAAAAGCGGTGGGGCTGTTGGCCACCTGTCGCTCGAAGGTGTCATAACACGTGGTAGGCCGTTTATCTCGCTTGATCCTCCACTCGCCGTCGCCACAGAATCCTCCGAGCAAGCCTCCCGCGTCACCGGAGGCACGGGGGCCTCAGAACGGGCTTCCCCATGTTGCATATCACGGCAAATTGCCTTCACTTTTGCACTGCACATAAACAAACTGGAATTACGCCCTATCATACCACTGACGGTAAGGTTTTTGCCCCCCAGAGCCCTGGTGGCAACAATTCACGTAAAACTGATGCGGGCGAGGGGGCCGCGTGCATGTTCCAGATTGCTCCCATTCAACTTTAAAAGCGCGTGAAAAAGGGAAGCTGGGCAAAGTTGTATGTCGATTAGGAATATTATTTACGGGCATCCACCACAGACCTGCCGAGGCACAAGCCGAAGATGCAGAAGCAAGACAGGTAAAAATCAAGGGCAGTTGATGTTCCCCACCATCTGCAGGAGGCAGTTGAACAAATGGAATGCACAACAAGAAGTAGCAGACGTAGAAGTGGCAGATATGCACCATAGTTTCTACACGCATGCGTGCACATGAAGCCACCCACAACCGGAGACGAAATTGAAGACGGGAGGCGGTCTCACGGGAAAAGAATTGTGGCGTCGTAGCCCCAGTAAAAAGTCATCTGCATCTCCATCTTAGCACTGGTAAGATAAAGCCACTACCTCTACTTCACGGGCAAGTTTCACTGGTAGCACTTAGAAGTTCTTCCAGAGCCCCCTACTAGGGCCGAGCTTCCCATGTTCGTGTGCACTGCTCTTTTGTCTTAGTCGCCACCAGACTTCCTCGAGTGGAACACGCAAGCACTCTGCAGTTAATAATGGGAATGGGAGCGGTTGGTTAGCTGACAGGATTTGCCTAGGAGCCAGGACAGCAAGGAGCCCGGTTGAGAGTTCACCAGCCCTGTGGGCGTTACTGGGGGTTCTTAAGGATAATGTAGAAAAGAAGGGGAAAATAAAAGTCATTTAGGTCCTATGAACCACCTGAAATGCACATAGGAATGTAAGATACTTACCATATCTGCCCTGCCTGCGCAAGGCGCCAGCTGAGGCTATCCACAGCTGGGAGCCGCTGTCCTTGCGACTGAGCCTCAGCCACCTAGTGTAGTGATAGTTATTGAAATAGGGAGAATACAACAGTTAAAATACACCTGAAATGACGGGCAATAGCAAACGAGAGCACCATCAGGCCCCGTTCGTGCATCGGTTTTACTCGTGAGGAGGCGGGCCCTCAGTGAAAACTACACGTGGTGGAGTTAAGCGTACGCCTGAGGAAATCTGAATAATACTTGTTAGGTTGCTACAAAGGCTAGTTGTTGGCGCGAACTGTGAACGTGTATTTCGCATATAAACGGGTCAACTACAACCGCCATTGCTCGTTTCCTGCCGTTGTTTTGTCTGCGCGTTGGCGGGAAATCGACGCACGCTTGCTCGGCATGCTTCTTCTGTGCATCGGTTCTTGTGTAATACAGAAGAGGTGTCCTTCCTTTGTAAATTCGACCAAAAATGCGAACGCAAGGGTTAAACGGTGAATCGTTGCTCTACCAGTGGCCTACCAACAGCACCACGAGTATGGTGCTTCCGGCCGTACGTACGGTGTCACTACGTGTAGTGCACAGGCACTACCATGTGACTCTGGTGTGATCTCTAGTAGCTCATTGACCATAAAGAGAAGGATTATGCCATTAGAAACTAAGAAATGGAATTAATACTGCTAAATATTCTAAGAATCGAGTACCTTAGGCGGAACCATAGGTTAATAGGATTACCCCCGCCGGCGGCCACTATCGGCAGTGTGACGTACTACCTAGTCAATACTTGGGTACCAGTAGGCTACTTTAGAGATCTAATTTAATAGGAAATAGAATTATTACTATACACTAGTATTATGCCTATAATTAAGACTTTGGTGGATAGCAATTATAGGCCAGGCTCCTGACCGTCCCACCACCGTTGACATCCCCCCGTCATCCTCTAGGTTGGGCGCTGACACCCAGCCATGATCAAAGTCAATTCAGATCACAGTTCTATTATCCTGGGAACTTCCCTTGTTTATAATAGAGACTCGAACATGATTTGTAATTTTAAGTATTCACCTCTGGGAAGTTGTGTAGTTAGAGGATGTAGTTAGGAAGCCAGACGATATGCGACGATAAGTAGGCACAGCTTAGGACGGCTTCCAGCCTATACCAAATAAGTGCACACGCTAGAATCTAACTCCTACTCTCGGATTATCGCTATAAAACTCTAATGAATGCAATTAACAACCATATTGATTCGAAGCCTAAACTGCGACTGCATCAAGCCTCATGTTAGTAACAATGCGACGGAGTGAAGCAAGTGAGCCGGAAGTCCGCCGATGCCGAAAGTCCGTGTCCACGTTGTGAAGATTAGCTCATTACTCCTTGCACACCGGAGCGAAAACCGTTCTAAAGAGGGCTGTTGCGTTGTCATCAGTGCAGTTAAGCCCTCATAGTCACTTCACAGCAGAAATCGAGACAAAGACTCCTCAACCTCCGCCGATAAGGTTGTGTTCCGTTCTGCTGTGCAAAGTGTCCCTCTGGTAGCTACTGATGCAACCTTCAGTAGGGAGCAGCTGCTGAGTTCCCGAGGAAGTCCCGCAGCCCGTCCCTCAGTGTGCACCACTTCGCACGCCGACTATACACCTGTTCCATCATGACACTAACGTCAACATCCGCCGGCTGATGGTTAGCCTTCCAGAACGGGCGGCCTGCCTACCTCCACAATAGAATCCTCCCCTCGTCGGATACACTCTCCCCATGGGGCAAGTGCTAACGCCACCGTTCTTAGGTATTGCTGGCAGCGCACGCAGAGCTGCCCCTGAAGTCCCCTGAAGTCGCCGCCGAAATTGTACGTCCATACTGCTGCTGTTGCTGCTGTAACTGCTGCTTCAGCTGCTGCAGCATCTGCAGCAGGACTGCCTGCTGCTCCTCCTTGTGATTTTACAGTGACTCCTTTTTTTTCCTTTAATTCTTTTTCTTCTCTTTTCTTCTTCTTCTCCTCCTCAGCCTTTCTTTTGAGTTCTTCTTCCTCTTTACACCGCCTTTCCTCCTCTTCCTCCCGCAGCTTCTGCTGCTGTTGCAGCAGCAAAAGGCGCTGCTGTGCAGCACGAACTGCAGCAGACACAGGGCCCTTCTTTGCTGCTGCAGCTGGGGACAGAGCAGCAGGTACAAGACCGTGCTGCTGCAGCTGCTGCAGGTGGTGCTGCTGCTGGTCGTCTTTATCCATAAGTGAGTAGACGTCTTGCTGCTCCTCCCCCTGTTGCTCCTCCTCCTCTTGCTGTTGCTGCTCTTGCTGTTGCTGCTCTTGCTGTTGCTGCTCTTGCTGTTGCTGCTCTTGCCGTTGCTGCTCTTGCTGTTGCTGCTCTTGCCGTTGCTGCTCTTCGCTTACTGCTGCAGCTTCTTCTGCTTCCGCAGTCCCCCTGTTCGTTGGGCTCCGCCGGCGCCTTCTCTATTTGCTTCCGCAGTCCCCCTGCTCGTTGGGCTCCGCCGGCGCCTTCTCCATTTGCTTCCGCAGTCTCCCTGCTCGTTGGGCTCCGCCGGCGCCTTCTCCATTTGCTTCCGCAGTTCCCCTGCACGTTGTGGCTCTGCCTGCTGTAGCACTTAGTGCCGCCCACCATCTGTAGGGTAGCGTCCTTGGTTTGTACAGCCTATTCTGCTAACCCTCACACCAATACCAGCACGAGCACTGCCTCATGCCGCCGAGACACCTCCGCGCGCTGTCTCGCACGAGCAAATGCCGATTTGCTATTAACCCTGGCGAGGACAGCGAGCTGTCCAGGCCGTCCCTAACTTTAAACTCTCACTGCCGTTTTTTTTGTTGGCGTCTTCTGGGGTCCCTAAGGTATCCATGTCCGGTCCCTCAGCCTTGTTTCCTACCATCCCATCCGATATCCCCCACTCATCACCTGTGTCCTAGCATCCTCTGTTGCCGCAACACGCTTGCCCTAAGTGTTCAACGCCCAGGTCCGCCGTTGTGCCGTAGGAACGTAGTACTCCACCTGAGATAGTAATCCACACCTTGTGGGCGTTTGTGTATACCCGAGTAGGCGCGGCTTATGACGCTGCTACAGCTGTGGCGAGTGTGAAGGAATATCCGATTGTATGTAGCTTCCTCAGGTAGTGCATGCATGTCCTTCGTCTTCATCTTCCCTGACGGTCTCTCGCCTCAGCTGGTCAACTTTCGCTCTTGTATCTTCCACTGGCTGCTCCACATCGCTTCGATTTTGTCTGGGTTTACGTCTGCGTCGCTTCCAGGCTCGAATTAAGGCTGGGCAACCCTGGAGATGGTGTGCGGGTTCCCACGTGGCCCGCTCCTCGGGGGCGCCACGCCATTTGAGTAGGTAGGAGGCAGAAGATCCCGAGCCTCGTTGGTCCAAGATATAATCCACGAGGTACTGGTCTGTGGGGTTCCCTGCCTCGTCCCGAACTGGCGGCCACCCAGCTGGTGCATCTTGTGCCATGTGTGTCGCAGGCCGAGGACGATGCGGAATCAGTTGCGAAACGTGGAAGACGTTGTGCCCTGCGTAGCTCCCGGGAAGACCAATACGGCAAGCCACCTCCCCTATCCTCTCAGTAACCGAGAAGGGACCTCGATACCGAGGCTCCAACTTAGCACAATCATTTAGCGCTGGTAGGTGTTTGCTGCTGATCCATACTCGGTCCCCCACCTTATAGTCTATCGGCCGTCTCCTAGCGTCCGCGTAGTACTTCTGGCGCCATTTTGCTTGCAGGATATGGGCCTGTGCCCTATCGCAGAGTCGCTGGAAGAGCTTCGTCATGGGAGGCGAGAGCGTTGGGGGTAAAGTCCCTGTGACATCTAGATCTGCCGCTGTAAGGGGGTTCTCCCCTATCAGTACTTCGAAAGGTGAGAGTTCCGTGGAAGAGTGAGGCGTTGTGTTATATGCAAGCTCTAGGGCAGGCAGCAGATACTCCCAATCCCGCTCATCGGTTTGTATATAGGTGCGCAGCATCTGCTCGAGCGTGCGATTTACACGTTCCGTCTGTCCGTCCGTCTGTGGATGGTAGGGGGAGGACAGTGCTCGTTTGATATTGAAACGCGAACAGAGTGCCTCCCAGACCTCCGAGGTAAAGCGTGGGTCCCTGTCAGAGACGAGGGTCTCTGGGAACCCATGGTATCTGATGAGTCTGTCAGCCAACAATGCTACCGTGTCAGCTGCCGAGCTAGTCTTGCGCGTGGGAATGAAGTGGGCCATTTTGCTCAACGAATCCACCAGTACCAAGATGGCGTCGTCTCCTGCGTGTGTGTGTGCCAGGTCAGTGATAAAGTCCAAGCTCACATGGCTCCAACGCCGTGACGATATGAGGAGTTGCTGCAGCAGGCCGGCGGGTTTCTGGGTGACACTCTTCGAAGCTCGACATTGCACACAAGAATCCACGTAGGTATTAGTATCTGTTCGCATTCCAGGCCAATAGTAATGTTTGCTAATTGCAAGAAAAGTCTTCTTTTGACCCCTGTGCCCCGCTGTGACGTGATCATGAAACTGGTATAGAATGTGCGTTAGGAACTCCGGTAATTGAGGGACACATATCAGCCAAATGCCATTCTGACATATGCGCAGGTATGGGCGCTGGAAACGAAACCCATAGCGGCGCTGATGAATCTCGACGTGAACGGTTTCTCCCGGGGTCTTGGCAGCGGCCGTATAAGCATCGCGGAAGACTGGACACTTAGAATATGCCAATGGCCAGTCAGGAGCGTGTGTAGGGGAATTCGGCTTGTGTGTTGCGCTCGTCTGTTGCTGTGGCCGACTGTGTTGCTGTTGTGTATTCAGGGTCACCTCCGTAGGCTTCTCGCTCCCCCGCTGTTGCCGGGTCCTCACCCGGATGCCGGCTAGTTGTCGATAGTCGGTAAGTTGTTTCCTAGTTTTAGGGTATGGGGTTAAGGGTACCTCGGCGGGTACGAGGGTAACCAAGGAGCCTTGTGGGGTGTCAATCGGCTCCACCGAACTGCTGGGTGCGTTGGTTGTAGGCCCTCCCGGGTTACGCGACAATGCATCCCCCACTTGATTGCGTGTGCCTGGCAGGGAAGAGATCGTCAGTTCAGGGAACTCCGCGAGGAAATCAAGCCACCTGGCGGTGCGCCCCCGAAGAGGTTTGGATGCCTTAAGTTGGTGCAGGTGCGTTAGTGCTTGATGATCCTTGTAGGCCGTTACCTTTGCAGCCCGCAGTAGGTGTGACCACTTGTCCAAGGCAGTAACCAGTGCCAATAATTCCTGGTCATAGATGGATTATTTCTGCTGCGCAGCGTTCATTGTTTGGCTCAGCCACCCAATTGGTTTTCCCTCCTGCTCCAGGACCGCACCCAACGCGAATCCCGAAGCATCTGAGTACAGGTCAAAAGGCTTCGTGGTATCGGGTATCTGGAGGGTGACGTAATCGGTGAGCTTTCGTTTGAGCTGTTGCACTGCCTGAGTGCGGGCCTACGACCACTTGAAATGGGCCCCCTTCCGTGTGAGTTCCAGTAGGGGGCGGGCCACTCTAGCATAGTCTGCCCCCATAAACATACGACAGTAATTTACAGTGCCCAGGAACTGCCGCACCTGTGTGTCATTCTGTAGCGCCTCCGGTCAATGTTGAACGGCTGCAACCTTGTCTGTGGCGGGTTTGATTCCTTCTGCGCTGACTGTGTACCCAAGGTGAGTTCTTTCTTTGCGAACATTTGCTGAACTTAGGAAAGAAGTAATTCTTTTGCAGGATACTTAGAACCTGTTTCAGTAGAGTGGCGTGGCTCGGCAAATCAGAGCTGCAGATAAGAATATCATCCAAATAGAATGGTTGTAGATAATAGTTGATGTTTGCTTGGAATGTTGCAGCTGCTCCATTCAGGCCGAAAGGCATCACCTTGTACTCGAAAAGTCCGAGCACGGAACGCAACGCGGTCTTCCACCTGTCCTCCCGCGCCATGCGTATCTGATGATATCCCGACTCCAGATCCAAAGAGGAAAAGTACTTGGCCCCTCCCAGCATTTCCAAGGTAGTGGCAATGGGAGGTAAGGGGAAGTCGGGCGCCACCGTAAGAGCATTTATCTCACTGTAATTAACTACCATTCTCATCCTTCGGTCCCCCGTCCCGTTGTCCTTCTTATCCACCACGATAGTCGGGGCACATATAGGGGAGTATGTAGGCCCTATCCATCCCTTGGTAGTCAGTCTGGCTATCTCCTGTTTGTGTGCCTGTAATTGTTCAGGAGTCGTTCGGTATATCGGCGATTTAGTAGGCATCCTCCCAGGCACTAGGAGGATCCGATGCTCGAAGGGGCGCTTCGGCGGCAGTCCAGCGGGCAGCTGATCAGGGAATACTGCTCGGTACTCCTTCAATACATCCGGGATGACTGGAGGGGTCGACGATGCTGCCTCGGACTTCAGCCAATCATCGAACCTCGAATACTCTAAGGTAGCTGTCGGCCAAAGGGACTCCTCCTCATCGTCAAGCTGCTCTTGTTCCCCCAGTTCTCTGTTCTCCCCGCCCCTTTCAGTAACCTTGGGGCTTCCCAACAAAGCGCAGCACCATGTCCCTTGCCCAACCTCAGTCGGATTCGGTGTTTCGGGCTCCTCACCAACCGGGAGAGCGAGGATGGAAGACAGTCCTTGCATCGGGTGTTGAATCTTAGATGTGTTCTCCCTGGCCTGTTGTAGTATTGCCTTAATATCCACCTTCAGTCCCTTACGCGTATGTGACTTGTGCCTCGTTGGCTGGGGGCGTAGAAGAGCCATGGCCTCCTCCTCTGGCCTCTCAGCTATTTGTCTGGCTAGGAGATCATACGCCCGTCACTTTGGGCGCACCAGGGGGCCGCTAACCCATTCTGACCTTCCTTTGTTTACACGAACGAGTGTCAACTTAATCAATTGGCCCTCTACCAATGCACGTAGTTCATCCGATGGGAAAAGGCATGCAGCGTTGTGCTCAGTTAACCAGTCTAGTCCCACCACTAGATCGTAAGGCACCGGTCCCACTAGGAAATTCCCAATTAGCTTCATGCCCCCGCTCCACATAACTAACCGCTTGACTACTCGACTGATCCTCAACTTCTCTCCGTTAGCCACAGTGAAACAGCATTCCTCCGCCAGTAGTCTCTCCTTTAACTGAAGTTTCTTCACTGTATAGGGGTTTATGAAGCTTCTAGGTGCTCCCGTGTCTACCAACGCTTCGCATCGTTGTCCTGCTATCACCACTCTCAGGACAGCTGCTGTTCCTGCGCTACACAGGCTCCCCCCTTGGGTATCTTACTCCCCACTCATCCGCCACCATTGGCCCTTCCATACTTGATCTATGCAGCACCTGTGTGGCTGCGCGGTCGACTCAGGTTCCGCTACCCGACCAAGCAATTTTTCTTGCCAATTCGCGGAAACCGGTATACTATTGGGCCCTGTAGTTATTGTACACAGGGCACCGCTACCAGGTGCCATTTGCTTAGCCCGATTGTCCCCGTCAACGGCTAGGCCTGTTCGTTTAAACGTCTCGGTGGGCTAGGTCGGGGTCGTATCGGTGGAGTCGCTCGTTTGATAGTAGGAGCTCCACTCCAGTGGTAGGGCGAGGCACACGTGGAGGCATAGTGTCCCACTCCTCCGCACCGACGACACATTTCCCCAGGGCGCTTAGTGGCCTCTCCTCTTGATGGGCAGCCCAGTGCTGAGTGCCCTCTTCCCCGACACGCGTAACATTCTAAAGGTCTGGTTTGCTCTCTGGTAGGAGGCGGGTGTTCCCTTATGGTCTACCGCCCTTCGCTCGGGCGCTTCTGGTGTTCGTGGTTCCTGTAAGTTGTTAGAATGTGCCGTAGTTCCCGCTGAGTACGTCGGTAGTACTTCATCGCTTCATCCCAGCTTCCCACTACGTCCCTCAGCTCCTCAGCGGCTTCCTCCCACTTTTCAAATCTCAAGTGCCCACTCCTCGTCAGTTCGTCATAGATATCCACAGGTAAATTAGCTAGATAATATGCCACCAACTCCTCCTGTGGCCCGGGTTCAGTCTGACAGATTATACTAGAGAAATCGGATGAATACTTCCCTGGGCATCCTTCCCATTTTAACTTAGCCAGTTGAACCAGGCTAGTCTCCTTAGCGGCCCTGCAGAATCTCCCTAGCAGGTTCCTCTTAACCTCTTCCCAATCACGTAGATCTACATTGGTGTCGTATAGGTGGAACAAGAAGGTCATGGCTTCGCCAGTGAAATACTGGCGCACCTCATACCCTCAGCGTTCCCTGGGTATGCCGCAGTCTCTAAAATTTAATTCGAAGTTCCTAAGGAAGCTCAGCATACTAGATCCACCTTCCAGCGGCATCTGAGTCGGAAAAAGGGATCGCCCCTGCAAGCTCTAGTGTCATAGTAATCGTTTCTCGCTGTCTGTAATGGAGAATCGGAATCCGAATTTAAAGCTATTCTCTGTATGTAGGGTTCTTCTCGCGCCCTATTTCCATCATAGGGGCGCGCCCCACACCCTTGTCTCTGCCCCTCTGGGGGATCTCGATCGCCCCCCATCATTGAATCTGCCCCCAGACGGCAGTGGTCGTAGTCCAAACTTTCGAATTGACGTCCCCGAGTTCACAAGGTAAACAAACTGACGGAAAAAGTGACAAAATTCCTAAAATTTCCCGGAACGGCCCCCAGATGTAACACACGGTGGCCGTGTACCGTGGCTACGTATTCACCCCTATAGGCCTATAGGCCCCTGTATGTACTAGATCTACAAAACGCGTGTCCAAACACGTTAACAAATCGCCTTCCATCATGAGGGTCTGTTCGTCCCCGCCAGGTGCGGGTTACACCCTGCCGTCCATCCCGGCACCAGGTGCTGCGGTCGGACCGCAGGCATAGCCCGACTCTTTCGGACTAACTCTGCTCCTAAATGTACCAATTTTATTCTAATTCACAAGACCTCTATCCTTAATTGAATACACAGAGCCAAACATGACCTAACTATGTCACTTACCTTCTATGCGCCAGCGCGCATAGCTCTGCGGCGGGGTGCTGCTGCTCAGCCCCAGCACCAAATCAACTGCTACACCTCTAATATGCTTCTAACCTACTAATATTATCGAATTCCATCTATAGCTAAGCCTAGGTAACCTCAAGTCTCTTATAGGCTGCTGTGCTCACTCTCTATCTTACACGCTGGCTACCGCAACTGTGGACGATGTAGTGCCTGTGCACTACACGTGCAGCCCATCCTACGCAGTGCCAAGCAACATAGTTAGGCAGCGTAAGTCCTTCAGGTATCCTGTTAGGGACTTTCAGGGATCGGGCTCCAGCCTCAACAACGAGGCACGGGAGCGGACGTATTTGCTGGGACACAGCACCACCAGGGGCCACAGACATTATGCGGGCTTCTGCCGCTCCCCCTGGTGGTGCTTACGGCGGCAGCTATTCCGGGGAAAATACGTCTCAAGTCATTCCTTTTAGTGCTCATGAGGATGGTTCTCGAGGTTGGGATGGCAATGAGGTGGTGTTGACTTCTGGAGGCGACGACCTACTAGGAATGGCAGCTGCACCAGCTTCTGCTGAGATTACGGAGATGGGCGATGGCACCAGTAGTTGCGAATATGTGGAGGACGCGAATAGCGATGTGAGTGAGCCATGGATAGAGGACGGAGAATGTGTTGCGGCCGACGTGATTACTTCGGCTTCTGCCCACTGGTGTGCGCATGAGATGGCCATCGACGCGGAGGCGGATCCCCTCGCCTCTTTCTTTGCTCAGTTGATTTCTTCGCATTCGGTGAGTACATTAAGATGCTGAGCCCTGCATGAAGTATTCCATCGTAGCGAGAGGTCCCAGATGCCCTGGCTAAAATTTGCAGTTTGTAGGGCTGCACCACCAGCTGCCTGTTGGTCGTCAGGTGGAGTCGTTGAAGCAATAATCTCGCAGAAGCACACCATGTGTGTACACCTATACACTCGTAAAACCCTGAATGCGCTCGTGTGTGCCTGCGTGTACTGCGGTGTAATTGACAGCTCGTAGAGGGACCAAGTGGAGCAGATGGTAAGGCAGCCTCTAACCAACCATATACGCAAGCGACTCCTTCTGATTGTACCTATATCCCAACTCCCCAAACAGAGGAAACGTGTGGCAAAGCAGGGGCTGCGGGCATCGCTGGTGAAGGCAGAGAGGCAGCGAAGGCGGTGGAGCCGCAGGGAGCGCGTAGACGCGAAGGCAATCGGGCGGGCAGCGGGTCACGGCGTGCACCTACACAATTTACTGGGAGTACAATTGCCGATAGTCTTGATCCTGAGATGCGGGCGTATTTCGCTGCCTCCATTAGACGTAAGTCTCCGTAGCTAGTTTTTGTTATTCTGGGGAGGGGGCTGCTGCTGCCATTTTTCATTGGCCGTTACCAGTAGACTTTCCGGTCGTCGGTCTGATTCCGCTACCCCCATATTTGGTTGTGCATGCAACAGAAGCATCTACCGGTGGCAGGGAGCGGCAGCTCAGTCGTACTAGTGCCAACACCTTGGGTAGCAGGAGGCCTGCGAGTGTGTGGGCGCTCGTTTTTGGTTGTGCTGCGTTTAGGGAAAGACGTTCCTCATATCCTGGGCAGTGTGAGGGCGGTCATCGCAAGCAACCCGGAAATCTTTGGATTTTTTGATGTGGAGAGCTCCTCAGAGGCAGAGGCAGCCGGTGGGCGGCCCCTGGTGGGGCCACCTCTTTCTCGCAGGGGCGCCTGCCTCTCAGCAAGGCAGGGCAGGCCTACGGGGCAGCATCAGCAACAGCAACAGCCGGCAGCTATCTGTGCTGCTGCACAGGCATCGGAAGAATATGACAATATGACGCATGGCCGTTGTCAATTGGGGGCACAGGATACGACGGAGTGGTTATTCCCACCTGCAGTGCCTGTGTGCAGTGAATTTTGTAGAGTGAATCCTCGTGTGGCTGTTCATTGGCTGGTGCAGACGCAGATGGAGAGTATGCTTGACGGTGGGCTATGGCAGCAAAATGACCAGCATCAGGCAGTTGGGACGAGACAATGTGATCGGCTTGATGAGATCTCTTGGGCTCATCTGGCGTGTCTGGTGCCCCCCAAGGCTCTGTGCAACAAGCTAGCAGCTGTAGTAAATCCTGCACGTGAGAAAATGGAATTGGCAGCACCGCGGCTTGCCAAGGGCCTCAGCAGTGAACAAACTGGTGCCCTCAGGTATCTCCTACAAGCTTGGTACTTCTCAGGATACTTTGCGGGCCAGTTGCAGATGACTGCCGGCGGCAGTTGACTCGGGCTGATCTTGCATCAGGAATGGGGCAACTTACGAAGTTCCAGTTAAATGGACGAAGGTGTATATTGCCTGTGGAAGGATGACGTCACTTCTCTTGCTCGGTTTCCGCCACGCACCCGCCGCATTCATGTGCTTTTTTGATTCTTTAGATTGTATTTGTTTGTCGAGTGTTTCGTCTCTCAACGTTATTTGTGCACTATCCCGTTATTGTGGGTTTGTTTCAATTGAATAGGTTTGTCGGTTGGTGTTCACTAGGACAAAGTGGCATCGCTTGACAATTTTGGGGTCACCCAGGCAGTCACCGGCTGCTCTGCCTCCCGATATTAGGCGGAGCGCCTCTTTTTTTTGCGCAAGGCGTTGCCTTAAAGTCTCTTTGGTTACACGCCTGTTCTTTGTCGATTTACCCCCCATCAAATCTATTTTGGGTCTTCTTTTTGGAAAAAAATGTTTCTAGAGACCTGAGACTGTGGTTTTAATTTTATTTAGACTAATGTTTGATGGTAGAATTGCAATCTTTATACATCATAACATAACCAAGTAGTTCATATGACTCACGTCGTCACGGGGGAGTGAACCATGGTAATGCCTGTGCACTACACTTCCTCCATTGCTGCGGAGTGCCTCGGGATTGATGAGTAAAGGATGAATCTCTGGCCTGTCCATCTAGGAGACCATTTTGCCCCTTCATAATGTGTCACAACGCTTTCATGGACCGCAGAGCTGGCGCAAACGACTGCATGCACGTGCACATCTTAGCCCATGGTCAGTCTGAAGTTGGAGGAATACATCTAGTTGTAGCACTTCGTAGTTGTTCAAAACCTGCCTGCTGTGTTACTGCATGATTAGGCAAGGTTGTTTGTGGAGTTGCATCACCCCTCCGCCTGCAGGCATGAGTGCTGCAACCCTTGCCCGTCCGCCCATCTGCTGAGCGACAAGCTAACCTTTGTACAGCTCTACTTACAACGCCTGAAGTGGGTCGGGATATGCTACGTCTATTGCAATTAGCACCGGTCCGTAACTAAGACCGAGGGCCTTTAAACTTGATGGCGCCCTTATGGTTGAGAGATACACGTGTGCACAGCAATAAGCACATAGAAAGAAGAGAATAAGCGGCGGAGTGCTCGTCAATATCAATGTAGGGTAACATACACATGAGCCGGAAATTACCTTCGTAAGTCCGTGTGCGTCCAATTTTCCAGCCGTACATGCACAGTTACTAGTGCTGTGGAGCCAGGTAGGCTGCGTCGGCTTACGCCTAATTACGTGGTAACATACACCTGACTTGGGGAACTGCTCCCCTCAAGTGATCGTCAGAAAGCTACTGGAGGCGCTTCATTCCCTGCCATATGGCATAATATGCCCTCACAGCACTAAACAAAAATAACCTAAGCAACACCAATGCTTGATTGTTTCCCTGCTGCTACCTCGACCGATGCATAGCGAACACTCCATGCAAACAGGAATGTTGTCGCGTCCTTGAATCAATGGAGCTCTGGAAGGTGTAATTCGTAAAAGACCAAATGGCCACTGTTCATACCTATAACCCGCGAGCAATGCAATGCTACCGTCTGTAACTTGTGGGCCTCGAGCTTATATGATGACTGTTGTGAGCTGCGACAGCGCCAAAAGACTCATGATGAGAGTTGCTTAAAAGCAACTGACTTCACCTCCCAGTCTACAGGCGTCTTGAGCTCAGTGGCTCAAGAGCCTAGAGCTGCGTGAGGGGATGTGGCTGGTCATGAGCTGCAAATCGCCTTGCTGTAACTACAGGTGCAAAACTCTCCCCCAACATACACACACACGCCTTCTCAGCTGCATGTACAAAGGCTGTAGAGTGTTGTTTAGCAATATTTCTTGCGTAGCATTTGCCTACTAAGACCGGATACTCGCTCATATACCCACCTCATCGAGAACTGCCAATATCGGACAGATAGCTTGCTGTACACATCCAGGTACCGTTTGACGCAGGCGCGAGCACTCAGGTGAAGTGTTGAATACTTCCGCTTGCTTTTCTTTCGCCTAGTAAGGCCAAGCAAGGGTTCATGCACATTAGCAGCACTTGCCAACACTGTACTGACTGTGCTACACTACCCTCTAGGCGTTCTGAGTAGGTTGAATGCCTGGGACGCGAACACGTGACAGGTGGTGGCTGCCCTGAGAGGATGTAGCGAAATGGGATTGTTTATAACGGAAAGTGGCTGGGAATGCCATTCTCAGCAATAGCAACAGTGAATGCTCCCAACAACCAGAGCAACTGCCATGACGAAACGCTGACGGTAGTAGAGCAACTACAGGCCAACTGTTTTAGTTGTAAGGCCCCGAAACAGATAATCCTTTGATTAATCCCTTCAAAGCTCAAAACTGAAACTCCCTATAGCAACAATAGTGTAAACTTTAACTGGCGGGAACGCATGCAGATGCTCATTGGGCTGGACGCCCACGGGTGCGCCACCCGAGCGATGAAGGCAGTCAAGAGAATAGTTGAATATATATGGCAATTGAATTTATTTCTTGTTTCTCCTGCGTTTTTAGCAGGGAGGTACTGGCCCTTTCGTCATGAAATGACCGACCGAATTTCTCCTCAAGGTGGTGCGGACAACCGAGCCCTTTCGTTGACAAGCAGAAAGCGGGAACAAGGTCCTGTTAGACCATGGCGAGCCATGCTGTATGTCGCATCTAATATACATCTTGCTAGGCTCTTTCAGTTGCGCGCTGGCGGAGCAGCAGCAGGAGCTGGGATGGTCTGCAACCGCAATTGCAGCAATCAGGGCAACTGCAGCACCTCCTGCAAAAATCCCTACGCAGCTCTTGGTTTTGGAGCGGCAATGAGAGTCCTGCAGAAGCTGTAGCATAGACACATCATGAAGGCGCTTGTGTCTATCAGTGTACCCCCTGGCCTTCCGTGGCCTTCACCCGAGCACTCTCATCACTGCCGTGCATGCCACACAGACCATTAGGAATGCGCGTGTCTTCTCGAGTGTACTGCATATTTCGTTGTTGCAATTGACATTCCTCCTGGTGTAACTGCCGCTGGTGTTGCTGTGCATGCGTTCGCAGAGGAAACGCCTGATTCGTGACTTCCGCAAGTTGCAGAGCGACCCCCCCTTTGGCGTCAGCGGCGCCCCCGTGCAAAATGATATAATGCGTTGGCATGCCGTCATCTTTGGCCCTGAGGATACGCCGTGGGAGGGCGGTCAGCTCTGACCCATCGTCCAACATAGCACTAGCATATGCACGTGAACACATGATGCACTTCGTCGCCCATTGAAGAAGACTGATTTATATGCATATATATGAGAGACACCGAAACGTTTATCTGTACATGTATGTACACGAGCTTCTTTAATATATATATATATATATATA